TCAATATTTCTTAATTAAAATCTCGTGCTCGGTTATCAAGGGCAAAGTAACAGATTAACTTACATTTGTAAAGGTTCTTAACATTTTTGATCGTTCATCAAAATATACAAGACACGATTCTAATATATATGTTTTTAAAAGGGGAAAAATTAATTATTATTGTTAATTTAAATATGTTATGCTAAAAAACGCTTAAATTGAATTTTTAATCACTTTTAATTAAAAAACTTTATAACCCAAAAAATGGAACGTCAATTGTGAAATAAACGATGAAAAATTTGATAATCTATTTTTTTTTATCAAAAATTAAAAAGGTTTACAGGTCATATGTGTCTTGTACAACGTAAAAAAACTAAATGTAACTTTTTAAATAGAAATCAGATCTTTTTCCAACACTTATATCAATACATTAGTAAGCCCCTGAATTTCTTTGTTATAAATTTTTTTGGACAAAAAGATCTCTGAACTATACAAATGTTAAAATCCGTTTGCTCAAGTTGAGTTTCCTTTGCTCATTTTAATGTTAATCAAGATTGTTCTTGTTTTTAGAAAAGACTTTTTTGAATGTTTTTGGGAAGCTGATTAAAAAACATAAGATCTAAAATAGAGGATTGGCAGTGATGGGATTCGAACCCATGCCATTTTCATGACTGGTGCCTAAAACCAGCGCCTTAGACCACTCGGCCACACTACCGTACTGTCAACTGCGATTTACTTGGGAAAAGAATTGCCTAATTATTTAAATTTATGCAAATCAACTTATTTTAATTTCAACTATATTACAAAAGGCAAATGTTATTTCTGTGGATTTAAAATTTTACAATATAAATATATGATACGTGTCAAACCATGAACGGAAAATACAAAATACTTGCGATCATTTGAAATGCGCAAAGCTTTCACTTTCAAATATTGTTTGTCGTCGGAAATATAGACTTTTCAGGATGGGATTAGAAAAATGTAACAATAAACAGAGCATTCTATACAAGTATTTTAAGTTTACTACCATAATACAAGTGTCTATAGATGCAATCTACGACTTCGATTACACTACGCCGGAAAACGTTTTCTCTAAAATTTTGACTGGGTTTACTCTGATACGTGAAATGTCCGCTGCAGTTTTGCCAGTGTTTACACATAATGTCTCTAGTTGTCAAATTTAGTTAGTTGTTTGTGAAAGATGTTGCATTTTCTTATTTGTATATTGCTAGATATTTATTCCTCTCGCGATAGGTTATGAAAAACAATGATGTTTAATAATTACAACGGAATCAGTCACAACTATGCGCCACAACACGCGACGAATTAAAGTGAAAAGGTATCTAAATTGTAGCGAAATAGTAATGGTTAGCTGTTTACACGACAAAAATTCTTCTAATATAGCATATAAACTTTTGTCCTTTCAGTTAACAATCCTAAAAATTAATTAAAATATGATGTTCTTAATATACAAAAATTAAGAATTGACGTACTAATTATTTCATGTTCATTTCCACATTTGCGTAAATTTTTAAAAATTTGTTAAATAAATTCCAAACAATAAGACGTGCTGGTAGCGATGGGATTCGAACCCATGCCACTTTCATGACTGGTGCTTAAAACCAGCGCCTTAGACCACTCGGCCACGCTACCCGTATCATGTCAGCGATATCTTGTGAAAAAAAAGCAAAACAAATAAAAGCATTTTAAAGACAATCAATTACTTAACTAGGTTAAAAAATATTTTTTTTATCATATGGCAATCATCATTTCCGGCCAAATGGCGGGCTTTTATTACCTTAGAAATATTATTTCCAGTCTATTATTTTCCGTATTGGAGCACGGTCTAAAATACGTAAATTTACTTCAAATGTAAACATACATGTAAAGTCATCATTAGAGTAAAACGAAGCAAAAAAGCATTTATGAATGTCAGTAGAATCAAAAGAACCAAGAAACAGTTTAACTATCTTGATGATATAATTTGAAACGATTTAGTTTTTACTGACGAAAATTAGAAAAGAAAAAGCAAACCCATTTAAAACAGTAAGGACAAGGATAAAAAAATGCTCTGTTTCTCACCTTAGGTGTTCAGTCTGGTACTAAAGATTTCTTTTCAATATTTCTTAATTAAAATCTCGTGCTCGGTTATCAAGGGCATAGTAACGGATTAACTTACATTTGTAAAGGTTCTTAACATTTTTGATCGTTCATCAAAATATACAAGACACGATTCTAATATATATGTTTTTAAAAGGGGAAAAATTAATTATTATTGTTAATTTAAATATGTTATGCTAAAAAACGCTTCAATTGTATTTTTAATCACTTTTAATTAAAAAACTTTAAAACCCAAAAAATGAAACGTCAATTGCGAAATAAACGATAAGAAATTCGTTAATCTATTTTTTTATCAACAATTAAAAAAGTTTACAGGTCATATGTACCTTGTACAACGTAAAAAATTAAATGTGACTTTTTTAAATGCAAATCAGATCTATTTCCAACACTTTTATCAATACATTAGTAAGCCACTGACTTTCTTTGTTATAAATTTTTTTCAACAAAAAGATCTCTGAACTATACAAATGTTTAAATCCGTTTGCTCAAGTTGAGTTTTCTTTGCTCATTGTAATGTTAATCAAGATTTTTCTTGTTTTTAGAAAAGGCTTTTTGGGATATTTTTGGGAAGCTGATTAAAAAACGTAAGATCTAAAATAGAGGATTGGCAGTGATGGGATTCGAACCCATGCCATTTTCATGACTGGTGCCTTAAACCAGTGCCTTAGACCACTCGGCCACACTACCTTACTGTCAACTGCGATTTTTTTTGTGAAAAGAATTGTCTAATTATTTAAATTGAAGCAAATCAACTTATTTTACTTTCAACTATATTACAAAAGGCAAATGTTATTTCTGTGGATTTAAAATTTTACAATATAAATATATGATACGTGTCAAACCATGAACAGAAAATACAAAATACTTGCGATCATTTGAAATGCGCAAAGCTTTTACTTTCAAATATTGTTTGTCGTCGGAAATATAGACTTTTCAGGATGGGATTAGAAAAATGTAACAATAAACAGAGCATTCTGTACAAGTATTTTAACTTTACTACCATAATACAAGTGTCTATAGATGTAATCTACGACTACGTTTACACTACGCCGGAAAAAGGCTTCTCTAACATTTTCACTGGGTTTACCATGATACGTGAAAAGTCCGCTGCAGTTTTGCCGGTGTTTACACATAATGTCTCTACCTGTCAAATTTAGTTAGTTGTTTGTGAAAGATGTCGCATTTTCTTATTTGTATATTGCTACATGTTTATTCCTCTAGCGATAGGTTATGAAAAACAATGATGTCTAATAATTACAACGGAATCAGTCACAACTATGCGCCACAACACGGGACGAATTAAATGAAAAGGTATCTAAATTGTAGCGAAATAGTAATGGTTAGCTGTTTACACGACAAAAATTCTTCTGATATAGCATATAAACTGTTGTCCTGGCAGTTAATAATCGTAAAAATTAATTAAAATATGATGTTCCTAATATACAAAAATTAAGAATTGACGTACTAATTATTTCATGTTCATTTCCACATTTGCGTAAATTTCTAAAAATTTGTTAAATAAATTCCAAACAATAAGACGTGCTGGTAGCGATGGGATTCGAACCCATGCCACTTTCATGACTGGTGCTTAAAACCAGCGCCTTAGACCACTCGGCCACGCTACCCGTATCATGTCAGCGATATCTTGTGAAAAAAAACAAAACAAATAAAAGCATTTTAAAGACAATCAATCACTTATCAAGGTTAAAAAATATCTTTTTTATCATATGGCTTGCGTCATTTCCAGAAAAATGGCGGGCTTGTATTACCTTAGAAGTATTGTTCCCAGTCTATTATTTCCCGTAATGGAGCACGGTCTAAAATGCGTAAATTTACTTTAAATGTAAACATACATGTAAAGTCATCATTAGAGTAAAACGAAGCAAAAAAGAATTTATGAATGTCAGTCGAAGCAAAAGAACTAGGAAACAGGTTAACTATCCAGATGATATAATTTGAAACGATTTAGTTTTTACTGACGAAAACTAGAAAAGGAAAAGCCAACCCGTACAAAACGGCATAGATGAGGATAAAAAAAATGCTTTGTTTCTCGCCTTAGGGGTTCAGTCTGTACTAAAGATTTCTTTTCAATATGTCTTAGTTAAAATCTGGAGCTCGGTTATCAAGGGCATACTAACGGATTAACTTACATTTGTAAAGGTTTTTAACATTTTTGATCGTTCATCAAAATATACAAGACACGCTTCTAATATATATGTTTTTAAAAGGGGAAAAATGAATGATTATTGTTAATTTAAATATGTTATGATAAAAGAACATTCAATTGAATTTTTAATCATTTTTAATTAAAAAACTTTAAAACCCAAAAAATGGAACTTCAATTTTGAAGTAAACGATAAGAAATTTGATAATCTATATTTTTTAGGAATAATAAAAAAGTTTACAGAAGATGTGTACTTTGTAAAACGTAAAAAAATTAAATGTAACTTTTTTAAATAGAAATCAGGTCTTTTTCCAACATTTATATCAATACATTTGTAATCCCCTGACTTTCTTTGTTATAAATTTTTTTGGACAAAAAGATCTCTGAAATATACAAATGTGAAAATCCGTTTGCTCAAGTTGAGTTTTCTTTGCTCATTGTAATGTTAATCAAGATTATTCTTGTTTTTAGAAAAGACTTTTTGGGAAATTTTTGGGAAGCTGATTAAGAAACATAAAATCTAAAATAGGGGACTGGCAGTGATGGGATTCGAACCCATGCCATTTTAATGACTGGTGCCTGAAACCAGCGCCTTAGACCACTCGGCCACACTACCTTACTGTCAAATGCGATTTATTTGTGAAAAGAATTGCCTAATTCTTTAAAGTGTTACTGAAGTGAAATTTTGGGTATCGATTTTTTTCTATAATCAAATAGTTCTATCTTTCCCAATCACTTTGGTATAATTTTTATGCATATTGAAGCACGGGATCATCAATAAATTTTTGCTCAAAGTTGGGTTACGCGAGCGAATTTTTACTACTGAAATATTATACGGATGTGACGTAATTAAAAGGACGGAAGTCGAAGTATGAGCATTGATTTACTAGTATTTTGTTAGATTTTTAACACATATACACAATAAACTATGAGTTCTTCAAGCAGTGAAAGCGAACGCAGTTCGGATACTGAAAACTCAGATATGGCAAATGAAAATTTACTTTCGAATTCCGGCGATGAGGATACAATTGGGGCTAATTCAGTTGTAAATCCTTACGAAAATGAACCTCTTGCGAACGCAGTCGGAGAGAATTTTGTGTCGGTCGAAGAAGACGCAGATGGCTTAGAACCTCGAACATTGGAAGTGAGGTTCGAAGGAACCGTTCAGTTAGATAAGTGGTAAGTTGATAAATGTTATTAGAACTCTAGAAGAAATTAAACCATGAATTAAACATGTTATTTTGTCCTTATGTCGTGGTGCATAAATATGATAACAAACCACTTTTTTAAGGTGTGCATGTAGCTTGTGTCGTACTCAACTGCTGACAGATGCCATTGAATACCGTTGTTGTCAAGAGGTTGGGCCTACTTTACATAAACTGGTATTCGATGGTAGTATTGAAAAAATTAGCTGTGTTACTCTTCACGAAGAGTACACGATTATGACACATGCTACAGTCTTGAAGAATGTTGGCTCACTTCTAAGAGACCAAGACGGAAGGTCATACAAGCGTCGTAGAATACATGAAAATGAGTTAGTACATTTTTGATTTATAATTTTGTTTTGTAACGAATGATTAATATCTTGCCATGTATCTCTACTTTTTACCTTTATGTGGTTCATTATTGTGCTGTGATGCTTCACAATTTTGTTGTGTGAAGTCAAAATAAATAATCAAATAGAAATTACTATTTTGAATTTCTCATAGATACTTGAGAGCAGTTGCATACCGTTAGGTCATTCGATGGCTGTGTGGATGCCTTGGTTGGGAAAATTCTAGACCATTACCTGCATGTATCTACACAGACATCCGAAAACGATTTCCATTACGAAATCCCCTAGGCCAAGAACATGCTGGCTATAAGTCAGCACAGGAAAGAAACTGATAGAAGTAGGAAACATTTTTTGTAGCATAGTATATTATTTTATAACTAACTTTAAAGTTGGCCTGCTAAGAATATTTGTCAAGTAATTCTTGAGGACAATGACTTTTTGGATGTCCTTTCATTGGCTGTCCACAATTTTGCATAAGCGCGTTTTTGGATCTGAAGGACCTGTTGAAGCAGCTTGTTTTTCTTTGTCTAAACCTTTTGCTTGCAGTACATCTTGCTGTTGATCTATAAATAACAATTTAATGTGTTTACTTTTAGAATGCACTGGCCATACCTATTATACATGGTAGCATGAACAACTTACATGTGGGAAACAATGGTGTTGAAGATAGTTGTTTCCTATCCAAATGCCGTTGGATTGCCTCAGTTTTGGAAATTCGATCCGAGAACGTTTTGTTTAAGGCTTCTGGGACTTTTTCCTTATACTTCTTAAATATGTTGTCCATGGATTCCTCACAACTAAGAACCATGACATTTTTGATTTCATTAACATAGTCTGGAAAAATGACAAGTGGTTAGATGTGTAAGTCAAGAGTACCAATGCATACATGCTAAACTTACAATATGATGGTGCTGAAGAAACAGTTCTTTCTACTTCATCCCCTGATTTTAATTTTGGGTATGTCACAGAATAATATGGTGTTCCATTTTTTGTTTTTTTTGGCTGTCTGTGAAGGTTTTCATTGAAATGAAGTACTGCCAGTACGTGCCTAAACAGAACAAACCATTTACTATGTAATTTTTTTTTCTTGACTAGGAACAAGTAAAAAAGCCTTGGCAGATAGAGAACAGTAATTACAAGTTACCTGCAATATGTACCAAGCCAAGAAAAGTGGGTCATCTTTGGATGCCAACCATTTAATGTTGAATGAAAAACTTGTGTAACTTAACTTGTATAATTTTGTACTTACAACTCTGCGGTCGCGATTGCTCTTATCACCTTGGATTGAAATGCCTTTTACAGAGTCTATGGTTGGAACAGCATCAGAGCGCAATTGTCGTCTCATGTTTAGCGATTTTACAACTGTTGCGTTCACGGTGAATGCAGAATCTGTGAAATGCATTGAACATAGCACAGAGTACTGCTGAGGAACGAATTTTGGCCTATGTCTCCTAACAAATTTTGTCCATTTACTCAGCCTCTCCTTGTCATTCATGGGGAAACGATGTACTGAGACACCCTCTGTGTGTTGACTGTTTGTACAACTTTTTCCGTTGGGCCAACCAGCAACACAATATTGTCCTCCTCGACGATTTTTTGCAGAATTTTGCCTACTCGCCATATTTTAACTTGCGGTGTATCGTTACGTTTTGACTAACTTAATAAAAAATTATTCTCCTTATATTATGTGCGTTGTGATAATATTGCATGGGTTTTAAAACCACAGACTACGTCAAGGATGCGACACCCATATGATAAGAATGATAAGTCTAATCCAGAAGTTTATAAAAGTAGTATACATTGGATGATTGGAAATAAGCGCGTTACAGTTAGTTTCTGATAACATTGCGTGTGTGTTAAAACCGCAGACTTCGTCAAGGATGCGGCACCCAGTTTATTGAGAAATATAAGTTAATTCAAGAAGTTTATAAAACTCTAATCGATTGTAAATGTTGCTTACCTATGCGTGTTGCTCATTTGTCACTAAATATACGCAATTTTTGCGAAGAGAAGTAATAAAATATGTAAAATTCCAGTTGGAAATATGCTTGTTCGTATATAATTTTTATATACTAAGAGCTTTAAAATTGAACTTCCGTCCTTTAAATGACGTCACGCACTCAAAGTCAAATTCGCATCAAAACAAGCAAATATGCCATGTTTGAACGCAAAGTTCGATGCGTTCCCATCGACTAAATTCAGTGGACGATAGCTCAAAATGATCAGTAAAATACAGAGAAAACGTTTGTATCGAAAAACGAAATATGAAAATTTCACTTCAGTAGCACTTTAAATTTAAGCAAATCAACTTATTTTACTTTCAACTATATAACAAAAGGCAAATGTTATTTCTGTGGATTTAAAATTTTACAATATAAATATATGATACGGGTCAAACCATGAACAGAAAATACAAAATACTTGCGATCATTTGATATGCGCAAAGCTTTTACTTTCAAATATTGTTTGTCGTCGGAAATATAGACTTTTCAGGATGGGATTAGAAAAATGTAACAATAAACAGAGCATTCTATACAAGTATTTTAAGTTTACTACCATAATACAAGTGTCTATAGATGCAATCTACGACGTACAAAACGGCATAGACGAGGATAAAAAAATGCTTTGTTTCTCGCCTTAGGTGTTCAGTCTGTATTATATATTTCTTTTCAATATTTCTTAGTTAAAATCTCGTGCTCGGTTATCAAGGGCATAGTAACGGATTAACTTACATTTGTAAAGGCTCTTAACATTTTTGATCGTTTATCAAAACATACAAGACACGCTTCTAATATATATGTTTTTAAAACGGGAAAAATTAATGATTATTGTTAATTTAAATATTTTATGGGACAAAACACTTCAATAGAATTTTTAATCAATTTTAATTAAAAAACTTTAAAACCCAAAAAATGGAACATAAATTGTGAAATAAACGATACGAAATTTGACAATCTATCTTATTTATCGATATTTTAAAAAATATTTACTGGTAATTTATACTTTGTGAAAGGAAAAAAAATTAACAATCCGTTTTTACAACATATTTGGTACATACGCTTCAAGTCCTTGGGTTTCGGGTACGAAAATGACTAACTTTGGCTTGGTTTTGTTTGTGTATGCGAAAAGAACGTCATTTAAGCTATAAATTGCATTTTTGGTTCCACAAATTATTATATCAAGCAGAACAAATATGACAAGATGGTGTTGCTTATAAAACAATTGTTTCTGCATTAGATGACACAAAGTATCATTTCATATACATCAGCTGTTTGGTTTGTATTTTGATTTTTTAAAATTCAGCTTTAACAATCGAAACTACTCAATCTCACACAATTCATATCAATATTGTTTGTTCATTAAGAACAGTTATTACCTGCATAGAACATTTTCAAGCGCTTCATGACAATTTCTGTTAAATTACGCATTTCAATATGAAACTTGAGCAACTGAGTAACTGGTCATTTGTAATCTGTGGCGGATTTAGAGTAAGACAAAATAAATTAATGCAGCACATATTGGTATATATTTATATTTTTAAGTACCTTAAAGCCAATAGTGTTTTTCTGAAAGTACTTGGACTTTAAAATTAAATAGCTATAATTTATTTTAAATCAATCCTGCTACAGTTTAAAATATCTTACTAATTGCTATAATCCTCACAAAAATACGACGAAGTTCAGGCTGTTTTAAGTCATACATAGGTAAAACTAACAGAACCCTTCTTACTAGACTTAATGAACACTCAAACTCCGACCCCAACAAAAGCGCCATTCATGACCATCTAACAAACTGCCAGGACGCACAACACATAACTGACATTTTCAAATTATATGACACAATTAAGGACATAAATCCAACGCATTCTTTTTCCACCCATGATCTCATTCTTAATAACACTAACACTTTAAACTGTCTTCATCATAACAATTCTAATGTTTTGCTTTTCCTTGAGGCCATTTATATGCGTTTCAAAAAGCCTCAGCTAAATTCTGGAATAAAGGCTTATAAAGAACTTGCTATTTTTTCTTAATTCCATTGATGTAATTCTATACAGTAACACCTCCTTTCATCGCCTTTCTTTCTTTACATTGCTTACGTCATTTCCTTGTAAAAACTATTTAAGATCACTCATGCTTGTAAATAATCACTTAGCTTGATATTGACTTTGAAATAAAGTCCAAATATTGCTTTTAATCTTGTCTCTTGCTTTTATAACTCAAATCTTGAGTTTACAAGATGATGTTTTTTGGAGTGGGTTTTTTCCTTTATAGAGAGAGTTGATTAACGCTTAATTTAACAATTATTTTGTTGTTTTTTTTTGTGGTACGTACTTTTCAGTGTAATGCACACTTTGTTCATAATTTTGTGTATAGCCTACCGTACGCACCATGTTCTCTACCAAAGCTTTCCACAAATACGTCATGTATTTACTTGACTAAAGAATGTGTGTCAACCAAGATGCATTACGCGTTAATAAAGCGCACTGATATGTAGATTACTCTGGACAACGCATCCATGTATAAAATAAAGTACGAACATTGAAGACGGAAGTTGGCTCATGCTTATGACCTTCAAGGGCGGTATCGGTCCCACTTTAGTATACTTTTGTATTACAAAATTACAGTTTTTGCGTTTTTACTAGTTTCACACAGTTTTGATTTAAGAAACATTTTTATGAAAGGGGAAGAACGATCTGCAAAGACATTTCATCTTAATAAGTTTGTCTTCTTGCCTTTATAATGGCAGAAAATTGAGATGGTACAAGCTCGACCCGCATTGTTTTGAAACCAACTGGAGATTATATGATGCTGCTACTTCTTAAAAAATGTAGAAATATTACAGAGTCCTAATACAGCCAAAAATAATTTAATGTGCAATGACTTTATGTAAGATTGCTACAACTTTACACATTTAGCAACACTTTGTGTAAATCTCATCAACATTCATGTTCTAAAAACGCCTCGCACAACTGACATTATTCTTGTCACTTTCAACTTTTAAATTTCAACACAACTTGCTATTTTATTTTTTAGTCGTTACAAAGGCAGAAAACAGAGCTTTAGGGATAAAGCCCTCCTCCTGTTTTCCTCTACATCTCATGAAAATTTTGCCTTAATCAGCAGTTTGCAACAGGAATAAAAACGCAAAAGCTCTGATTTTGTAATACAGAAGTAGTGGGACCGATACCTCCCATAAAGCCAGAAGCAAGTAATTGATTTTCCGGCTTCAGTTTTCACAAGAAATGCGTTATCCAGTCTAATATACATATTAGTGATCAAGAGTAGTGGCCATTTTGTGGGTCGATAAAATGGCGGATTTTTTTATTCTAGCTCATGCAACTTAGAAAAACGATAAAAATATGTGTAAAATAGCATTTTCAATCAATGTGTTTGCAACTTTCTGCATATTAAAACGACATAGGGATGAAATTGAATTCTGTGGACTGCAAGTTCAAAAAATAACGATTTAAAGTTTGTAAACATAAATAAAAGCGCAAAATGCATCTTGGTTGACACATATCCTTTAAAGCATGTAATGCGATTTATATTTCTTACACGATATTGTCTGTGTCGTGATGGCCTATTCTGAAGAATTCCGTAAAGAATATTGTTCATGATTGATTTTCTTTTCAAAACAACCTTCATTTCTGGGAACGACTTTTGTTTGACTTAGTTCAGCTAAATGCTTTATTTTTAAAGTTGTGTGTAGTGCATGTATTTTTTGTTTGACTGCATTTGATATTTAAATTTTTTGTTAGCTACTTGTACAAATGAATTTTATAACAAAGGTAAATCTTGTCACGACTTAGAAGCCTGCTTTTAGATGTAGCTACACTGTATGCTTATAGAGTATTCCGATTGATCTAGAAATTTATGTCTTGCTTGCACCATTCAAGATAAATTCTGAGCTATATACGTAAATTATCAAATCGCATTTCAATGGCCCTAAAAATCGTGTTTCTTTTGTGTATAGATTTATTTCAACCGTCATGTTTTTATTTCTCATTATGCATAGTTTGCAACAACAACTTTGTCAACGATGAAAGTTCCTTTCCTTTTAATCTTTTAAATCCAAATGGTACACCTCCAACCAAACACTCTAATGCAAACTCTGATTGGGGATTTGGGATGAATAGTTCTTATGAGCCATGGTTTGGAACAGAAGTAACTTACTGTATTTTATTTATGAATAGCAGTGGCTTTTCAAATTTCTGTGTGACTAACGGATATGGAGAATTTAGCATTGCTAATGGCCAGGCATTGTCAACTTTTTTGGTTGGGACTACCAGTGCAAACATGAACAACTTAGAAGTTTTTGGTCTGACTGATATATGAAATAATGTACTTGAACTGGAGTATCATATTTGTAATACTTATTGCTATACGAAAGCATATGTCATTCATGTAAAGAAAGAACTGTTCTGAACTAATCTCATTAAATAAAGTAAACTTAAGCCATTGCCACACGATAACAATTATTCGTTGCATAAATTTAACAGCAAATTTTGGACCTCTCCTAAAGTTCAGAAATCTTTTCAAGATTAAGCTTTCAGTTAATAGTGAACATATTGAAGATTGAAATTTGATGAATGTTACACAACGTATTTGAGAAACTAGAAAAGCATTGTCACAAGTTTGTGAGAAATAGTCGTAAGTTACACCCATTAAGTGTAAGTGTGAGCAAATTTTTCAGCACAGGCGTATATGATGAATTAAATTATACGACAATAAGGACATGTGTACATAAAAAGTTTTTTTTTGAACAACAAAGATATTACTAAGAATGTTTTGTGCAATGTGGTATTTAAAATTAAATGTAGATATGATCTTCGCACTTTGCTGGACAATTTAAGCAATTGTCTCATGAACCTGAAAAATTCAGGTGACTCAACGGTATGCCGGTGCAGTGCTCTGACCAAATGAGCTATAAAGTCACACAGTGGTGAGCAGGTCAATTTGTTGGGCTCATGTTTTCTCGTGAAAGGAATGTCATGAAAGAATGTTTTGTGCAATGCGGTGTTTGAAATTAAATGTAGATATGATCTTTGCACTTTGCTGGACAATTTAAGCAATTGTCTCGTGAACCTGAAAAATTCAGGTGACTCAACTGGATCCCGATTGAAGATATGATCTTTCAAATAAAATTCCTATATGGTTCATATTACATTAAATTATGCCGATTCTCAATACAAGCGTATCATGCAAGACTAATGTTTGTTCCTTGCAGATGTCTTTTGCAATATGTCCTTTAAATCTGCAAGTGAAAAACTATCAAGAAAACAGTTACTCTTTATTTTTAACAAACAATTGTAAATTTTCCCAATAACTTTTAAAAACCGAAATCACTATTTACATACCTCTCCATGTCTACTCAGCACTTAACAGAGAATATAAGAGGAGATGAACTGGCAATAATGAAGCCAAGTGTTTTTGAAGTAAATGAACGGATATAGTTCATTTTTCAATTTCAATAAAAATCGATGCAGGCAACAACGCCCAAACTAAGTGAAACAGACTTGTTAAAAAATAACAATTTTTTAGGTTTAAAATTTTGCAACGGCGAAGCACTTTTGAAATAAATTGCGCACAAAAATGACAAAGCTAAAAAGCAGTTAGAGCGCATAGTGTTAAAATATAACTCACGTTGTTCAAGCTAACAAGGTTTTGTGAAATTTTGCTTGGGATGTGCCAGATACCACTTTGCCGGATACCGAATATAATACCGAACATCCGTCTACCTGATAGAGGTCAAGAAATAATGCTTACCAGATACCTGATATCGATATTATAGTTGCAACGTGTTGATAACGTCATTCCAAAACAACAATTATTTTTAGCTAAATCGATAAGTAATTTTGCTAGCTGACAAATATTCATAACTGCATGCATCACTTTGCTAGCAACCCACGACTCAGAACGAGTAACATTACAACTCAAACTTCTGTTTCAGACGAAAAATAATTCTGCATTTTGTCTCGTAAATAGTGCTTGTTTTTGCCAAATTGCACGAGAAGCTATGCTATTACTTATTAATAATATGCATGAAAAAATTTGTCAATTCTGCCGGCAAGTTATAAATATTGACCGGTTAATATTTTTAAATTCCGTCAAATATTACTTTTCGCAACACCATAGCTTCCACACACATCGCTAGAACAAGGTCCCCACTTTCAGCAGTGCATGTTCATATTTTTATTCAGAAACACTTTGTTAACGGTGAACTGCAAACTCCTTCGCCAAATTAAATCTACTTAAAACTTACGCCAGCCATTGTTATTGCCTTGTTTTCAATAATTTAACTTTCCCGCTTTCGAAACGTTGTATTATGATTGGCTCCTATATCACTTCTTTGTCCGACAAGCAATCAGGAGCACAGTTTCCAAAAACAAATTGCACTGTAAAAAATTTTTAGCGCTGCATTGTGCTTCACATTTTTGCACTGGTATTTACGATAAATTGCACTGCTATTAGCCAATCAGAACTGAGAAATTTTTTCATGTATATTATTAGTATATGGAATAGCATGGTTTCAAGCGCAATTTGGGAAACATGCACGAGTGAGTTTTTCAAAGACTTCAAATTGCACTAGTTCGAATGCATGGTTTCCAAATTGCAGGAGAAACCCGGCCATTTAAGAAATAAATGATGTTTATTGTGTTTGCACAGGCTTGTGCAAACCGAGGAGACGTTTTTGGAGAGCTCGATAGCAGATCAGTCTTAGCCCGAGACTGAAGAGGTCGAGGGTTGCACATGCTCGAGAGTTCTCACAAAAGTCTCCGTCTCATAAACTTAAGCCAGCCATTGTAATTGCTTTGTTTACATTAATTTAACTTTCCAGCCTTTCAAATGTATTATTTTGATTGGCTCTTAGATCACTTCTTTGTTTGAGTAAGCATTGGGAGCACATTTTTCGAAAAAAACTGCACCGGTGTTTCACTTTTTTGCACTGGTGTTTACGATAAATTGCACTGCTCTTAACCAATCAGAATTCAAAATTTTTTCATGCATATTATTAAGACATGAATGTCTTAATTAATAGAAAACTATAGATTTCAACAAAACTTAATTAGATATTTCATGACATGCATACATGACATGAGCCTGCTCATCTGGAGATCTTACATGAAAGTTAATACATTAATTTTTTTTTACAACTTTATTGAGCAGTTTAAAGTGCTGATTCACCACGACCGTACCTGCATGCAACGTAAACAAAACTCTTATCATACTTATTTTAAACAAAAAATTGAACTTAATCATTCAACGGGACGCGTTGCTTAAATTGTTCGCCTCGATTTTAATTATAATTTCATTGCACTTATATAAGTATAAGTATAAAACTGCGTTTTTCAATACAAAAATATACCATTCCTGCACCATAATATAGCATGTATGACCCTTTAAGCTATAAGGGGTGTTTACATGAGTCCGGAATGACTTTCAATTCCAATCGAAACGTCATCTCAATCCACGTTTACATGGGAAATCAACACAAGGATTGACATTTCGCTGGAAGTTTGAATTTTGAAGATAACGAACTTAAAGATTATAACAACCCTTTTCTTTTCCTTCGTGTCTGAGTTAATACAGCTTAATACTTGCATGAAACTAATTGTTGCTTTTTTCGCACTCATTATAGCCCATTTAGCCGCCTCATTTGCTTACGAGCTTCAATTTCCCAGAAGACAATACGAATGGTGCATGCGTGCTTTGTCATTAATCACAATATCATTCCAGAATGAAACTCAATACGCGTTTACATGAGGTTAAAACTAAATTTCGATCCGGAATGAAACCTTCGATCCGGAATGAAAATAGGAATGAACTGGATCCGGATCGAGTTGTAACTCCGGATAATTCCGGATTCATGTAAACATGCAATAGAAATTCTTTTAAAATGGAATGAGTTCATTCCGGATCGAAAGTCATTCCGATTCATGTAAACACCCCTAAGTTCATATAAGTTTCATTAAACACATAGGCATTATATTTCGTACAACATGACGGAAACCAAAAAATGAAGTTTATCAGAGCCATTGACAGAAAACCTAGCATCTTTCAAAGCACGTAAAATTGTCAGAATTGTTTGCTCAATTCATCTTTAGCTTCCTCAATGTAAAGTAGGAGAATATCGACTTGCAAGCTCCATCTCTAAAAATACAAAAAGGTCGTCATTAAATTATTGGAAGATAAAAAGAGTATTTATAATAATACCACACTTGCTATTCAGAAATATCGTGATGATAATAAGTTGACTAAGCCTATTACAAATAATGTTTTTAGTGAAACACCTTAATCATGTTTTTCATTTCTCACCTTAATAAGCATATCATATAAAACGATATCCATGTAAACCTTCCACTCACTGTCCTCCTAACTGCCGTGAGAAGCACTCCTCGCGGCAGTTTGGAGGACAGTGACTGGAAGGTTTACAGATACTCTTTTATATGATATGCTTACTAAGTTGAGAAATGAAAAACATGAACAAGATGTTTCACTAAAAACATTACTCGCAAAAAGCTAAGTCAAGTTATTATTAACACGAATATTTTACATCTTTACATTCGTCAATATAAAAATAGTTTAATTAACTTGAAACCAAAAAATGAAGTCAGTTTAGTAATCATTGTAATCATCTGGATAAGCCTGCTTCAGAAACATTACACATAAGTAAAATAAAGTATGTTTCAACTTTTTAAAATAATCCCAGCGATTTCCTATAGTTATATACCAGTGCAGGAAACATTACATAAAAAGTAGTTCGTTGATCATTATCAACTCGTCTTAGGCGTTTCTGTCACTATACAATGCACAAAAAACGTCATAGATCCCCAGAATATCAGCAAATTACTTTCAACAATTCGTGATGGCAGGAAAAACTCTAATTTGACATGTCGTCACTTAGACATGCGAAATTAGTGTTATACACAGCCACGTTCTCTTTTAGCTACTTATAAAAATTTCAACTTCCACGCAAATTCGTCCTGCTAAATTTTACTTATGAATGTCTATGATGCCTGAGGCATAAACACGACTGCTGTTTTTCATTGTCAAAATTTGTAATTGCATGCCTTTAATTTACTTATTGACGAGTCCCACCGCAAGTTTGATCATACTATGTAAATATTTACGTGTTAAATCACTCCAAAAACAATAGATTTCTAAAGAAATGAATAATGTTAATGTCTAAAAATTGCATAATATGACGAAATTTGCAGGCTAGCTACACCATTGTTAAAACGCAATGGCTTCAAGATCAATAGACATTTGTAAATAGCGTGTGCATTAATTGTTTTGTACTTTTGGACCATCAATTTTCTGTTCCTAATAAGTGCATGCTAAAAACGTGAAAGTATTTCAAAGTTGTTAAATAAGGTTATCTTGAGGAAATTGTTCATAATCTTATGATGAAAACAATATTCTTTTCCCTTCTTACCATCTGCTTTTTGTATTTTATCTAAATTGCGACGTTGTTTTTTCCAAAACTCCCAAAGAGAACCCAAGATGAAAAAGATGACCAACGAGCCCAATAGACCATATATTAACCTTAAAATACTATTTTGATTTAGTAAGCTTTTTGCGTCTTCTTCTATGTGATATGCACTGGGGTCGATTTCGGAGTAGTCTATTCCACTCTAAAAAAAAAAACGGATAACTTTTTTACCGCAAAAACAGTAGAAAATCAGTAAATAATAGAATGATTTTAAACAATGCTACCACTATTGTGCTAATTTTTGCAGCTAATGTATATTGAAAGAACCAGAGCTAGGTCCAGCAAAAAGTTAAAAAACTTTAAATGCTGCAGTTTGTATAAAATGGTGTAATGCTTTAGGAAATTAATTATATAGAGCAGAATGGATAAAACAGGCTTTTGTATTTATTATTCTTAGTGTTTATATCTTTTTTTCGCAAATTAGACAGTAAACAAAGATTTGAGTATTTCTTGGCATGCTTGTCGCAATCCATTTGATTAAACATCTCCAATGTTTAATCAATGTTTAATCACTGTTTAATCATTGTTAAGCATACCAGTACAATAATTTGTCAATTTACTACATTCCCAATAACGTAAGAGCATAATTAAGTATGCGCTACATACGTAGTTTTATTCGGCACGCCCCATTTTAAATATACTAGTATAATTTATTTAATAACAAAAAGTAATTTTGTGGTTGCCTTACAGCACATGACAAATGAAACCGTCAAAATAAAGTTTTCGCACCCTAATCACAATAGTAAAGTAGGTAATTTAAATGGATAACCACTACTGCAGAGCCTGCCCACCTGCACGATGAATATTGCCAAATAAATAGCGTGTACATAAAAAAGAGGGTGCTCTTCCTTTCTAGGCGTCCCCAACATGCTTTAGGTTGTAGCTATCACAGGCAATAATATATTTTTTCTTGCAAAAAGTATTAAAACTCCTCTCTTCTAAAACAAACATGGACTTCTGTAACAATGAATAATAAAGGCAAAGTGAGTGCTTTCAAACATGTTGTAACTAGCTAGGTCAGGCAACGATTTCTTCTTTTTTAAAAACTTTTAAAACCCAAGCACTTTTAAAAGAAACATACACTTTTGTAATGATAAATATCAAAAACAAGCAAAGTGCTTTTAAAAGAGCCATTTATAATAAAAAAATATGTATGGAAAGAGTGTTTTTAAGTAAATTAATATATTCTTAAATATAACAGAAATAGCTACTAAGAACTTTCAATAAATGGAGTATATTTATAAATAAATTTTTAAGTAATATTTTTTGATTAAAATTTCTTTCCTATAACTACTTTTTGCCTTGTATCTCCTAAGTTGGTCATTATTTTGAAGAACATGCTCTTTTGAAGGGGTGGGCAACATACGGCCCGCGGGCCGGGTCCGGCCCCTGAAGGGATTTTGACTGGCCCACCGACTGTATCCGTCTATATCTGTGATTAAGATATTGAATATTATCCGGCCCACCAATAACTTCATTTTCCTAAATATGGCCCGCCGACTGGAGAAGTTTCCCACCCCTACTCTTTTGTATTAAAAACAATGCAACGGTGATTTAAGCAATTTAAGTTAATGTCTTGCCGTGTTAAGAAAATGTTAGATGCGAAATAGTTCTCACACTTTGTACAAGAAAGGTTAAAACAGTAATCAATATCGTGATGAATTTCATACCTCTTCGTAATTCATAATGATATTTCTTTCCCAACACTTAAGAAAATTTTCCGTGTATTCATTAAGATGTTTAGGGTCATCAACAAGACCCAACCCAACTGAGAATGGGTGCTTCACAACCTTGGCAACCACGAAACCTTTTTTCAAATGATTCCTTGAGTCAAAGTACAAATGGTCTAAATAATTTGGGGCAATATATCTTGTAATCTTTTTCTTATAAATTGCATCGTACATTTTTTCTTCATCCATAAATTCTGCCAGTTAAAAAAGAATATTTGCAAACAATGAGAAAGTTTCTCAAAAGAAAAATGTTTCAATTTTTGTCATTGGAATATAAGTATAACCATGTTAAGTTTACACAAATAAATTTGAAGACAGACAATTTCATTGGAAATAAATCGTATGAGAATCATAACACGATATGATTAATTTAGGGAGATTTTGTTTTGGCCACTAACGATATTGAACGTTATTCATTTCACCTATTTTATATTGTGCTTGAAATTGATAATGATTTGTACAAAAACGTCGAAGCTGAATATGTAAACGGGAAGTGGTATTGCACATATTAGTTGTCTTATGGAAAGCTATAAAAGGACAATTCATTGGAAATGTATACGTAATTTTATACGAGAACAATCGCTGACTTTATAGTTATACATACATCTATCCATGCATGCATACACTCTATAAAAACACAAACTTCATTTATTTTATACTTCTTTAAAAGACTGCATGATATTTATGGGATTAATACAAATTTAATTTGAACTCATAAAGATACGAAGAAAATATCTGCTCACATATAAGTTTATTGTTGGGTTTCTATATGCACTTATATCGCAGTTTATGCCATACACACATAAAAGGCACATAACTCTTAAAACAATGGAAAATTGCGTTAATATCCTCATCTAGCATGTCATCATAAAATGTAATAACCCATTAAACTTTGCTTTACCTATAAAACTGGCACCCTCGTTGATTTCACGTTGGAAGAAATGCTTGCTGTTTAAGACTCCGACCTTATCAAGATAAATAGTAGAAATGATTTTAGCAAATGCTGAGAAATATTTAATGAAACTGCTTCCTGTTGTTAGGACAAACAATAACAATTTAAAAAATTAAATGGTTTGTTTCAACTTTAAAAGTAGTAGAAGCTACAAATTTTGTGTCAAAATTTAATCCTCAAGGCTCAAATTAAGACCATGCTGAATCAAAATCCATTTAGCCCTCCCCTGCATGAGGTAGAACAGAATTCTTTTCTATTTCACAGTTTGAAAGCAAATTTTTAGATTTGCTTTGATGGTACGAACATACTTAATATTTTCGCAATGTAAAACTTTTCAAAGAAGAAATGTAAGGTTAACTTAACAAAATTTTTTGTTTATACAACATATACATGCAAGCAATTCTGGTTTCATCTAAATCTTTTTTCTCAAAATTAAATACAAAACATTTATCATCAGTGAACTATAAAAGTTTAATTAACAAAAAATTAGAACGGATATCAGTGTTAATCAAACACAAAAACTAAGCAATTATTAATGAAATTTAATTAGCGATTATAATAAGAATTTAGCATGCCTATAATCAACTTCAAAAGATTATAATCGAATTCTTTAACTATAAATTATGATATTGTGTGGCATTTTATATTAAACATTACATAAAAGGAAGCATGCCAAAAAGCAGTTTGCAATTCACGGGTTGTTGATTTTTGTCATCAGCGGCTAAATATACAATACGTCCAACTTGTTTCTGTAACGCAAAACTTAACAGACTTCCAACATAGACAACATTGCATTTGGCAAGATCACAAGTTCAACTAATAGAGTATTTTCGTTTGGCGTCAAAGCAGCAATGCTGGTAGGCTACATAAATGTTTCAATGCTGAACAAAGCATGAATTTAATATAAATTCTTTTCACTACACGACATTTTCTAACAATATGTTTTCCAGCAATGAAAACAAACGCCATACAAACTACGTACTTGAAAATTTGCAAAACTAAACATTTGAAATCTTGGCATCGTAAAACAAGTTAAATTTTTCGCATTTGAAACAGCCTTGTTTAATTTAACAATAACCAGGACAAGCAGACAATTTCAAGTAATACAAAATAAAACAAATTCCGAAAACTTGTATTGAAATCAAACAACAAACTTCTCTGCTATGTTATGAACCAAATTTTCTGCGTGGTAATTTAGCAAAAGATTAGCCTACGTTATAGACCTGCGCAGAATTTATGTAACATTGAAAAAAAGCTTGAATAACACAAAAGCTTTCTAACATCAAGGCAACACTAACTGAGTTAATAACAGCAAATAAACATAATCATATTTTCCATAGGTTGAAAAATAAATTTGCAGGATTGTAAATACTAGATTTCCACAAATTTCTTATGCGATTTTACGCAAATATTTCAAATAGGCATTGTAGTAACAAAAAAGAATGCTGCCTAACGGGGGGTCTTTTATTGGAGTAATTAAGCTATTGAATAAAGATATTAAAGACGAAGCTTGTATATTTTCTAAATATGCGTAATCACTGTATTTGTAAAATATAAAAAATTTAGGTTTATAAAATTTAGGAACTTTTTGCATTGAAATTCAGCATGGATGTATATCAAAATATAAACTTCAAGCGGCCAAGAAATCACACAAATGAAAGCTATATATGATATTGTGGCCATTAAAGACTGTTTAAGATTGATACCTTGTGTCCCACAACATTTTGTAATGCCGCAACATTCTTTGTCGTTAGAACTGTTGTGACATTAGCAGTAAACAATGACGTAATTATGGTGCCTGTGATCATCCAAAGAACAGTAAGAGTTCGTGCTTGAATTGATTTTGGAGACTTATCGCCATAGCTGAAAACAAGGGAAAAGATATAGCTTTTAGGTGTTCAAATAAGTTCCTTAAACAGTGGGAGTCATAAACGTAGGAAGATTGATAATTGGGGGGAAGCTCATATTCATAAATGCATAAGATGCAGTGTTAAGCTACCTTGAATTTCATTGTTTTCAACGGGATTATACGTTACATGTATGAATATGAGCTGATTATCTAACATGTTTTCTTATTATTGCATATTTCCTTCTCCTTAATTTCATTTCATAAATTTTGTTAGGTGCATCAAATGAAATGGTGTATCTCTTATAACATTTGACATATTTAAAACAAAGACATATGATTGTATTGCAATGTCATTCATTCAAGACTATCACTCCTTGTGCAATTAAAAGTACTGATGTTCGCAATGCTAAACGCTCATCGGTGTAATAGATGCTTGTTGAGATGTCTTTGCCATGAAGTTTTGATTCTCAGCATAAAAAAACATAACATAAAAAACAACGCTATTATCGTCATTGGCAGATTTTAAGAATGTATGACGCCATTGTTTAATACACAACGTCACAATATGATAACATATTTAGTTGATGATTGGGTGCAGACGCAGTCAAAACCAAGCTGATCACCTTGCATCTCAGGTACTTCCCTAAACTAGCTCCTTTAAAACCAGACCATGACAGCCTTACCGCTCTAATTGATTGTTGGAATGAAAAAAATAACAGAAATTGTAGCTATTTCTTACTGAAAATGAAGTCCTTAAAAAATACATGCATGTTTCTGCAGGCATGAATTGCCTGCATATACTAACACATGAGGCTTCTTTCCTAGTTCTGCGCGCCATTTCTTTCTTATGATTTTTCGTTTGTGCAGCAATGTTATCAGTAATTTGAATCTTTTGCAATATATGCTGGATATGCCATCTCATGGAAGTAATGCATATTCAAGGAAAACTATACTTCACCATTATAAAAACACATTGTTTTTTTTTATCTCATGGAGAATTGTGTATATCCTTGTCGTTAAAACCAGAGCAAGGGTAATTAAGATAATTCGGTGAGCTCATATTCAATTAACAATGCAAGATATTGTATGTTAAATGTATTGCTTTTTAAGGGTTGTAACATGCATATATGAATATAAGGGCTCTTCTAATTATCGATAGTATTAATATATCCCCGTGATAAAACCATAAATTTGCCGATTATTTTCACTGTCAAAACATTTTTGTTAATGTTGCGCTGGCTGCGCACTTTACTCTCAAGTAAAAATTAGTGATTTAAGCTATCATCTTTGAAGTATTGTGTGTTTAAAATCATTAATAGATGATTTGTTAGTTTTTGATGCCTTTTGACCACTACTACTCCAAAAATATTAATGCATATTCCTACCCTACAGTTGTCATCGTAACCATAGCCCACCAAAATCCTTCCCATGATCCTTTATAAAAATTGTTTGGAAATTCATTTTCATTTTTCTTGCGATCCTGTAAAAATACACATAGTTATAATAACGCTTTTTAAGGGTTTTTCCTTTTCATTTTCCTTTAACTACACATGAAAGGATGATGGGATGCGCAGTATAAAGCAGTTTACCATGAACGTAAAAACATCAATCGTCGAAAAGAAAACATTTCAAAATTTGTTGAAGAATTTTTTGAACACTTATGAACTGATTGATTTCTACATGATCGCCAGTTGTCAAAACACAAAAAACGTGGGTATACAAGCATGCATAATCAGACTAAATTAGAGAAAACGTGATGCATTAAACGGACGCGTTGAAGAAAATTTATAAACTTGACTCTAACATGTGTAATTCCCTAACGGAAATGTTTAATGCTTTGCCTTAAAGAGAGCCGTGTGTGTGCTAGCTTGCATAACAGTCGGAAGTACACGACCGTGCCTGTAGATCCAATAATGATATACACGTATCTGTTATTCATGCTTTGGTCCCAGAAAATTGTCGCTGTTGGCTGAATGAAATATGCCAAAGTGCAAAAACTTAGAACTCGTAAAGAACAAAATAGACAAAAAAAGGGAAACAAAAAGGAAGAATAAACTTCCTATGTATACAGAGGCCTTCCAAACTAAAGTTTTAGCACTTAGAAAAACGGAATGTATTAAGAATGCTACACGCAACAATAAATATATTAATCGTTAATCATTACATTTAAAGAGAATCATACGTCGCCAAACAATTTGCTTATATGATTGCTTCGAAAATTTTTCGTGCGACACAATTGAACTTTTGACCTTCACATAAACATTATTAATTCGTTTACATGAGCCCCACTCGAGAATTGACATAAGAGCGAGAAAAATTAAAAGTAGAACATTCATATCCCTCACATGTTTACATAAAATCATTGTATGAATGAGTTTCATTTCGGGTAGAATCATCAAATTATGGTCCGACTCTCATTTTCCATTAAACATAATTTTTATCGGTCATTGTCTTGCCTAAGTAAAATTGGATCGTCCATATTGAACCGATGTAATATACGTTTATAATGTGTTAAATTGATATATATTCAAGTATTTTAATAATTAGAAGACAATAAAATAAAATTGGTATTACAACAAATGTTAACCGCACTAATTTAATGACCTTCCATTCGTCATGTGGAATAGTAAATAGTAAAGAGCAAAGGTTATCGATGAAAGGACAGTTGTTATATTGCAGAACTAAGAGATAACAATTTTGAACTTTGAATGCAACTAGAATAAAAACAGTTTTAGATTTTAATAGCTTGACGCTAAAGGCATCATTGTAATTTTCAGTTTGCATAGTAAGTGACTTGCAAAGATCATGAACTGCCCATCGCTGTGAGCTTCAATTGAATCTTAATTGAGGTGAACTATATTCATATATTTTGTTGTACCATGATGATTTCTTTTCAAAGTGAAATTGTTTCGAATAGAAACTAACAAAGCATCGCAGAATATATGGATATGGTCTCTCTTCAATTAACGCTGGATTAACGCCAATCAATTGCAAGCTGATTACAAGGCCAACACAAACTTGTTCTTAGATGTATTGTGCAATGGTGTATATTGCTACGACAAGCACTAAATATAAACTTTAAAACGACATGACGATGAGACGGACTTGTCAACTGATTATAATTTTTAAAAACAGTATTTTTAATGCATAAATTATTACACTATGTATACATTACCAAAAACCATCCAAGGATTCCGACAAACCAAGCCATGACAAAAAGTAAGACAAAAAGTGGCCAACATTCGATTAATACACGCGTTGGATCGGTACCCAGTTTCAACTCATCCGCCAACATTATAAGCGCTGGACCAGGGGATCTCATTATCTCGACAAAATAGAATTCTTTATAAGCTCTAGATGCTTCGAAACTCGCGGTAAATGTGGGAAAATATAAATCCAGTGTTTTACTATCGAAAGTCTGAGATTTCCGTCGTTCATCTCGCTTTGTAAATAAAATCTTCTGTACTGAGAAATTGGAAGTTTCATTTACGAAATTTATGGAGATATTTTCACCTTCACAGCACACTTTTGCTAAGTTATCTTGCAACAGTGGACTGAATATTCCCAAAACAGTTCCATTGTCAAAGATTTCTATATAATCGTTGAAGTATCGTTTGGTATAGATATTGACAGTCGACGGGCATCTGTGGTAGGTATTTGTTTGATTTGTTGAATAACTTGAGTTGCCCGAATTTTCGGCAAAGATATCTACTAAAAGTACATTGGAGCACAAATAAATGATTAGAACCTGGTGAAGTCTGACTTGACCTCGCATTTTATCAACACACTTGTCCTTGTCATCTGTACATATGTTTGTTCATTGTTGCGTGACGAGCGTCATAGTACGTGTAATTAATAAATACATGTACTTATTTTAACCAATCATTTATATACTGCTTTATATGCTTCATCAATCATTTGCTGACATTTTAACTTCCAAAGAGCAAACATAGAATGACGTTGCAAGCCTTTTTAGTGCAAGTACGCTAAATCAATAGAGCTTGCATAATTTTGTTTTTTCCACAATCAAACACGCAAAAAATTATGTTGTAAACAAGAGCAAACAGCATCAGCATTACATACAGGCATTTGTGACTGGACCATATGAACTGTGCATTATGAACCGGACTGTGTAGCGGGGACTATGTAGACAGTGAACAGTGACTGTGGACAGTAAACTATGGACTATTGACGGTTAATAATAGGCAGGAAATTGTGTACAGTAGACTGAACGCTTGTGACTATGGAGTGTGGACTTTGGTCTGTGGACGATAAACAGTAAACTTTCGGCTGTGGATTGCGGACGTTGGACTATGGACAGTAAGCAGTGGTCGGTAAACGGTGCACTGCGGACTATGGACTGTTGATTTTAACACTGGACTGTGGATTGTGGATAGTGGACTGGATGGTGTACAGTAGACTATGCACCATGAGCAGTGGACGGTGGACTGCTAAGGATTGTGGAATGCCGAGTAAGGAGTGTGGATTGTGGTTTGCGTACTGAGGACTGTGTATATTATAGACGTTGAACGATGAACATTGGACGTTGTACAATTCACAGTAGACGGTGAACAGTGAGCAGTAGACGGCGTACCGTGGACAATGGACTGCTGAGTATAAATTGTGGTTTGTGGACCGTGCACTGTGCACAGTGGAACGCAACTACTCAGATTGCAAAGAACTGTTCCTGTAATGACTTTTCTAAAGAATTTTCAATTTCATCAATAAAATTACACTTTCTGCAATTAAATCAAACCAACTTTTGAAAAATGAAACGAAATGAATAATTCATCATGATCGATTAGTTAATACGACATGATTGACGATTTTCTGCTGAAAAAAGACGTATAAGAAAAATGAAAATTGTTAAAACGGCGCAAATGTTTCATAAGTTGAATTATAAATTAGCAAAAGCAAAACACGAGCTCTGATTGGTCAATGCCTTTGTTTGGATCCAGCCATTCAAACTCAGGAATTGACATTGCTGTCTCGAGTACACACCTGAAAACAGAGATAAATTTTGCCTAAATTGAGATGGATCGAATTTCTGACCTAGTAAATGCGAATTTAAATCAAGATTGGTGATTTTTCTGAACTTCCTCGTTGTAATTTAACGTTTGTTAGCAAATATTACGGCTTCGTTCGCATTTACTAAATGTTTTCCGGTGTTTAGATAACCTGATTCAAACACTTGAGAATGTTTCTCCAGTAAAAACGCTACTAAACAATCGCCTTCAGCTTGCGCTTTGCGCATATTTCTATCGCTTCATTCCGATCAGGTCATCCAAACGCGGAACCGCTTAGTAATTTTTTGTTATTGCATGTCTAAGAACTAAAATTCAGGTTTCTGAAGAAATTTGTTTATTTTTGCTCACTATTGTTCGTTTCTGTTCGAAATTGTTTTCTGCTGAGAATGTTCCTTTTTTTGTTACTCTTTTTAAATGAAAGTCTCTTCATAAAGCCCCCTAATAACAATACCCTGGAAATTGGTCCCTTAAATTCTCTCAGCGACTTTGGTTTGGCAAATTACTAACTCAAACCATTATGCTATGTTTGTTGGGTGCCATCTTTCTATCGACATTTACGGTCAGCCATACAAAAAAAGTTTGATTCCAATATCCAACTTTCAACGCAAAAAACTATCGTGAGGCAAAATTCATTGACAAAATTCGTTTGCTTATTATTCCCTTTGATTTAATATACAGCTATGCGTTGGATTTTGACGTTTGTGTTGATTTAAATGAAAGTTTGAGTCAGCGGGAGTAGATGTTTGTAGACGAAGATTGGCTAGTGCATGCAGTTAGTGGAATTCTGAGAAGGTCTGCTGATGACGGTGATGTCTGACATTTCGACAACCTTGGTGGTAGTCATTTTCACAGTCACCTTACTCATACAAAGTATATAAGAAATGATAAAATCAGTTGAACTAATATGTCGTCTACAGGTACTTTTTTCCAATTGATGGTTTATAAATGATCATTCATATTCCAAGGTGTAGCATCCCAATAAATTTGTTCACTAGATGTACTTTCATCATTCTCTTCGACTGAGCACAACAAAAGAACTCGTTCTAATGCTCTTTTTTATTTATTTTAAATGACTTTGAAGCTTAAAAACGAACACTTAATAGCCATACAATGAAATTATGACAGCAGAAGAAACAAGGAACTATGTTTGAAGATCATATGTTTGTTTCTTTCTTAGCTTTCCCTTGTTCTAATTTAAACAAGTGTATGAAATATCTGGTGAAATTGCATGTTTTGCCATTAGAAGAAAAAGCCAAAGTAAAGGGAGACTAATTGCTTCACCAGAAGAGAGGACAAATAGAAGCAGACCAAGAAGACCAAGTGTTTCTTCTTCGACGATCGTACTAAAACATAAGTTAATTTTGCTATTGATGCACACATAGCAATACTCCAAACATAAACACTTTTTATGTTTCATTGCAGTTTTTGCATCGCCACTTAACTTGGAAAAGGTATCACAAAAGGATTTTGTGTATTTCTTAAACACACGTGATCCCGTTGATTTATATATTTCATAACATTTTACATGGAACTTGTGAAAAGCACTTTTTGTAATTTAGTTTTATCTTTTATTATGACATCATGGCTTTACATGAAAAATGTTTACTGCATTGTTTGCTCTGGCTTATGCTAATCGAGAAGCCGTTTGGAAGAGCAAGAGAGCAGAGCAGTACAAACCTGCGAATGAAAGTTGACCTATCAGCAATTTTCATAGCTTTAAGAATGCATTCAAACTCTACTCCATTAAATTAAGAGCAGCAACCAATGGACATGATGATCCAACACCAAAAAGTATCAAAACTTTACAGCTACAAGGAAGTAGCATCAATTTTTTAAAATATCATTTGAATAACCAAGATGCATTTGGTAAGATTGGGAATGTCGCCAGCTGAGTGATGTTTTTTAATGTTTCTATATCCAACTCAGAATTCTATCAACATTTTACTTTATGATGATTTGTATTTTGACCAGATAATGCAAAATAAGTTATACTATAGTTATTTCTACTTAATTTAGTATAATATACTTAATATAGTTTTTTATATAATATTGAAGATAGTTTTTGATAATGACTTTAATGTAAATGATAATGATTATAACTTTTCTTCTTAATTTAGTTCGACGCTTTACACAAAACCAATCATTTTATGCAAACATTTAGCATAACAATATTTTCTTTTAAAAAAATAGTTTGTCAGACATCATTCGTTTTATAATAGACACTGAATTTTCAAAAGCCGATTGGAAATTAGGAGAAGGGAGTGCTCTTCACTAAAAATACATTGCAGGCTGACAAAATAACAATAATTGAGGTAAAGTCTTAATGTTGTATTAAAACATTACAATCTAAACTACTCATTTAAGTGTACAAATTTTTATAATTTGAAGTTTTAAACTATCTTTTTCGGGAAATCAAAAATCAGTTTAAGTGTTTAATAGCTTCACTGTTTTGAATATTTGCATAAAATGACATTTTTTTCCTTTCAAAGTGACCAAGTGTCTTCAACTTGCAATTGAGTAAGTATATGATTATATATATTTTAATTATTTCAACTTAAATGTTTGAACTTCGTTGACCTCAAAATTTTTACCTGGCTTCACGTATCCGTTGATGCGTATATGAAGAGTAATATTTTTTGTTACTTTAATTCATACAAAATATAAATAAACATTCATATATTATAAGTTGGAATTTTTACGATTAGAATGTATGTCTTCTTTATTAAACAATGTTTATCTTTTTGACCAGGGTATAATTAAACTTTTTAAGTATTGAAATATAATACACATTTAATATACACGACAACTTTTTTGAAAATAAACATGTTTCGACATCTCATGATGCCATCTTCATACTGAAGATGGCATCATGAGATGTCGAAACATGTTTATTTTCAAAAAAGTTGTCGTGTATATTAAATGTGTATTGGCAATAGTGCTTTTACGAAATTATGAAATATAATAGTTTTAAACATAAGCACGAGTTTACATTGTGGTCATAGCACGAGTTTGTACAATGGCATTCAATTATAAACAAAAACACAATAACGTTGAAGGTGAAATACTGAAATACATAAAGTAAAACGACATGTGTGTTATGTGCTGTGTCCTTTGTAAAATAAAGTAAATAACGAAACAACAGTAATTAAAATTTATTTTCACAAATAAGATGAAAATTTCATGGCATGACACATCATAGTATATGCAGACGTGTTATGATTAAACGCTGAAGCAATTAAGAGGCAGATCCAAAATGCGGAATTGGAATGCAATCAGCTGGACAAAACGCGGAATACAAAATTGGCAAATTTTTTTGATTTTTTTTCGTTGTTGTTTTTTGTACATTCTCTTGATAAACATAAAAGTAGTTTGAATTATTAGAAGAGAAAACTCCCAATTTTGAATTAGTGAACGCATAGAGAAAACCAGAAGCACAATGTGAACTGAGTAATTTGGCTAAATACATTATCCACTCAATTGTTCTTTTCATTCTTCTTCATCAAAACCAGAAAATCCTAACGTTTTACGAAGCAACGCACTCAATCGGTCAATAAGGTCGCAAAGGTAGCTATTACATTGACATAGTAATAATGTTGGAAGCCTACATTAAAAATCTTAGAAGCCTACGGAAATAGTTCAATAGACTTCAAGTTAGATGCAGAAAGGAGCACTCAAAATCTATTTTGTGTCTTATCTTTTATTCCATATTTTCTTTCGAACCCCAACCTTTATCCCCTGTTCCGTTCTGCATTTTATTCTTTTCCGTTGTACGTCCGCAATCTGAACACGCATTCCGCTTCCACGTTTCACCTTCAACCTTATGCAGTAAAAGCATGATAATCATGCTGTAAATGTATGACAAATTGACAATATGTCTTCGCACTCGCAAAGCCATTCTGATGTAAACTGGGTTGACGAAATGACAATAGAACAATGTTATAAACCATATAAAACATTTCAGATTGAATATGTTGAAAGAGAGGAGAGTTCCGAACAATATGTCCCATTTTACTTTGGGAAATCGGTATGTACATTTTGTTGTTTTATCATTACATTATTTCAAATCGTGAATAATTCAAATGCGACATAAGGTAGAATGTTTCAGATCACTGGTTAAATCTATTTATTATTTCTTTAAAATATTTCAAACAAATCATAACGAGTATAAAGTGTTTTCACTGTCTGCATGCCTTGTTATTAGAAAATGCATATAGTGAAAACAACTTTAATATAACCAACCGATCGAGCCGCTTTTATGTTTTATAACATTACATGAGCTGCTTTTTGCTTAAATATCAAATGGATAATTATTTTTTTAGACAATGGAATACTCAATTCAATTGAACATCTCTGAAAATAGCGAAACATCGTATCTCTTGGAAAATACAAATGGATTTCATTTGGATAAACAAGGAATCAAAAGGCTGATTTTCTTGATGGTAGCAATGCTTATCTTGCAAATTAAATGGGCCTTATTGAACGAAAGATTAAGGATCAAGCCATGCATATTCCCAGAGAGCTTTGTTTCACTTGTTAGACTAGGTAACATGTACTATGAATTATTTTATATAGATCTTGTAAACATGGAATCTGTTATCTGTAGTATTAAAAATTACACTGCATGACTGAACAAAAAGTTTATTCAATTTCTTCAAAAAACTAAAAACCGATGTACTGATTCGAACATAGTTAAAAAATAGGTGCGCAGTGCGTATGTGGGGGTAGCCGATCAAATATGTGGCCACGAATCTAAGTTGATTAAAATGAACATAGCTCAAGAATATTATGTATTAAGCAATATTTCCGCTAAACTGGCTTGAGATTTAAAAAAAATTATGTGCTCATTAATTACTCGAATGACCCAGTAACGTTCTAAGCCATTCTACATTCACCAAACGCCCTCTATTAGAATGCATGTCACATGACTGTACTTACATTTACAAAAGTAAAACTCCCAATATTTCTTAAAATATTAATGATGAATTAACTATCATTTCATTTGAAAAATTTTGGAACAAATATTTTATAGTCATTTACTTTTTTAAAGGCTCGTTCACACAATCCGATTTGTTGGACACGATGATTTAAATGAATTTTTGTTGATTATTCAGTCGGTATGATAATTTTCTTGATGTTTATATTCGTTAAGACATTTAACGTTATGTGAAAATGGTTTGCACTATCTGCTACATTTATTGTTATATACTTTTCCTATTTTAATTCTTGTTCCAAGTCTTTTTCAAATCTATGTAATTTGGCTAATTGGCATTCTTTGATCTTGTCGGATGAAAACAGGAAGCTCTGTTTCCATCCGATTTTTTAGATTGACTGATCCGATTGTTGGAGGCTCACTCTATATGTGTTCAAAGGCAAATCATTATAAATTTGAGATTTTGTTCAATTTAAGCTTATTATTTTTTTAGCACTGCCATTGAGTAGAACGAGCGTCACCTCTTCGGCGAAAAAAAATTTTGCTCCCAAATCTTATCTGCCTATATAACAAATGTGCACACTTATTTTGGGTGACACAATTCTTTATTTGTCTGATAGACTTAGTTTTTAGAAAAGAAAGGACTTAATAAGAGCATGCAAGAAAAGATTAAATGAACAACAGTACAACTACATTAAGAAATGGCGTATGTGTTAGCAGTAATAGCAACCACACTAAACTGATATAATTCACTAAAATGGTTAACAACAACAATCATTAATCTAATTTAATGAGCGGCATAAATTTGCATCGCATAGTGCAACTACTTAGACTTAATAACGAAGCTGACCACAGCTGTGGATGTTGAAACATCAAAGTTCAGTTGTTTAAATTGTAAAGTTCTTCATTGATGTAGCTACTTACCTGAGCAATGCATCTAAAAACAGGCAACGATATTCCGGGGTACAAACCATTTAACTTACTACAAGTTGAGCCGTAGAAATCGTTTAATGGATACCCACGGGGAGAAATGGGATAAATAAGATATTTTTTAATTTGAAACTTGCAATTGCCATAGTAAATTGCTGAAAATAACCGAGCAGTTCTGAATAAAGTCTGCTACCTGACGAGAGTGAGTTAACTTTTACAAATATCAGTTGTTATCTAAGGGACATATTTAGTTTGGGAAGAGTAGTCATCATGGCATTTGTGCTTTTCAAAGTAGGACTGTGACTTGTGACTAAAATCCTGTGTTCCGCCCCTTTTCATAAAACCTTTGTACACCCCATAGTATTAATACAATGTATGTCATAAAGCTTTTTTAAACTGCAATAAAATGAGCTTGTGCATAACCAAGAAAATTCACCACGCGACTAAAAATGCAAGCTAAATATCTAAAATTGATTCAATCTATATTAAGCAAATGAATTATAGCCAGTTGATGACGATCGTTTCATTTAACTTATACAACTATCTCAAATAGTTTTAAGCTAAATCTACTTTTGCTCAAACATTCAGTACATCAGTGTTTTTTGTTAATTATATTTACTTGCTGACATCTCCAACAATCTTTTTTAACCCTTTGCTACATGGTGTTGCTTAATCCACTACAGATGCGGCTGCGAGCGCGTTTTGATGAAATAACCCTTTGCTGCATGGCATTTCTTCAGGGCAACACGATGGAGCTCAGTCGCCAAAAAATTCATGCAACAAAAGTTTATTTGCCTCTTGTCAAAAAATGTTTTAAGCAATTGTTATTTTTTAATAGGTACGTATGCTGTTGGAATAATATTTTTCAGTGTCGGAGAGTACAATTATGGCTGTCATCAGTCTATTTGTTACGGAATGTTGGTCAACGTTATTGGAACCATAATGCATAGCTTTCTGGGTGTTGTGAATGGACTTAAAGGAGCTCAAAAGAACGCCGTGTTCTCATCCTGGTCATCATGTGCGGCTGTAATCTCGGGAATTGGCATAATTGTTGACATGTGCACAAATAGAATGTTGAAACTTACGCTTTTAATATTTATTTGTCAACAAGTGCCATCAAAATTTAAAAAAATTATGCAGCTGATTTGCTTCTTAACGACTTGGACGATATTTTTTGTTTGGACAGCACATGGGATCCTTGTTAATATTATGGACACATTTAAGATAAACATTGTTCAAGCTATATTGACCTTGCTACTCGTAGCAGGTTTTTTTTGCGGAAGACGTCATTACCTCATTCGACCACCATGTATTGGAACTCTTTCAACAAATTTAAAAATATTAAAAGAGGTTTTCAGAACACGCAAACGTCCACTGCCAAATTCAAGATGTCATTGGTTAGATCGGGCAAAACTTTTATATGGTGGATCATACAGCAATTGGGAAGTTGAAGATTTAAAATGGATCTTTAAACTGCTACCAATAATTCCTCTCATGGCAGGACAATCTTTTTTCATGTCTTGGGTAAGTTGGTTTGTGTTATTAATAAAGAGAAATTTTCTATAACCGTAAGCATTTCGCCTTTTAAATGATGAACAAAAGAGGAAAATGTTACGTTTTGTGCATTTATTTGAAGAATATATTGTAGACGTGTTTACAATGTTAGTAGTAAAAGCACAGGCGATAAATCTATCCTCGATAACAAAATTATGACTCAACTTTATGTATTATGCAATATAGTCATTACTAATCATCTTATCATATCATAATTTTACCAGGAATATAGCGTTTATGCGTCATAAGTTAGTTGAAAGATAGCAAAACCTTTTAAAATGCGAAAAGCAACAATATTACACAGCTTAATATAATATTGTTTGATGTTTAAAATGCATTAACAGTTGCATATTTTCGATAGCCTAATTTCTCATCATAAAAGCCAAGTTTATTGAAAAATAAGTACTATATAAACAGTAAAAATTCATGAAAAGCATACCTGAATCTTGTGGATTGATGTTGGAAAATTTTTAATTTTGTTGCATAGATGTAATGTGGCCGACTTTTTAACACCTATATTCATCGATTTTATGAAGTTTCTGGGCTAATAATGTTTTCTTGTTTAATAATTCAGGCTTTTAACTTCATCAGTGCATTTTACTAACACAAACATTCCTGCCTGGCTTGTACTTCGTTGATTTAATAAGATGAAGCTCTTTTTCTTCGCCTCCATTTCCAGCCTTTGTATTCTCCTCTACAACTTTACCTTAGACTTATTTTTCATGCTGCTTGACTTATGAAGGTATTTTATCCTTTTCTTCAGGCGTTGGCATGATTACCATATTGAAATGATCATGTTCGTGGGCGCTCATTATAACGCAAAACATACATCCCTGTCTTCGTTTCTTCTCTGTTGTCAATTCCTCACTCGCTGGAACAACTTCTGCTACGTCAATAGCAGGAAAAGCATCATCTTTTCATGTTGCTTACGTTATTTAAGAATAGTCAAAGTACACCAAACACCACGTGGCCCAAGCTTAAAATTTGGTCGATGCTGCAGACAAAATTTATTCACTTTCTTAGGCATCTGACCTTTCTCTTTGTTAGGAAAAAGATAGTACTTCTGTAAATTTTGTATTGGCACAAATTTTTAAGTTCGGACCACCAGCAACGTAAGTTCTAAATCCACGAGGGCATTTATCATTATTAGTTCTATACGCCATGTTTATGACCGATCATCGTTGTGACGTCACACCACGAAAATGTTCGCACTTGATGTTACGAAAATCGTAACGCTAAAAATCTGTTTGAACTAACCAATCGCAACTTTGTTTTTTGCTTAGGTGTTAGTATAGCGGGTTTTTGAATCAAGCAAATAATAAAGCAATCAAGAAATTTATTGCTGTAGCACTTTATGCACAAAATTATTGGCATGTGATTTATACCGGCCTATTTTTACATCTGTAGATACCACATGATTTTTGACTTTCTTTGAATTCATTTATTGACTTAATCTACTGCATACTTGCAACTTAAGTATTGATTTTATAATTTTTACTTTTTTCCTTAGGTTGAAATACTTTCTTCAAACCAGTCAATTCATCTGAAAGCATATTCAAAATTGAATTTTGACTTATTAAGAAGCATTTCTCAAACAACAGCTTTGATAATATTAGCGACTTTATGTTGGCTCTGCAATTCATGTCTTAGAAGATTGAAACTTCTTCCGGGTAACTGTGATGTTTTGCTATCATATGGAGTTGGAGCATTGACATTATTGATCGCTGTTGTTTCTGGAGGAGTATTTCAAATTCTTCTTACAAACGAAGTGGAACAAAAAAGTCATAACAATTCAACCATCGATTTTAAGAATTACACCTCTTCATTCTCGATGCTTTGTCAAACACCTCAATATGTATTTTGTATTACAAGTTATTTTCTTGCCGTTACAAGTGGTAAGTGTGTTTAAATTTCACGTAATTTATCTGATCAAGATTATAAGAATGAGAAACATACAGCGATCATTTTGAGCATGTATTTGAGTGATATTGATGAAAAGTCGCGAATTTATTCACCGATAGATTTTTTCCTGCGTTTTATTGCCAGAAATATTGCGCTGTGTTAATATTTGCTTCTCGAATGATTTCCTGTAGCTGAAGAAAACATTCTAAGTGCAGCTGAGGTGTAGCGCTGGAAAGAATCGAACCAATTACATTCTTATTATTGATCCATCTATATCATGGAGTAAACATTAATATTGGTATGATTCAGCCAGTGGCGTATCTAGAGGTCCCCCTGGTCGGCCGGCTCAGCCCGACCAAAAATTTCCCACAAAACAAAGATTTGTGCGATTAAAAATTCAAAATAAATTAGTTTGAATTTCAAAATAGTTTTAATCCATTTGCAGTAGATTTTGAGAGGATAATCTAAATCTATAAATAACGATTTTGGTTTAATACACCATTAAACTCAAAATTTGTGTCTAGCGAGCTGTGCCGGTTCCATGCTTTTCGCATCTTAGTCGGGCTCTCAAAATTTAGCCCGACCACAGAATAGATAACGTACAGAAGGCCCACTCGCGTCGGAACCTTTAATGTTCGTGTCCTCTACTTTTCTGAATCAAAATTCTGAGCGACTGCGCCTTCCAGCAAGATACTTCAGCATGATCGCGATAGAAATTATAGGAGAATTTTACAAACATATCATTTTTATGAAGAAAACCGAATTGATCGTGAAAAGTTTGCGGTCACATTATGTTCGACAGAAAGTACAATTCAGAGAATAGAATGAAGTTAGATTTATTGCACAAGAAGTGTTTGATTCTTCGGAAAATTCCTCGAAGTCTGAAGTTCGACATTTTCAGGACACGACAGAGGATGGGACAAATATAAAAAAAAACAAAAATCAGTTTCTATTACGAATACATCTTGATGAACTACCGTTTATATTTGCATTATTGTACACATTATTACATATGTTTCACGGTAACATAATTGGGAAACGATTTGTTAATGGAAATAATTTGCGATTAGAGAGATGTGGTCAATGTACATTTTACAAATGTACATTGGCCATGGGACTTTGTGGACACTAGTTTGCACCAACATTTTTTAAATGATGTTCTCCAAATAGCACAAGTTTACATTCCAGCCAACAACATTTATTCCTTCATCTTAATTAACCTTCTGAGAAAGTAACCAGCAACTTAACCGACAGCATTGTCTTGTATATTATTTGAGCTGACAATTTGTTCTCTGAAGTCAGGTGGCATAACTGATAAAGTTTGAACATTGTATACAGCTTTAGCACCAGCCAAATGAACAGCATTGAACTTTTCCCTCGTCTATTTTTGGAAATGGGCAAGCATTTTGGCATAACTTCCCTTGAATGATGTAAGGAGGAACTAAAAAAGCTTTTTAAAAGCTCTGATACTGATGATGGATTGTTGTAATTCCTACTTGTTGCCATATGCAATCAAAAAGTTCTCTTTTGCATCTATATTCAATATTCTCGGAAATGAGAAGGTGAAATTGTGCGAGGATCATATTTTATTAAAGATATGAATGATGACATTTAGAGTCACTAGCCAGGGACCAAATTTACAATTGTTGTAAAGACATTCAGAATTTTTGTTCATAAGGTCCTGACAATGCAATTTTGTACCCATTCTTTTGTTCTGAAACAATGCTGGATTTATTAAAAACAAGCGTCAGTTATCGTTTCCCATTATTTGTTGGGATACATTTATGTGTTCTTGTCTTATCTTTAAACTTTAATTATTTCTTTGTTGCCATTTATAGCTTTATGATGGTTACATTGAAAACATATGTTGGTTTTCAAAATTGTTTTACTTAACAATTTTTTGCCAAATTCTCAATGACTAGAAATACTCTTTACGAAAAAATATTTGTAATTTGCTATCAGCAGTTAGTAGAGTGTCAAGGACATGGATCAACATTGTTGTGTGGTTAAGGAAATGGGATTTCTGATTTTCATTGCTTTTACATAAAACTTAATCATTCAAAAGTAAAGAAAAATATTGATATTTATTTCAAAGATATCAAAATAAATTCTGTTAATTACACATTTGTCATAACAGCAACTGAATTGTAAACAAAATTTTCAAGTTGTCTCTTCAAATAAAATTGCAGCTATGTACCACCACGCTTTATTTCTATACAAATATAAAAGTATCGTTAATTTATAGATACGAAGATAACGCAAGATATATAAAATTCATCCCGTATATTGTGGATCTTGTTATGTTTTACTTATCATAAGAATGGCTTAGTTGTGCCATGAGTATGGTAAAAACTGCAAAACAATGGCGCACAAAATGTAAAGTAAAATACCAGTACACAGTGGACGCTAGTAGGTCATACTCCAAGATTTCATCATCATCATCATCATGAGCCTGTCACGCCACTGCTGACTACAAAAGTTTTGTTCCTTATCTCCTTCCCATGATGACCACTCCTGGTAAAAATTTTGGCAAACGTTCGCTTTAAACGTGAATTATTAGCAAAAAAACATTCTCTTGCAATACAACTCCATATTAAAATTGTGAAAGTATCTTAGTCAAGTCAAGCAGAGGTCGCACATGCGCAATGAAAAAATGAGCCACAATTTTGGCTGAGTGACCTTTCTTTTACGTTATCTATTCTCCAGCCCGACCATACAATATATTTTATAGAAAAAGTATTCGTAATCTAATTGGCTAATGACATCTGAGCATGCGCAAACACGTAGATTTGGAGCATTTGGTCACGCTCATTTTATAGAGCCCAACTTGAGCCTTCGACATTAAAAATCGGAAAAACAAAGTACGTGTTGCACGTTTCAAAGGGTTAACAGACTCACGCTAGTATTTTACTTAAGATTTAATGAAGTTGACGCGAAATTTTACAGCTATATGGCTTCATGAAAGACGAAGTAATCTTGTAAAGAGTTGGCATACAAAGTGCATGATGGTTCTATGGCTGTTTCATGAAGGCAATTTTTGCGGATTCCTTGAAATTGTGCATGGTTTCCCTTATAAAAAATCCGATTTCACAGTTCATTTTATATAATTATCTGAAAATTGTGGACAGTCAACTGGACTCTTTCTCAGCTATTCTATGAAATTTCATTAATGTTCTAAACGTGATGATACAAGATAAGTTTTTAAATGATATGGGGGGTTGTAGTTATTTTGAGTAAATTGGAGTTGACTGAAGCACCCGCCAAAAAGTAATTTGGTTGTATTTGTCTTATTTGTCTTATTTGTCTTTAAAGGTATTGACACTTCATGATGACAGCTTCGGTTAATCGGTTTGTGTATGCTAGTTTTGACAGAAAGAGTTGAGTTGCTATATCAGTTTATAAACTGATCATATTTTCTTTACTATGTCTTCTCATTTTCATTGTGCTATGGCATTCTTGTAATATCATTTTCCTTTTTTAATCTCTGCTTTGCTCATTGGCTGATTTTGTTGTATAAAGTTGCATTTTTAGTTCACATATGAATATTTTTGCAAGTTATATGTGTTTTTTTTCAATTATCACTTATGTTAATTATCACTGTATTTGGACTAAGTTTCCCGCTCCTTGTAATGCGTGATTACATAATATAAAGCTGAAGTGTGTTATTTTGAAAGATTTGAAAATGTTTAGAGATTTATAAATGTTTTGATTTTAAAGTCATAAAATATGGATTGATAAAATATTGTAACAGTTCAAAAATTGAATTTTGCTTTAATCTTGAAATATACATTTATATCAGAATATTTGTAGTTTTATCATTATTTTATGGCTTCATTGTGAATTTAAGAGTTTTGAGATCAGTTATGCTAATACCAACATTTCCCCTTCAATATAATGTCATTCATTGTCCTGTGTACAGTCATAAAACAAAAAGTTACCTTAAATTTACTATGAGTGAACATAAAAGCTGCATGTAAAGTTATGACAATGAAGTTGAGATCTAAAACTAAGACAGTAATTTTTATTTTCATTTGTTAGAAACTTATATGTTGTTTGTTTGTACTTTAAAATCTGTACATTAAACTTCGATAAAGTACTCATGTCTTACTATACGTATGATTGAAATCATGACGTCATAGGATGTGGCTCTGCAATAGCGTGACCAAAAATATTTTGCTAGATACGCCATTGGATCCAGTATGTTTGCTTAGCGTTTATTGTGAAGATTTTTTATGTTTATTGGTAATGAATAATAAACTGTTAGCTTAAATGGGTAGTTAAAGTATTATGGCATTTGATAGGTATTGTGTGTATGTGTGCTGATGTTTCCCAACAATCACTATAACATGTAGAATAGTATTTTCTATTTCAAAATTTAACGAATATATATTTGACTTTTTTATGGTCTCTGCCTTTTACAGCATAATGAAAGTGAAAGTACGAAATTCTTTATATCCACATTATACTGCTTGGAACATTATTATACTTCCTATTGAATACATCATTCATGTAAGCATGTTCAAGTTAAGCTGTCAAATCAACCAGTAAAATTGATTAAATGTTCTGTTTTAATTACATGATACACCAATCAAGTTCAACCAGCTAGATGTTAACATGACACAATATTTTCGACAGTAAAATGATGAAATTGACCAAGTGACTGACCATTTCACACAAACTGTTGTCGGCGGATAATTTCTGGACTTGTCAAAGAATTCACTCAAATATGTGCTCAAAATGACCGCTGTATGTTTCTCTTTCTGATAAAATTTGATTGCATAGTTTTCGAAACAATATATCGGCAAAAACTATTAAAAACTTAATTTTTGTAATACAACCTATGTATATGTTTTGCCCTCTTGTTCCGCCATCTTAGATTATTCAAGATGGCCCCACGGGCGCTACCAATGAACTGTAATATAACTGGAAGGCTAACTCAATATACGCATGTCTGGACTTGTCTCAAGCCAATTAGAAGCTGATTTGCAGCTTCGCGTGTGTCTCGCGTTGACTGTTTAATTTTGCGTGACGGATTGTTTTGCAAAAACTGCTAACTTGGAAATAGAATGCTAGCCAAAATGTTTTTTAAAACTGTTAGCAAAATTTGGTTATTAATGTGTAAGTTGCTTTGTGGACGTACCAAGACATGATTTGTATGCGTAACAGTGTATTATGTAAAGCATAAGAGTGAGAATTTGCTTCGAAATATGTATTTCTCATTTGTCGTCAAAAGACCAAAAATTTAAGATAAAACTGATAACAGGTAGACTGTATCTTTGAATACCGTGCAAAATACGCACAGTCTACTTAATATAACATGTTTCATAAGAATTTTATTGCTTTTAAAGTTAGACTTGCTTTGTAAGAATTTCATATGCTCTTTTTGTAATGTGTGAAAGAGATGATTTCAAATTTTGAATTTTGGGTGATTGTTGGTTCTTGTCATTTACTTCTCCCACTTCTTAAGAACTGGTGGAATATTTGACATAAATCCATATTTGTGTATTGAGCATTTTATCAGCAAGTTCATGCTTATAAATAAATAACCATGTGTACAACATTACAAGTATTGCTGATATAACCTGCTCTTCATAAATGCCAAAAGCAACCCTCATCCCCAGTGGTTTGAACCAGGGTTTTAAAATGATTTTGGAGCAAGTAAAGCTATATCACGTATCTAAATTTTATTTGATTGTAAAATTAGTTTTTTCTTGTGATACAGATGGTGATAAATGTATATATATAATATATTACATTTTAGGATGTGTGTTTAAAATGTGTGGTCATATTTGTGAGAATGTATGATGATTCTATAATATTAGACTAATAATCTTTTTCATACTTGTATTACATTACAATTTTTGCTTAAGTGTTTCAAAAGATATGAATATGGAGTGTCATTTGTTTTTTAGTCTTTTTTAAGTGGGTATTGACCCTTTTTTAATATTGTCTCTTTAATGGTGCAACTAATAATAACACAATAATATGGCATAACAGTTTTTTTAAAACGAACTTAATATATTTTTTGCGAACTTTTTGAAATATTTTGCAAAGTGTTTTTCTTTTTGTTTACGCTCTGAACTTTCAAAAAGTACTGGGGCGAGCTAATTTTGCTCGGAAACACATAAATTACAGAAAAACAGCATTTTTCGCCCTGACAGCTTCATTTTCAAAGATTCAAACAATATTATAAGGATAGACAAGTGTATTTTACATCCTTTTAATGAAAAAAACGAAGGGTGTCAGTTTTGCATTCAAGTTATAAGGCATGTTTTCACGTGCCAAATAAAGTTCGCCTTTCATCCTTCTAGAAAGAAGGTTAAACTTGCACAAATGTCGTTCAAACTTGTTTTATATTAATGTCCAAACATTGTTTAAGGTTTTTAGACATTAAGCTGGCTCAAAGACGACTGTTTTTTGCAAAAAATCCGGCAATCTCGAAGTGATGTATTTCGCCTCCGCACCCTCGATGGCGGCGACCATGCAGGCTTCAATGATGGCGGCCAAGTTAGCCTTCCAGTTGTTGTAGAGTTCACTGCGCGCTACATATAAATGTTTATTCGTCAGCAATCTATGCTCATGCCATTGATGCCCTTTTTCCAATTTTAATTTTCGGTCTGAAGTTCATAGCGAAATTTTTTTCAAAGAACAAAATTTCAGTAACATTTCTTATAATTTGTTTATCGTCATAACCATACACACACGTATTTTGAGCAGACACAATAGCCAGTGAGCAACTTCAAGACGTGCACGTGAAACTCAAATTTGTAAAGTTTGCTGTATTTTTTTATCAAATACACTTGGTAGCAGATGCATTAACTATTTCATTAAACTCAAGAATTATTTGTTTTAACCAGGGCTGACTTTAGTAATGGAAGAGGCACCACGTTGTATTCATGGAATTCTTGTTCCGATCTTTTATCTTGGTAGAATTGGTGGTTATTGTTTTTGTCAGATTTATGTTGAAATAGTAAAACGTGGAATTTTTCCAAATTTTAAAATGCAAAATGATTCCGACGGCATGATAACGAACAAAAGTAATCTACAAACATATTACTTTGTAACTTCAGCCATCATACTTGTATATCTACTATTGTACATTTACGTTGCAAAGCAGTTTAAGGCGAAAAGAGAACGCGAAAGATTGGAAGCTTTAGAGCGTTTAGCCGAAGAGCCTGAGGAAAGCTCCTCCAGTATCAACTGGGATGCGTTATCTTGGAATGAATATGACCCCACTCTGCGAATTAGCACAGTTTATTAATTATGGTTGAAATACCATTGGTAAATTAAGTAAAACTGAGAAATATGTTTTTCTTAAATATAAGATTGGAAAAGCTAAAGGAATATTTTGATCTTAGTGATCTTAATATAAACAAGTCCTTTATGCATGTTGGAATGTCGTGATGTTGCATGTTGAAATGTAGAAAATATTTTGTGATGGGTTTTCATAAGTATCTTGATTAAAGTAAATGTCAACTCAAAAATGTAATTCTCAAAATATTGTGCAAGTATCGATGAAATAGCTTAACAAAACTAATTTTGATTACAAAGCATAATGCACTCAGTCTTTCTTTGTATTTCCAAGTTTCATGTATAGATAAATTTATGGTGTTATTTTGATATATTTACGTCAATAGAAATTGTGATCTATTTATATTGCAGCATGCCAATGTATTTCATTGCATTGTCTGATTGACCTTACCCACAATACAATTTTACCCAAGAAACCTTCGATTTGAAAGCACAAATGTGCAAGCTTAACTAGTTAAAATTCACTTTAATTTACTTTAACAAACAAAATTTAGTTTTTTCGCACCAAAAATTTATGGGGCGCCGTTTGTAAAAAAATTAAACACACAAAACATTTATGTTTCTAATGCAATTTAATTTGTATTTTGACTTGCAGGCATCAAAATTGTTGCAATTTATTAAATGACAAGTGCAATTGCATTGTCATTTATTAAATCACAAGTGCATTGTTTTTGCGATTTATTAAATCGCAAGTCCAATGTCATTGCCATTTAATATATCGCAAGTGCAATTTATTTGTGATTTATTATATCGCAAGTGCTATGTCATTGCGATTTATTAAATAGCAAGCGCAATGTCATTCTTATTTAATAAATCGCAAGTGCTATGTCATTGCGATTTATTAAATAGCAAGCGCAATGTCATTGTTATTTAATAAATCGCAAGTGCTATGTCATTGCGATTTAAAACAGGCTTAGCCTGTTTTGCCTGAAAATTGGGTCGATAATTAATTGGCGGGAGAAATTCAACATGGAGGACAACGAACAGTTAACGAGAGTTATTTCGGAGGCAGTTGCTAACGCAATTCGACAAGCGAGCAACGAGTCGTCGGGAAATTCCAGCGAGTAACTTAATCAGGTATTTATCCCTTTTTCTCAGCACTTTTTCATCACAATACGCTTTGTTCAGATAATAATTTTAGCCAAAAGAATTGAAAAGCACATGGTCATACTCAAATAATTTCTCAATAACAATTTTCCCTCTCACAAACTCATCTTACATATGAAATACTCTGAGAATCGAGTATTTTCTAAAAATTCATTGATTTATTTGGCTGATTTTTTAGTTGTTTTTTTCTTGCTCTATTTCAGAGTCGAAGAAGACATAGAAATACACTACAGCTGCCAAGTTCTTTTGGTGGGTTACCATCAGCCACACCAACATCAAGCCGGAAAAGACGACAGTCGAATATTTTTCCAAGGCCTAAAACACACACGAAAAATGTTCTTTGCTTGCCCCCTGTGATTGGTATGAATATACCAATTCCAAGGGGTGAAGCCAGGACAAAATTAGTTGAAAACGGCATGATGGCAAAAATGACATTTGAGTCCACGTGGAATGAAAATCAAATGAACGCTGAAATTTATAGTTTGTTTCGTGAGCTTTTTGAAAATGATAGCAGCCCCATGTTCACATTCCAGTATTTAAGGTTGTTCATGTGAATTATGCTGTTTTGTGGAATTTTGTCGCACAGTATAAATTAAATCATTTGTTGGATTTTTTGTCACAGGTCTGTTAAAAAAGGTACTAGAATGTACGTTTAATAAGTTAATTTTTTTTATTATTACTTTTATATAGCACTCTTCCTGGTGCAAAGAAGCTTTGTATTCCCAGAACCTCCACCTTGTTTCATTGGAATGCAAAAGAGGTTTTGTCTATCTGCTTGAGGGATACGTTGTATGTGGCAGCTGAACAACCCCCCCTCAAAATGAAAATACAACAATCAACTATTAATAACTTTGTAAGTTTACAAAAACGAGATTGTCTTGGGTATGAATTTGTAGGATTGCAACAACATATTTATGTGTAATTTCACAGTCTACAACTTGGCTTTTTGATTTGATTTTTGCAAATGCAAGGGAGAGTAAAACAAAATTTTCCAAATAAATTAGAAATCGCATTTAAAGTAGAGACCTTTCATCTTTTTATCTTTTAATCAGCTGTGAGTACTTTTAGTTATAAACACGTAAAACTAGGAAAGTAGCTAGTGTTAAGTTAAAATAAATGTATTTGTGAAGATGTGAATTGCCAACTTCTAACAATGTGCTACAGTCATTGTTATTATAACATGAAAGATAATTGTATTTTTAGATCTCGCATTCAGAGTCTGAAAATGATTTCACTCCTGGAGGTGAAAATTTGGTAAATGACTCGAAAAGCAGTATAAGTTAAGAATTGAATTGTACTCCAAGAGTAAGGTAGTCACATATTAACTACGTGTCACAAATAATTTTCCTTATTGATGGAAAAGCACATTCAGTTGATTTGCTCATTATTGTCTTTTTCAATACTTTTTCAGCAATTATGAACATATGATCATAGAAAAAGAAATCATTATTTCAGACGATGAGGTCGAGCTTGTTGAAACGTCACAGGCTGAGAGAAAGTAAGATAATTGGTCAAAATAAAGTAATTTGTATCGAATGCTTAATTGTCCTCCAGTTTGATTTGGTGGAACACACTTTAAACGATGGCCATTTTGTTGGTATTTTTTCAGTGAGGAATATGTATCCTTACAGTCGATATTGTCAGATATTTCTGCAAAGGAAATTGACGAGGAGTCTAGATCATTCATAAATGTTCGTCGTAGCCAAATATGGGTCGACTCTTGTCGTCATTTAAACAAGAAGAAATTCAATCCAAAAGCTGCAGTGTCAATTAAATTTGCTGATAGCCATGGAGGCAATGAGGGTGCTGTAGATGCAGGAGGACCGCGCAGAGAATACTTTAGGCTATTGCTCCGCGCTGTGAATCTTGAAGCTGGGATATTTTGTGGTCCTGAGGACAATCGCGTTCTTTTCAAAAATGCCACGGGTGAGAACAGGGAATCGATCAAGCGAAGTTATGGTTTCGTATTGAATTAATAATTTTATGTAATTTGATATACTAATGATGCATGTGAATGTTAGTTGAAAGTTTCTATATTCTATCTTATTTAGCTCGAAGTAAGGGATATTACATTCTTGCAGGAAAAATTATTGCCTGGTCGCTTGTGCAAGGTGGACCTGCAGCGAATTTCTTCAGCAGGTCGCTGTATAACGCTATTGCATTTAATGGAAATTGCAGACAAACATGTATGGAAGATATTGCAGACATAGAACTTCGTGAAAAACTTACCCTGGTTTGTTGAGATGATTTAGATACATCATTACTTGACTTGGACAAAACTTTATTACGTATTAAAGATATTTTTACGTTCCATTTTTCTTTCAATAAAGTTGTTTTCTTGATTTTCAGATTAGTGATGCCAGTAGTATTGATGACATCAACAAAATACTTGAAGACAACGTTTTAAAGAACATGTTAGAAGCCCAAGGAGCTCTTCCTTTTGTGTCAGATGTAAATGAGAAAACCCAAATCTGTACGTTGTTGGTCCAACATGCTCTATTGGATTCTGTGCAGTTTCTTCTCAATGAGCTTAAAGAAGGACTTGAAACATTTGGCGTTTTGGAATCGATTCAACGATATCCTGAAAAATTTAGAGAAGTATTTTTCATGGGCGAAATGAGTAAATTAGATGCGCAACTGGTTGATCTTCTGTTCATTCCTAATTACGACGAAGAAGGATCAAATATTCGATTTTCACAAGAAGAGGCTGTTGTATATTTTCGAGATTACTTACAGGATTGCATGGGTAGGTAAAATGAACCAATATTTAGCGTGATTTCAACAATATTCTGATATCAATTTTTCTGTTTGGAGCAACAAACCTCTCTTGTAACTGTTTGCTTTTCTTAGTTTCATTTTATTGTTCTCATTCAATTTAAGATGGGGACGCCGAGGCAAGCCTGACTCAAGTATTTATTTTTGCAACTGGGGCATACTGCCCACCTCCTCTTGGATTCGACAATGAGCCTTCCCTTGAATTCACAGAAGGAAAATTTCCGAAAGCAAATACATGTGTTCCGGTTCTTTATTTACCGTTAGGACACAGCGAGTATTCCACATTCAAGACAAGCTTTGATTTTGGAGTATTAAATTCGCCCCGTTTTGGGAAAGCTTGAAGATTAATGAGTACAGTGCAGCTGTGTGTTATGTTGTTCAATTAACAAGTTTAGGTTGTTGCAGATTTTAAAAAGAATCTCAAGTGTTTTTTACAATACTTTTACGTTTAATTAATTTGAATGGTTTATATGTAAGTTGTAGTCATTAACGTTAAGTAAGTATTCACCAACAAACTGAATAGCTCTTTGATACAGGATTTCTCCATCTTCAGTTGATAACGGTTCAACTGTTTGCAAAAGTTGATGCAAACCATGTTCATCGAGAACATTTTCATTAGAAGAAACATCTACATATGGGTTATCGTTCATCTCCAACAGTTGTCCTGCACTCAGTCCACCTGACCCCCTGCATTAAATCTTTCAAATTGTAGAGTGGTACGATGGCGATATCTGTAAAACAGTTGTACTGGTGAGCAATTTTCTTCTGTTGAGATATTATGATTGTTATTTGCTGCGATGAACTCCAATAGCGCTTTGTTTAGCCTTGGCAAAAAGATGTAGTGAAGACAGTACAAATCGGTACTGTTCGACGGGTCCAACAACCCTTGATTTTCCAAATTGTAAAACTTTTGTTTGAAAACATTAATAACTTGCTCGTTTACAGTTCTGTTGTGGCGCTCGATTCGCTGGTTGTGTACAGAGCTGCCAACAATAACAGATTGGGATGACGAGCCATGCACGTCTACCATATTCCTCCATATTTGAACATTTTCACCCCCATAGTCGGTGCGTATTTTTAATGGCTGGCCATACTTCTCGACTGCTTTGTTAAATAGATCCAAGACCGTAGATGCGCGGTTATTGTTTGAAAACTTGCCAAATGTAACCAATCGGCTAAAGCCATCAATGCCATGATGCAGCACAAACTTCCAACGTATTAGTTTATGATTGCCATCAATGTGCCACAGGTAATTTGGGCATGGCACAGAGTAACGTCGTCGGCGAATTCGTAAGCTACTACGTGTTTCAGCACCACGAGGATCTACTTCTTTAATGATACTTCTGATTCGGTTTCTTTGAACGTTAACACCTTTGGCGCGCAAGTGACCTTGTACCATCACCTCACCAGCATTTGGGTGACCTAGTTTGATTGCTACAACAGAACAACGTAACTCGTCGTTTGAATGATTTGAAAATCGTCCCTCTTAAGGAATATTGTATGCTTGTATTGCAGCATATACTGTTGGCCGGGAAACAGCCAATAATCGAGCTATTTCACTGATAGGTGTCTTTACTGATAGCAAATTTTCTAAATACTCTCTCGGGATATTCTTGCTAGGTCTACCAGCAGCATGCACACTATGAAATGACAAAACAAGTTTCTAAACATCTATTTTCATACAATTTCTATTTCAAAATAAAATACTAGGAATATTAATGTTATGTGTATGCATCTCACATAAAACAAGATTTTTGTTATCTTCGAAGTTATCTTCTAAACACCTCATTAAAACACTATTATGGCTTTCTATTATATGTTACATGTAAGCCAACGACATAATAACTAGGAAGATAAATTGAGCTGGTAGCTATTATTTAAAGAGACTTGCGTCGAGATTCCAAAAAAAGATAACGATAATGCTCGTTATTGTGAGGCAGTACTTTCGCCATCCCAATCGAAATGAAATAAAATTAATGTATGTTGTGTGCGTACGTATACCTGTCAACCTGTCAGTTTAAAATAATAATTTTAGACTGTCATATTGCTACTCCAGTGTCAATATTTGAAATAATTGTGATCAAGGTAACGACACGTCTGGGTTAGCACAATAACCCCAGAATCTTGACGTGCAATTCATCCATGTTGGTGGTCTGATACAAAAGAATATTTTATCAGAGTTATTGTTGGCACCAGCAGGCGTGGGCGAGCAACATTGTTTTGCAAATCTCAAGAGAATGGTTGCAAGTCAAGAATACTTTTTCCTAATGAGAAGTCAAGGACAAATATTCGGTTTCCAGAAGTTTGACTTTTTAAAATGAATTTCTATAATAATCTAAGGGAAATCACCAGCAATGGCGATGACCCTCAATTTTTTTTTCAACATCATTTTTATATGTATAAGTAGACAGTCTAAAGACAGACAGGCTGAGACAGCCCCTCGTCAAAGCATTTCAACAAACAAACATCTCTGTGTACCATTATTGTGATGAAAAAGTGCTGAGAAAAAGGGATAAATACCTGATTAAGTTACTCGCTGGAATTTCCCGACGACTCGTTGCTCGCTTGTCGAATTGCGTTAGCAACTGCCTCCGAAATAACTCTCGTTAACTGTTCGTTGTCCTCCATGTTGAATTTCTCCCGCCAATAGACCACTTTGGCGGTTTTATTTGAATAAAAAACACGTGCTCGCTAAGTGAAAAACTCGGACAAACATGGCGGAAGTCATAACAATGACTAATTTGCTATATGAAATAGAAATAATAATAACGATACGTGGCGGAGTAATTTTATAACAATGGTTACGACGAAGAGGTGCGCTTGGGGAACCTTCAAAAGCGATTCGCGGTATCCTGATCGTTTAAAACGAGACGCAAGTAGAAGCAAAGTATTTTTTTTACATTTTCCTGGGGAGAAATACCATAGCGACAAGCGAGAGCGCTGGATTCGTGCGTGTCATCAAGGTGACAGATTTGTGTGTACGAAAGACAGTTATATTTGCAGTCTTCATTTTGTGGGAGAAAATGGTCCTACTGTAGATAACCCAGACCCTATTTCAGCGATACAAAGTATTGAGAATGTAAGTGTTGACTGCTTTTTTGTCATAAATGTGTGAATTATACGAAAGCTTACTGAACGTTTTATAAGCTTATACATTCATTTTAAATTCATATAGAGAAGAAAACTAACGGGAAAACGAAAAACACCAATGACGCGAGTATATAATCCGCCACCAAAACGAGCGTCAATCTCAAAAAAAGATGCAGCAGAGGCTCTTCTTTACTTGAGCGAAAGGGAACACGCTAAAAGAGACGCAGCTGACGCCCTCCTATCCTTATGTGAAAATAGTACAACATCCCGTGATATCCAAGAGGACCAAGACGAACTTCTTGTTTTAAAGAAAAAAGATGCTGCTGTTCAAACCAACCTAACTCATGAACATCTTAAAACTTATGCGACTGAGTCATTGGTTAACACCAGCAGTATAAAGAAATGCATGTTTTTAGAAAATGTGGTTAATGATTCTGCCCATTATACAGGTATAAAATTTCATTTTTTACTATGTTGATTATAACTTGATATAATTGCTTATGTTGGAAGCTATTGGAAATAATAAAGGACTTTGTGAGCTACTCTGAATTAATTTATCTGTAGGCCTACCAGGTGAAATGTTGAAAATACTTTTTGAGTTCGTGAAAGCAAAGGCTTCCAGGCTTATCAAATGGAAAGGGAAGAAAACAGCAAAATATAAACAAGAAAAAAAGAGCAGTGCTAGGGTACAGTAATATATAATCATACATATTGCTCAAGTAAATACTCAAGTTAATAGCTCCCTATGTATAATGAATGATAAGCACTTAATCATTTTTATAGATCCACAAAACTTCTACATGGGCTAAACTTTCAGTTTATGAGCAATTTATATTCACATTGGTCAGGATCAAAAGATTCCCTAGTCTCAAGATGTTATGTGATTTATTTGGAGTGTCAGAAACTGTTGGTAGCAGCATATTCTTGACATGGGTGAAGTTTCTTGAAAAGGAATTAAAGTTATTTATTCCATTTACAACTTTGAAAGACATGGAAGGAATAACCCGGCCTAAAGTTTACGAATCTAAACCATGTCTTCGTGCAATAATTGATTGCACAGAATTCTATATACAAAAACCTTCTCTTCCTTCAAGTCAACGTCGGACACATAGTAACTACAAAGGCAGAAACACCTTCAAACTATTTATTTCCATGTCACCGCTTCTACATATCAACTATATCTCTACATTGTTCAGTGGTTGCATAAGCGACAAGGAAATCATCAAGAGATGTGGATTTTTGGAAGAGTTAGCTGCAGGGGATGAAGTCATGGCTGACAAAGGATTTAATATCCAGGATTTACTTGCCCTTCAACATGTCCGTTTAATTTCACCTCCAATTATGCATAAAGGTAATGTTGGCACTGGTGCAACAACAATGACAAGGAGAGTAGCTACAAAGAGGATTCACATTGAAAGAATTATTCAACGACTGAAGTCATTTAGTATATTACAAGGTGTGATCCCATTAACAATGAAACCATATATTGATTCTGTTGTGTCTATCTGTGCAGCATTGGTTAATTTGCAACCACAGATTATTGCATCACCTTAAAAACATTGTATATAGAAGCTTTAAAAAATATACAATAAAATATTCCTTTGTGTTAGAGATACACTTAGATCAATGCAGAGTAAACAATGTGTGCAAAGTTTTGTGCCATTTATTTCTTTCCATTGTGGCATCCTTGTTACTGAACCATTTATGTTCCATGAGAATGAAATCATTGGGACATTTCTCATATTTTTCAATATCCTAAAAAATGTTGTGAGATTGAAAAAGTAAGCACTCTTCCCTATGTTATTGCATTGAGTACATCTTTCCTACTATTAGGCTCTAACTTGAAGAAACATGTAGTTTCCATAATTACCTTCAAAAAGTATTTAATAAAAAGTGATACAAAAACAGCACAGAGATTTGAAGAGATTTCCTGCAGTGGAACCTACCAAATAATGCATATAGCAAGAATTATTTGCACAATATATTTTATTGGTGGTATGATAAGAACTCACTTTTAACATATGATGAGAGCGATGCTTTCTTTTGATGCTGTGCTTTTGAAAGGTGTAGTCCAAATATCTTCAGAATGAAAAGTAAAAATTCTATTCCAACAGTAACATAGCAATGAGAGTAGTTTCATAGCTTTGAATTTCTCTTCACGTAACCTTTCTTCCATTTTAGCGCTTATATTTTGTCCTATTCTATATTTTGTCCTATTCTATATCTTGTCCTATTCTATATTTTGTCGTAAATTTATATAGTAACTAAAGGGAGTGTTCTCAGTCATATCCTGCACGTAATAGTGGGATGACTTAGTTCTTTCTAAGCGCGTTATAATGCTTTCATGCTTTGTGGTCGGGCTTGTGTAGTTAGCTTGTAGCGCGTTGTTGTGCTTACTCACATCGTATATCCGTTGACGCACATCAACTATGACTAAGTTTGATTCGTCGCTACATTTGCAAGAGAGCGAAAAATAATTCTATTTCATATAGCAAATTAGTCATTGTTATGACTTCCGCCATGTTTGTCCGAGTTTTTCACTTAGCGAGCACGTGTTTTTTATTCAAATAAAACCGCCAAAGTGGTCTATTAATTATCGACCCAATTTTCAGGCAAAACAGGCTAAGCCTGTTTTAAATCGCAATGACATAGCACTTGCGATTTATTAAATAACAATGACATTGCGCTTGCTATTTAATAAATCGCAATGACATAGCACTTGCGATTTATTAAATAAGAATGACATTGCGCTTGCTATTTAATAAATCGCAATGACATAGCACTTGCGATTTAATAAATCGCAATGACATAGCACTTGCGATATAATAAATCACAAATAAATTGCACTTGCGATATATTAAATGGCAATGACATTGGACTTGCGATTTAATAAATCGCAAAAACAATGCACTTGTGATTTAATAAATGACAATGCAATTGCACTTGTCATTTAATAAATTGCAACAATTTTGATGCCTGCAAGTCAAAATACAAATTAAATTGCATTAGAAACATAAATGTTTTGTGTGTTTAATTTTTTTACAAACGGCGCCTCATAAAAATTTGCTTTGAGTCAATGAAATAAATGAAACAACCTGCGATAGTTTTCCGACGAAGCGACGAACGCACCGAACGTTATTTTTCGTAATCGTTCGTAAGTCCAAGAGTCCAACTATCTCTCAGAGATACATAAAAACAGAATGAGTCTCTCAGAAAATTCCGATGCTTATTCTAAAGTAAAGAAGGTTTGCGCTTGCACAACTCAAAAAGAATTAACTCGATTGTATTCAGAATGGAGCAATTCATATGACGAGGTAGGATTTACTAACGTAGACTTTCTATTAAGGAAGTACAATTCCGAAGTTTTTCGAATATTTTCATGTCTGGGTTCCGGGGTTCGTAGTTTCTTGTGCACTAAAACATGCACTCCATTTACCGGCTATTCCTGTAAACTAAGGCTGCTAATACCACGTGCGTTAATTTGGCTCTAAATTTAAATGAATTAAAATGCATTAATATGCGACTATTTGGGCTAAAGATTAATGTAATCTTTATATTAATTGATACAACAGTAACTGCTACTTACAAAGAATGTATGCAAATGCAATATCAAGTGCTGCGATCTGTTTCGATCTGGCTGGCAGAAAATGAAAACTGTAATTCATGCCATGTTTTACATATATGTGGGCAGCATACGTATCTTTGTAGTTGGGCTATTCCACTCACTGACTACCAGGGATGCATTACTAATTACAGGGCTTATAGCCTCAGAGAAAGTTGTGGGCCTTCTAAGTGATATTTATTCCTCCCAGTTAAGTTCTGTCTCTTGACGACGTTTGCATTCTTTAGAATCCTCCCTCTCCTTTGCTTTTAATTTCCAGGGTTGTGTTTGTGACTTTTAGTGTAAACAACAGGGAATAAATTTATAGTTCATACTTAAAGGCATTACTTCATGAGTTGTGAGAATTGTGAGTTTAAACAGTACATTATATGATTTTCAACAGCGTAAATGGTCCAAATGAAGAATATTTATACACTCCGGAATGTCAAAAGCAAAAACTAATTTAAAAAGCCTACTTAACTTACTGAGTTATCTGCCACTGCTGACTACATGTTCAGTTTTATAGCTGTGTTTGAAAGGATAGAGATTTAAATATATGTAAAATGTCCAATATTACCACTGTGGCGTTAAAGAAAAGTATATTAAGGATTCATATATATAACAAACTTTATCATACTCAGATGTTTTTAATGCTATACGTAGGTAGTTGGTACACAACACCAAATCTTCTTTGTCCACATTCAATATTAGTGATTAAAACTGTTGAAATGACTTTCTACAAACCTATGTATTTCTTGAAAGTGACACAATTATAGTGCACAGTGAAGCCATAAGGAAATTCAGCCGTACTCAAAATAAATCAGAAGGTGTTTAATTTGAAGTTTTATGTACGTTTAAAACAAAACTATCAGTTGTGAATTTCTAAAGACTAAAATTTCACCAGTTAAATTCCATATATGTGAACTAATGAGGTACCCTGGATTCACTGATTCACAATTGTTTAGTTTTCATCAGTCATTGTTGCATGGGATCACAACTTTATGTTCAAAATTATTTACAAGGCATTTTATTCAGTTTACTACTATCAATTGAAAGTTTTTACATAAAAATGATTAGAACTAGGAACTGATTTTATATTTTTTGAGTGTAGTATTTACTTTACTGGATTTAGATTCATTTTACCTGTAGTTTTTTATTGGGAATTGTTTAAATACTTAAAATTTGTCCACTTAACATTGAAATTTGTTTTCAAAGAAATCAAGTAATTGAAAGGTCAATAAACCTTAAACATTTGTGGTCGTGATTTGGGTTTATAAATTTTATTTAATCACCCAAATATTGTTAAATTAAAAGTATCTTTTAGGATGTCAAGTCATTGGAATATATCGGACCATTAGTGGCAGCCAAGCAACTTGATGAAAAACTGAAAGAGCTAAACTTGAATAATGATGTTAGAATTCTGGATCTTGGTTGTGGTACAGGTTTAGTTGGAGAACAGCTATATAATATGGGGTACAAGAATATTGATGGCATTGATTTCAGTGATGAGCTACTGAAGGTTGCTGAGAGTAAAAAAGTTTATAGGTAAGGTTTTTTCTATAGTTATATACTTTGGGCTTAGAAATGGCATATGTCAGTTAGGATAATCTTTGTTAGCTAAGGACCTTATTTAGCAAACTAAATGTTACACTGTTTTCATCCCATTATGATACACCGGTAACATGTTCATTTTGAGGTTTTGTTTACATATGTGTAAAGTAGACTGAAAACCTCATTTTTTAATGTCGAATCTAATTATATTACCCATGTAATCATATGACAGAAACTGAGCTATATTATGTCCATTATGCCCTAGCTATATTGTTGTGTATGTTGATTTTATGTCACAGTCACATAAAATAAGTTGTGATAGTGAATAAAGTATGGATATAAAAGCTCATGTATATGTTTCAGGTATATAAAAGTCCAAGTATATGGCCACAAAATAGATTTATTGAACATAGTTCAAATAAAATTACATATATAATATTATTCACGTCAAACTTTTTCATGATCTGAAAATTATTTTCTTTAGTTATTTAACTCTTTCTGAATATTTTGACCCCTAGTGCCCAAGCTTAGATTGCATGTCACGTGACTTGCGTCAAGCAAAGTGACGTCATTTTAAAGTCTTGCGACTTTCAAAGGTTCTGTTTCACTGAATTTTTTTTGCTATACTTGTGTTTCAAAAAAAAAATTTTGACGTGTCTGACTTGTTGTTCAAACAACCTATAAATCAACATGTATCAACACACACTTATCACCTGTATTAGATTACATATATATACACTTGTATTTTTAGCTAACGGGCCGTGCTGTTTATTTTTACTTTTATCTAACCACATCTTAAAGAGTCTATATTTCCGACTATTTTGTGTTTATTGAAATCAATGTTTGCCGAAAGTAAACGCATTGCACATTGCAAGCGATCACAGATATTTTTTATTTCCTTTTCATAGTTTACGTACGTACGTGGAATACTTCACTTGTAGTACGATAGTAAATTCACGCAAGTAATATTTGTATTTCATACAAGCCGAATAAATTCATTTGTTTTAAACGTTTGATTAAATTCACCAACAGAGTAATGTAAGTCTGTATGAGTAGACCGAGTAATGTATAAGCCATGAAAATAATACTGAAGTGGACATTTTTAAATTGTCTAACTTTGTTTGATACACCTGTAGCTTATCTGTTGATTTTTCACCTTCAAAAATGCTGTTTTGAGGAAATTGGTCATTACTTCACATTGCACGAAAAAAGCCAATTAACATTGTGTAATTATTGAATTCGGAACTATTCTATTGGATATTTTATTGAATCTTTCGTGTTATTGAATACTTTTATATGCGATAAAATACTCTATAGAATCTATGAATTCTATAGAATTTGATAATGGAATATGCTGTAACATAATACATCCAATAGCATATTCAATAGTATTTAGAATATTCTATAGAACAAAGGGACTAGACATCGTACTTAGTATATGAGTTGCTAGTACCGTTTGCTAGAACGAGATGTAATTAAAATTTGTGATCGCTTGCAAGCCTGCATTTGAATAATATTTTGCCTTTTTGTCATTAGTTTTCTATGAACTTTTCTGAAGAGTAAGATTATTCGTTTGCACTATCTATGAATCGAGGTCATGTTTAATTCATCTTGAATAGATTACAAAAGGCAATATCATACAAGTCAGTTTTCGGGCTGAAAAGTTTTTAGGTATTATTTCTTTAAATAGAAATATTTTCATAGGATTATGCAACCGATGATTTTGTGCTGATTGCAAATAACTTCTGCTTCATCTTTGTATGCGGCAGAGGCTTTACAGTTCACACATCGCAAATGTATTACATTCATGTTATGAAATATGCGCTTGGAATCATTTTCCTTCTCTGGTTGACCTAACGCACAGTATAATTTTACTGCAGTCCTTTTATGAGAAAGCACAAATAAGCAAGCTTAGTTAGTTAATGATAAAATTCACTTTAACTTTGACATACGAAATTTAATTTTTCCTCTCAAAAATTGCAAAACAAGTTGCGATATTTTTCCAACAAAGCGACAAACACAGAAAACAGTATTGCTCGTCGTCTTTCAGAAGTCTGAATATTTCCGAGGATAACAAAAGACGGATATACACTTTTTCAGTAAAGCATAGTGGCTAGCTAGGCATGCGCAGTGGCTTTCCTCTAAAACCACAATACACCTTTTGCTCATCACAAGAGCACATTGGACATTCAATTACACACTTTGACTTATAAATAGCACTGTAGAAAATTCATCAACACCAAGGAACAATCCAGAGCACAAATCGACAATCAGTAACATTTATTTATGCCACATAACAATTGGGAATATTCAAATAGCATTAACGTTCATTTATTAAAGTAAAGGGAAGGATCATTAAGATAAAGTTGACATTAAAATAAGCCTGTATGTACTTTATACGACCGACGTCTTTCCCAACAGAAATAGTCTATCGCAGATTGCCTTTCGACAAAATATGTTTAGTTTATTTGATTTAAATCAACCTTGTAACGTGTTTGGCTTTTTTATGTTTGGAAATAAAACAAGAAAACGGATCTAATGTTACGTTACCAATAAAAACAACTGATAATTTTAAATTGAATTTAAACGTATTTCCGACTAATCATGTCATCCAGTAACAACCACTGATATGTATATTAGACTGGATGACGCATCTCTTGCGAAAATTGAAGCAGGAAGATCGATCATTTGCTACTGGCTTCATGGGGGGTATCGGTCCTACTTTACTATACTTTTGTATTACAAAATCACAGTTTTCGCGTTTTTATTCCTTTTACAAACTTCTGATTAAGACAAAATTTTTATGACATGTAGAGGAAAATCGGTAGAGAGTTTTGACCCCGAAGCTCATTTTTTATGGCTTTGTAACGACTGAGTAAAGTTAGTACTGATAATACCGTTTTGAACTTACTATTGTTCATCAAAATGTTATTTTGATTATTTTTCTGTATCGATTTGCTTTGTTTCTTCACTGATATAATAAAGACGTAGTTTGACATTATTATGATATTAGCGATGTGAATAACAAAGTGTTGCTAAATAAGTAAATTTGTAGCAATCTTCCATAAACGTCATTGCAGATGAAATTTTGGTAGCAGTAGTAGGATTCTGTAATATATCTACATTTTTAAGAAGCAGCAGCATCATATAATCTCCAGTTTGTTTCAAAACAATGCGGGTCGACCTTGTACCATCTCAATTTTCTGCCATTATAAAGGCAAGAAGACAAACTTATTAGTATTAACTATCTTTGCAGGTCGTTCTGTCCCTTTCATAAAATTTTTTCTTTAATCAAAAGTGTGTGGAACGAATAAAAACGCAAATGTAATACAAAAGTATAGTAAAGGAGGACCGATACCCCCCACGAAGGTCATCAGTGTAATATACATATCAGTGGTAATAACCTTTCATTTTAACGGGTTTCCGGTTGACACGCGCGCGCCCGGTTTATTTCCTTTGTCTGAAAACTAATTGCAACGAGTTAGAGCTCCCCAAAAATGCTGATGTCGGCGGTTATATACCTGCACCCTATCTACTTTTGGATACGCAAAAGACCGCTACTATCATCTTTAAAAAATTGATGTTGATTATTTTTAATGGGTGGGATTCTCACTAAATTTGGCCTTAAAATTCATTTCTATTGTTAGACTGCCCATTTTTTAAAGTAACGTTAGACTCCAGGCTTTTGACTAATTATTTTAAATATACGATATGGTTCATCAGTTTACTTCATTTTGTGACATATATTATGTACATGCAATTCTGCTGAACGTGATCTTTGTTTATTTTTCCATAGATACCTTCGTAAAGGAAAAATAGCTTCTGCTGACTGTCGAGAACTCGGAGTTATTGCCGATCAGTACGATGCAGCAATTTGCGTGGGCGTGTTCACTGCTGGTCACGTGAAAGGAGAAGGGTTTAATGATCTTGTGCACGTTGTTAAATCTGGCGGTCTAGTATGTTTCTCAGTTAATGCCCCTGTCCTAGATGATCCTCAATCTGGTTACACAGAAAAAATAGACGAGCTAACTAACGCAAACAAGTGGAAGCTTGTGTCTAAATACCTCGAAACAAAGTATTTTCGTGAAGGCAAAGGCTGGTTTTTCGTATTTGAAATATTATAATTGATTATACTTAATGTTTTAGTGGAAAACATTTTTGAATTTTTTATTATTATTATTATTATTATTATTATTATTATTATTATTATTATTATTATTACAATTATTTTTATAAATTCTGCCCGAAAAATAAATAAATATTTTATACAAGTGAAGGCAAGATAGCCCAGAAGAAACCAATGGGCTTAAAATCTAAGAAAATTAATTACGCCTCCCTCCGAAAACAAAAAGACAACATAAAAAGGGACCTACTTAGTTCGTTTGTAAGAAAGGAATTGCCTTTAATAATATTTAGACCGAAATGGTGGAAAACTAGTTTGTCACCATGAAGAATTCATTTTGTGTTATCGTGTATCGGAAAAAATAAAACAGTTTAATTGTCCAGGAAACTATTATTTCAGCAAAAGTTCGCAAATAAAGTTCGTCTGGTTTATTTAAAAGTAAAAACAATCAAAAAATCAATGTCGAAAACTAGAAGAGCGGTATGTGGCAAAAAACCACAATTTTAACCGCTTGCTCAAGGAAAGTGAAATGTTTATAATTTGATTTAATTTGATGAGGCGAAAGTTTAAACTCTGTTGGGCTTTGGTGCTAGTATACCTTGTTCTACCTGTCATTCTCGAGCTTACTATCAACTTTTGAATAGACTTCAACTGCAACTATTTGGACTTTTTTGATATCTTTGGCAATTAATGAACAACCCACTCCTGTTTTTGTGTTTTGAATTTGCATGGCATTGCAGAGTTTCCTTCGTGCTCTTTTCAATCTGGCATAAGATGCACCCTTCACAATTCATCTAAATATAATTTAATAATTCATCTAAATATAACTAAATCAAACTAAATACAATGTGAGCGCATATTCTAACGACTCCTGAAATTTACCTTTATTGCTCTTGATGTTTTTTTTTGAGTTGTAATATTGCTCGTGCTGTTTGCCTTCGCGTTTGTCTTAACATTTTGCGTATTTCACTCATTTTATTGGCTTCGTTATTGGTTTCTTCTTTGGTTTTAATCCCAAGTGTCTTGCATTTGTTATTCTTCGTTTTCACTGTGTTATTTGGTGTACACGGTGTTTGAAATATTAGCATTTTGCGTAGAGGCTTGGAACATAGATATAATAAACAAAGATTGCTGACGTATAAACTAGTTATACGTAGGCGGCGCCGTAGCAAATTGAACATTCCAAGATGGCGGCTCAAGCGGGGAAAAAACTATAATTCGTATTACGAAAATGAGGTTTTTTGCATTTTCCGACGTTACGCCACTTCATTTCAAGTTCTAGCCACTTCTATTGGAAATGGGAGGAAATTGCACAGGTTTTGGATGTAAACTTGGATGCATCAGAGGAATAACTTGAGAAATATCGCTTCGTCAAATTTTTATCGAGTTTTCACCGAGTCCAATGATAGTAGTTTTGTAGAGTCTTAACTTTTTCCAGATATTTTTATAAGAACGAAAAAACAATAAGCTCAAAATATTGAGGCTTTCTTGTTGGATTTCTGATTTAATTGGTAACATACACCAAAAAGGGCGGAAATAGCCGAAGACCTTGTTAGATAAAACACTTTAGGCTGAGGAACCTGCTGCTTTTAACATCATAAAGAGATGGACATGTCAAATCTACATTATTTTGAAACTACTTACTGTATGTGCATGGTGAAGCAGGTTGACTAATCATTTGTTTGCCAAAGTTAAGGTAAATTTGGTCGACTGCAACATGTATTGCTCTTGGAGTGTTTTTTTTTATGTTTGTCTGGACTAGACTCTTGAGATTTGACACAATATACTAATCTCACAGAAGAAGATCAATAATAATGGAAAGAAATGATCTGAAATCGGATAAAATCCTTTTCAATTGATTTGGTAAATGTTTACAAGACAATAGTGTCATGACTAATTTTGTGTGCATGTTGGGGACACTTATGATTTAAATTGTTCAGTTCATATACCAATGACGATATGGTTTAGAAGCCTATGTACATTGAACTAAATAGATGGAAGGCTACGTCTGTTGATATTTTGTTGCCAGTAGCGCCCAGTCTTTCCACGTAATGTAAGCACACTGCAAATAGTAGCGGACGAAAATATATCTTGCACGAACTACGAAGCTCCGAAAACAAAACACAAATTGTTTTTTATTTTTACTTGGCAAACAAAACTTTTCAAATGAAACTTGACATCAAGCATAAACTATTTTTCGGGAATTAAATTTTTGTAAAGAAAGTCATAGCAAACCATAACTAGAACGCATTTTGCTAAATTTGTTTTTTTCATAACAAAAAGTTGAAAGTTAAAAACTGAAACGTTTTTGTTCCAAAATAGCCACCATTAGGCGCAAGATACTTACCATTTTCATAAAACATAGAAAAGCAAATAAAATTTTAAATAAACATCAGTTTTGCATTACAATTAATTGAATAAAGATAAAACCCCATCACCTTTAATGCCATAATACTTTTCTATGTTTATTCTTTGAACAAAATTAGAAAAAGACTTCGGTAAAATCTCTCATAAGTACATGGCAAAACACGAGAAACAAATACATCTCATTAATCACGAATAATTTTACAATATTTTTGCAGTTTTTTAACATTCGAATATATTTTTAAGCTTACGAAAAATGCAAATGTTTTCAGGCTTTGTGGTGAATATTTTGCAAAACCTATGCTTTGGTCACTTATCTAAACATTCGTCATATTTTTTAATGCTTAAACATATTGCAGATTGGCTGAATATTTTTGAAAACAAACAAAAAAAATTTACAGTTTTGTAAGATGTTTGTGTTAAGATATGCTCTCATATCACTGTAAATTTTGGGGGGTAAAAATTACCCTTAACGTTAGGGGTGAAATGAGTGGCACAGAATGCCTGGGTTTTGAAGGGTAATATTTTATGGGGGTAATATTTATTTAGGGGTAAGATTTACGGTGGTAATATTTAGTTAGGGGTAACTTCTATTAAGGGGTGAAATTTATCAAGGGGTAAAATTTATGGGGGTAAATTTTAAAGGGGTGATTTTGATGGACATGCAATTCCCAGAAATAATTTGGGGGTAAAAAGAAATTACACAGAATGATGCATTTTTTAGGGCACATGAGCAAATACAGGAGGTAATGCTTCAATGGGGTTGAAACGAACTCTGAATCTATAGTAAGAATAAATGAAAATAGATCAAAAAAACAATCTCTTTATTTCAACAGAAAAGGAATGAGCGTAGCTATTTTCGAGAATGGAGTGAAGGGTGGCAAATATTAAAAATGCGCGTTAAATTATCAATAAAAAAGATTTGATTCAAGGAAAAGTAACGAGGTTCAACATATAAACATAACTACTCAACCATTGACAGAGTATTGGCAAACATAAATACTCTACCATTGGCAGAACATTGATAATTGGGAGGGGGGGGACTCATATATTCAAATGTTGTAATTCCTAAAACTAATTAATTTCAATGTAAAGTAGAACGGGCACAAATTAATAATAGCGCCCCCCAATTTTCAATACTCCGCCGCCCTTGAGTACTCCCCTCAATAATTGAGCTAGCTACGCCAACATAAAACATGCGTACACCGTAACAGAAAAAATTGTCTAAATGTCCAGTGTAATGGCTTAAATGTCCACTTAATGCTTACTTTAAACTGGCAAGAGCTTTAATAAATTTTTGCAAGCTAATTCTATTGGTAGCAGTGTGCTGCAACCCAACAAAAACGGAATCAATAAAAAGAAATACATCCTTATGATCTTGTGGATAAGCTAAAGAAAATACATAGTATGTTGCATAGAGCGTAAAAAGGACTGTGTCTAAAGAAAATGAAGTTACGTCAACGAGTTGTCGTCCTTCGACGCACAATAGTAGCCTGTCAGGCTTCAGTATGTTTTTACCAATAACCAAAACTCGTGGATAGGTGGTGCGGGTTATTTTGTTCGGCAAATCATCATCTTCCTAAAACATACACAAAAAAGAAAATGCTTCAGTGTTTGAAAGTTGCCTTGATGAATGCACTGTATGGAAAACGTTCCTAGTAACGGTCCTGTCCAGTAATGTTCGATTGCTAGCAGTAGCGGAGTACTAGTTTCAGTACCCGTAGGCTAGGGGAAAGTTGTGGGCTCTATTTCTCCACTAACTTCAGTTTTTCTTTGCTTTTGCATTTTCTTGTGCATCTGAACAGTAGATAGTACGAAAGCTAATTTTCTCTGCATTCAATTGATTGTGAGATTTTCAACAGCATTAATGATCTAAGTTAAACACATTTAGCTAGCCCCGGAATAGCAAAAACGTCCAAATCCCAATTATGTATAGATGTAACCGGCCCCTTGAAAGCCCGGTCTAGTGGGCTTAATCCTACTAGTCTACTGGCTGTAAGTACCTATTGTTAGTAGCTATTGTTGAGTTATTCTGATGAGGAAGTGTATAAACTCATGTCGCCATGCCGCCGTGTGCACATCAGGTTATCTGTCGTTGTAGTATTCCTAGGTTTTCCCAATAACATGTATACTTTCGAGAATAAAGCAACAATTTGATGTAGTTGCTCTAGATGTGGTTGTGGTTATAGGAGAAGTGAGCCCGATAACAGCTTTTGACTATATCTAATTTATGTATTTGGTATTTTCTATGTGTAATTTAAATATTTTCTGTTGTTTTACCGCGCGTGCATGTAGTGTATTATTCATTCCACAGAATATGTATATTCCGATGTAAATTACGAATTTTGTACTATCAAGATTGAAACTGCAATTCTAATGTTTATTTTGTAGATATATTCCTGCAGCTATTTGTGCTGATAGTCCAATTGATCAAGGGTTGTCAAAAATTAATTGAGTTTCAATTAATTGCAATTATTTGTAACCAATTAATTGATTGGACAAAGCATCAATTAAAATTAATTGATTGGGCGCACCTCCAATGAAAATTAATTGATTGGCATTGACTGCTTTTTTCTTTTTTTTACATTGAAACTACTTTTGTCTTGTCACAGCAGCTTGCTTTCACTTACAACAAAGCAGTCGGCAGTTGCTGGGGCTGTCATGTATTGAACAAAGAAATACCAGTAGTTTACTTATCTTTGTACGTAAGTGTCATAAAATGAACAAACTGAACAGTATGATACAATTTTTGTCAGAAGTCATTAGTTGCATGTTAATAATGTGATGCAATTTAGACATTTGTAGTTATAAAATTGTATTGCCATTGGAAACAACTGGTATCATAGATGGTGCTGTAGCTATAGCATAATAAAAACATATATTATAACTAAGTATGATAAGCATAAAAGTCACATATATTTTATTCACAGCTATATCGTATAATAATCTCAGCCATAGCCAGCATTTTTATTTGCTCATGCTATCTCAATCTTGCTTTGTTCACTCACTGTAAAAACAATAGATTTCTAATGAAATGAGCAATGATGCAGTGAAATTTACATAGCGAGTGTAAAACATTCATTCTGGATATGCCACCGATGACATCCATATCAAATATTTCATAAGATAATTTATAAATTTAATGAACACCTTAGCTCTGGTAAAAAAATACTTTATACAGAGCTTTATAACTCTCTCAAAAAATAGTATTGTAACAGTATCTTGGGTTATGTGTTTGAATGTAATTATGTCAGATTTCAAAATAACCACTGTTAATATAACAAGCTTCTGACCTATGACATAGAGAAAAAAGTTAAATATATTTACTGTTGCTATACCTATTGCTATTGCCTGTACAATAGACCTACCTATTTCTATACGATATTAGCGTTAGTGTGCGTTCTAGTACTAAAAAGATATGTAGACAAAGTATACAAGGGTTGTCAAAAATTAATCGAGTTTCAATTAATTGCAATTATTTGTAACCAATTAATTGATTGGACAAAGCATCAATTAAAATTAATTGATTGGGCAAAACTCCCAATTTCACTTAATTGATTGGGCAGACCAATTTAGTTGCAATCAATTATTGACAACCCCTACAATTGATACTCGGCATGCTTTGGTGGATAATATTATATGTTTACTTCCTTAGTGCTGGTACGTGTCGGTATATACAATTTAATATAAATCATCCCAGCTAAAGAAAATATCGCGATGGTTTTGACTATTTTGTAATCATTAGAGCTGTTCATTGTATTTGAGTATCCAGCTTATATTGAGTAGATTGCAGATTATATTTAGTGATTTTTGCAATGTTAGAACTTCTATATAGATTTAAGTATTATTGTCACGGAGCTCTTACCCGTGCTAGTTAGTTTCCAGCCCCCCGGAAGTTGATCGGTGGGCACGCGTGTTGACCGGAAACAGACTCAGGCGGGAAGTCGAGTGTAATAGGCTAATATGATAAACGGGAAATGAAACAGATGTAAATTATGATGCCATTGTTCCATATTGGATTGTTCCAGTATCGGTAACTCCGTTTCCTTTCTCAATCCATGGTACAGCAACTGATAACAAGTCGATTGCATTTCATAGCTTACTCTTTATTGAAAGATTTACATTTTATCTCTTAAAAAAAATGTCATTGAAAATATACATTGATCTAGCCTTAAAAATGTCGGCTTTGAGCTTAGAAGAAGAAAATGAAATAAGTAAACTTTTGGACTTAGAAGAAGAAAATGAAATAAGTCAACGTCAAAGTTTGCTGGAAAAAAAACTATTAGACTGTTACGCCGATGAAATTACTGCAATGTATATGCCGCAGTAAACAAGAATTGCTATGGTTGTGTGATCCAACATCCCTCCCATCGCGAGCATGATTGTTTGATGATGGAACCCGATGAACGTGTGAGGTTGTATTTCGATGATGCCCTGGAAAGCGTGTCTGAGGAGACTGTTATGAAAGATTTTATGAAAAGCATTGAAGATGTCGACCCACCCGTTAACGGACTTGAGATACTAAAATGTACTTGTAAAGATTGGTTTAAAATATTTGTTTCAGATAAAATGAACAAACTTAAAAAACGAGTCATTCAACTTTTGTAAATGTTTATTTATACTTTTACATTACAACAATATGGTAAGGTAAAATAGTCAAATCTGTACATCGAACATGACGCCCTCCGTACACAGTTTTCTGAATGAATGAAATAAGAACCACTATATAAAATTGCTGCTTCTATATGACAGTTTATACCTCAAACATATATATTTAAACTTTATAGCACACAGTAAGGTATAAACGCACCCATGAATTATAAACTTACATCAAAAATCGGCAAACAGCTAAATCGACATCAGCATCCGATACACTACATGAATGAAGAGTAAAAATCAATGACATGAAACGCAACCTGAGATTAAAATATCTTTAAAGGCATACAAACCCACAAATTTTACATTTGAATTTTCCCCGTGACTCTATTAAAGGGGACAGATGTGTAGTGTAGCCACATTTAGCCGTGGTACAGAAATCACGACAGAGATTACATTTTTCTGAAAATGAGGAGATAGATTCTGTTGAAGATAAAAAAACATTCGCTAATTTGAAATAAACAGAAAGAACTCGTACTTACTAATTTCGGGGTATTTGCTGTGACGATGGTATTCGGGGTTTCGGGGTATTTCGGGGGGTTGACTGTGATGATGCCATTCTTCCTGACTTTGCAACTTGCGTGTCGTGATTTTTTGCAAATTTTTGATCGTCTAAACACATACAAAAGACTTTTAGTGTTTCAAGTGGTTGAAGTACACAGCGCATGCGTTGTGAAAAGAAAATTACCATTGAACAGTGTGCCTTGAATATTGTGTTGTGGTTTCATCGTGTGTCGGTATTAAACAGAAATTGAAAAGAAAGTCGTGTTGTGAAGATAAGATCCATTAACGAGTGCGGTATCTTAAGGGGGAAACGATGCAGCTAATGATAAGGACCCTCGGGAAGATGCCTGACAATGTGACTGAATGGAAATTGCCTATTTGAAGTGCGGTATCTAAAGGGGGAAACGATGCAGTTAATGATAAGGACCCTCGGGAAGATGCCTGACAATGTGACTGAATGGAAATTGCCTATTTGAAGTGCGGTATCTTAAGGGGGAATGATGCAGTGAATAATAAGGACTAAAACTACAGATTAAAGTTTAAGATTAAAGTTTGTCTTGTAAACTGATAACCTTCAGGGGATGAAGAAAAATGTAGTCCCCCAAACAAAATCATCGTTATAAGTTTTTAGCTCATTATTCTTTGAGAAATGTTATAGAAATTATTACTGTTGCAGAATCCAAGAAAAAAAGAAATGTTTACAATAGCCAACTATAGCTTTAATCATACAATAAACATAAAAATAAAAAAGAAAATACTAGGCATATACGTATTGTTAAGGTGATGCTATTGGTGTTCTATGGCAAAAATCACTTTCATTCATACTTTCTTTTACCCCCTGTCAAAATACAGTTTATGAAAATTTTTTCCAGTCCTTTAATGGCCTTAAATTTCATAGAAGCTTTATTATTCATCTGATCTTAAAAAGACCTCTAAAGGCTGGTTTTTATATGACGTAATTTGATGTACAGTAATTTACTGCAGTGGCTGAATTTTGATGAAATATCTCAAGTGAAAACTAGCCTTTATTACCACACAGAAAAAATTGCTTCTAAATCTAACAGTTAAGCACAGACTAAAATAAATCAGTTTTCAATCAGATCATGTACATGTGTCCTTAAATAAACATGTATTTTTTATGGCAAGCACCTTTTTGTCCATTAAAAAATTGTAGTGATTCATTAATAAAAATAGTAGCAGCATAATGTTTAATGTAACTAACCTGATGTATCCTGTACACCAACTGCATGAAGATTAGTGGTTGACTGTAAAGAAGTTTGTGCTGTCTCTTGAGGCAGTGAAAATGGAGATTGTGCTGTAAAAAAATTGTTATGATTCAGCAATAAGATAAAGCATAGTGGCAATATGTTTAATGTAACTAACCTCATGTATCCTTTACACCAACTGCATGAAGATCAGAGGTTGATTGTAAAGAAGCTTGTGCTGTCTCTTGAGGCAGTGAAAATGGAGATTGTGCTGTATCTTGAGGCAAAGCCAATGGCTCTTGATTGGCGTCGGTAGAGCTTATTGACATTTGCACATCACCAAACATATCAGGTAAATCTTTATTAAAAATATAAGAGGGACTTCACAAACTATTCATGTCATGTGTATTTAATTAAATTTCCCCATTAAAGAGAATGACCTACCATCATGACTTTTTCTTGTGCACAAATTTTCCTACATTGACAGCATATTTAATTTATATATGATGAGTACAACAACGTCAATTATTTTATTTTTCCAATCAAGAGCATGAAAATGGTGCATGAACATACACCTGTTCAAGTAAAACAGCTGATGCAGCTGTTAAACCATGATTAAACTGAACAAGTTCCATTGATAAGAGGACAACAGAAACTCATACCTGATGCTCAATTATGATCTGTTTGTTTGGTCGCACATACACCGGTTTACTTTGAAAGAGCCATTGCAAAATTGCTCCATCAATGCCAATCTGACCATGAGCCAAAGATGGCACAACAAGAGATGTGTGCATCGACATTAATATTTCGATATCCACACCAGCTGGAATTTTGTCAGCAAAAGCTTCCATTATGGCAATTTCCACTTGTGCAGAGTTCATTGCCTTGGTGAATCTGCAGCCTGAGATCATGTGACCCCGTTCCATAAGAGCAAGGCGTGCTCCTTGACGAGAAACGACAGAAGCATTCGGCCCTCCCAGCAAAATAAGGTCGCGTAAGAATGGTCTATTATCTATAGCAGCAGCCCTTCTTTTAGATTCCCTAATCTGTCTTCGATTAGAAGCAGATGGGCTCTGTCTATTAAAATTTCGCCTCGTGACAAAATTCCTCGGCACATTTTGTTCGGTAGTTGGTACAACTGATGTAGACCGCCGTCTAGCTGTATTAGAATTGAAAATGTGACTTACTTCTGCCTCTGTTTCAGCACTTGTTTGGCGCGAAATTCTTGAAGAAAGTTCGTTTAAATTTTCCACAATTCGATCTATAATGTTTGTATTTCTATTTTCCGCCATTTTAGTTATTTCAGAATAATCACTTCGATATATAAAGATGAAATAAATCATGAAGTTTATAACTAAGTCCGCTGACCATTGTTACTGTTATAAACTCGACCATCGCCTAATATTCTCGATCATCGCTTGATATTCTCGACTAGCGGTTGGAATTCTCAATACACTTTTGTCACGTTTGGCTTGCCACACTCCCAGTAGTTCCTGAGTGATTTTACTTTGATGTGAAATTGATGATTGTTCCGTACTTCACACTCGTCTCGTAAATTCGTGAATACGTGTCAAGTGACCATATTTTGACCTTCGCACTATTTCTCAATATTTGTAAATCTTATTTTGCCATGGAGGAGACAAAGAATTTAATTTACAAAAAAGTATCCAATTTGAAGGCAACCACTACACAGAAAGAATTAGCAGAGGTTTATGCTGAATGGGGACCTACTTATGACAAGGTACTCGTTTAAATGCTATCAGTGAATTCATCATCCAAAAATATTGTATTACATCGTGACCATAATGATTTACAAAGTGTAAGTAGCATTCAGGAGAATTTCATGACTATCCACAACTCTAAACGCTTTTTCTATTTTAAATAGTGTAGAGTATATATATTTCCTGCCACGTACAATAAGTACTTATAAGCATGCATGCAGCGGTAATGAAACATGATATATGAGACAAAAAATGATCGCAAACGAAATAGGCTACTCTTTGCGACATGAGAGAAGTGTTTCGTGATTTACATTTGAACACAAAATCAACTAGAATTCAATAATAAAATAAACTAGTTAGAGCAATTCCACAAAAAATCTTAAAAAGTTAATTAACTTGGATTGTACTCAAAATGCAAATTCTTGCTTGAACACATTGTTGCTTGCGCGCGTTGGCTGGAGCTTGCAATAACAATAAAATATTTTTTTAGTATATAAGCTGAAACACACTAGGTTGTAACTTCGGTTGTGCTTCTCTCTTGGTAGTTAATCTGTAGCGAAGTCGCATCAGCTAATCGCTTTGAAAGTTTGATGTGTTGAGCTTTTGACATCGGTCGCTATTTAGTCGCTTTACACTGATTGAATATTTTGTAAAGCGACTAATTGTTTCATTACTTGTGTTTTTTCAATAATTTTTTTGGCTTCTTTATTGTTGCACATTTTTTACGTGCACCACCAATGTCACATCATTGATTTGCAGCTCATTTTCAGTGTAAAGTGTTAAAATCATAAATTTTATCACGTGCTAAGAATAAAATATGTCTTAACTCTTTTTTCTAAAGGTCATATATTCCTGTTAACATGTACAAAGATTATGTAAAAACACGTTTATTTTATTGCAATTTATATCAGTCACACTAAGAGTTTCCCGAGTTTCCTTCATTTCTACATATATAATCATTTCACAAGAACCTATACTCATTTTGTTCAAAATCATTTCTCCAAATTCCAAATCAATGTATCAATCTTTTTTGCTGACAATTTTACATGAAGAAACGGGGAATAGAAAAGAATTTTTTTTAAATTTCAAACATATATCTCCATTTTCAGTTAATTGATGATCTTTCTTACACTGGACCAGCCATTGGCGCTGCAAAGTTGAATGAAAAATTGAAAGAACTTGGCCACGATAACAACGTGAGTATTGTTGATCTTGGTTGTGGCACAGGATTAGTAGGTGAACAACTGTACAATCTTGGATATAAAAATATTGATGGAATGGATCTCAGCGAACACATGCTTAAAGTTGCCGAAGAGAAAGGTGTTTACAGGTATTTATGAAACATATAAAATAATACTAGATTTTACACTTCCCTTGCATTAGCATTTGTTTCAGTTCAAGTCAATTACAATAAAAAGAATCTATATAGTAAAATAATAAGACTCGTGCCGTGATTGGTCTATAGATGTATGTGCAATTTTGCATTAGTCGGTGCAAACCCATCTGGGCTCAACCAATTAAATCGATTAAGCAATCAAAGTAATTTTGCAAATCAATTATGAATGCATGTTAGAGAAAAAATTAAAAAGTATGTTTTAGATTTTTCTGTTTTGAATTATTGTTATTTTAAAAGAGATGTTTTTTGTTTGTAAAAATATTGAGATGCTGCTGCCCTTCACAATCCGTCTCGGGCTCGCACTTATCTTTCTCTTGAGTTCTCCCAACTAAAAGTCTCTTTGATTTGCATAAGCCTTTTCAATCCTTTTTGGTAAAATAATTAAATTACGATAAAGCAAATATCTTACTCTTATTTCAATATTTCAAATTACTATTGGTAGATCCATATAATAATTTTGTATTATTTTACTATTTTTCAATTTTATTCCCAACCTTCTCAAAAATCTTGGACGTTGGTAAATCAACAAGTCATAAAACAGCATTTTTTACCCAAATTAGATCTCTTCATAAAGGAATAATGGGATCAGATGGCTCTGTTGACTTAGGAGTAGAACCTAAGCAGTATGATGCTGTGATATGCGTGGGCGTTTTTGCTTCCGGTCACGTGAAAGGTGAGGGAATGAACGACTTTCTTTTTGTTGTCAAAGCTGGAGGGCTCATAGTGTTCAACATTAACGAATCAGTGATTGAAGATTCCGACTATAAATATCACGAGAAAATGGAGGAATTATCGAATCAAGGGAAATGGAAACTTTTGCTTAAAACTTATGAGCGAAAATATAACGCCCATCGTGGAGCGTACTTTTATGTATATCAGAAAATAAGAGACTGATAGCTGATTGCCAAAATATTGCTGACATTAATGAGAAACTTTCCTTTTTATTGCTAACAACAATAAAAGACAGATAATAAATAGCGTTTAAGTTCGACAATAAATGTAATAAATGCGTATATGATAAATAAACATAAAAATTCTCTAGTAAATACAACTAACAAGAGGAAAGGTGTGCTCACCTATTATGGCAGTGAATAGTTTGAAGTTAATTATAATCTATTGTAAGCTGATAAAATCTCGAAACGTTAATCATGTCGTAAAGCGTTGGAAAGTGGAATAAAGAGTTTACCATATTGCCATTCATGACCGTAATAAAGGACTAAACTTCGTGCAAGTGGATTTTAAATAGTTTAAAAAGTCCGTTTTTTGAATGTTTTCATTAAAAATGTAGTATCATTAATAATAGAGTGCTCGGTTGCAATGAAGTTGAATGTAGAATAAGCAAAAAGAATGGGAAAGAACTTTGTTGTGTCTTAAGAATTAAGAATTAGTAGAAATTACTTAAAAGAATAAGAATAAGTAATCTAGTAAAAGAAGCAACGTCTGTCTTAAATACTATTTTAGATAAACTTGATTTGTGAGCCTTTCTGTCCGATAAATTTACCTAAAGACAAAAAGAAAATTTCAAAGGCATGATTTAATATTCAAAAATACTTAAGTTGGTTGAACATAGAAAAAAATTAGTGTGGGTAACTGTAATTTGTAAGGGCACAAGAGAAGAGTAGTACAAAAAGGTTAACATTTTTGATAATTAGTACCTTCTTCTTGATATACATTACACAAGGCCATTATATGATAAATAATGATTGTACAAGGTTATGTGACGCAGTATGTACGGGGTATAGTGCTGTAGTTCGGATTAAGTTGTTGCACTGGAAACATGTAATCATGCATGTTACAAATAAATAGCTGTATAAAAGCGTTCCTTAAGGGGGAAACATGGGCGTCAATATTAGGGTTATCTTTAAATTCGGCAAACAATGAAGAAGCAATTAACATGTTGTTTAATCGTTTCGATAATGAGCAGGTGTTAATTTCCGCTGACATGGACTCTCTTTTTGAAGTTGATAGAAACAAATCCAACGGAGATATTAAAAATTAAAAAACACTATAAACGCACGTAGAAAATAATATAAGAAATTTACGATCACTTAAATTCAATACTAACTGGTATGGGTCTCCAATACTTAAAGAAAAAATGCCTGATGAGATAAACACAAATATTTCACAATAGTATGGTGGGAAAGTGTGGAATTTAATCAGGTGATGGAATATTTTGGAGCAGAGCTAAGAGCTCAGTAAAATTGCAATTTACGTAGAAGAGATACTTTCACCACCAGTGGATTATTTAGTCGCAGTAATAAGTCACATTGCATTTATTGTAATGAAGAAGGACATTATTTGTCCGAGTGTGGCGCAGTTAGTAATCCTCAGGTTAGGAAAACTATCCATCGGAAAAATAAAAAATTATATATATATCTCGAAAAGGACCATATTGCAAAATTTTGTAAGTCCGCATATCAATGCAAACGATACGAAATTCTACATTATAGACAAAGAGAAAAGGAAAAATCACAAGTTTTTCATGCATGCCAAGGAAATTATGACGCCACAAATTCTCTGTTACAAGGGGCAAAAACAAAGCTGCAAAGGTGGATAAATTACATGGCATATGGTTTTAATGTTATTGAGTATTAGCCAACCTATATTACAATAAACACTGCTGCATTCATGTTTGGATTGAATGGGGTACTGGGAACCATGGGGTACTATGGTCACCACATGAAGCGGATTAGGATGCAAATTACCTAAAATTAAAAGCAGCCCTTCCTTCAATTTAGGCACTCGTATGTGAAAAATTTAACGCACAAATAAGGTTACGAGCGGACAATACTACAGCAGTGGCTGCCACCAACCATATGGACACTAGCCACTCAACTCTATTAAATACATTAGCTGTAAACATTTGGAAACGGTGTATTGATAGAAACATCTTGGTATTAGCAGAACACATTTTTGGCAAAATTAACAATGATGCTGTTAAAAAGACAAGGACACTAAGCCCCAGAAATGAATGAATGTTAAACCGAGATTTGTTACACCAAAGTACAACCAAAGTGCAAGTACAACCAAAAATAAATATGTTTGCATTAAGGCTCAATACACAATTCCAAAAATATATTTCATACAAACCAGATCCCGGTGCACAATCCTTTGATGCTTTTCCTTCTCATTGACCCACCATTAACAGCTACTCTTTCCATCATTCAGTGTCATTCTAAAAGTCCTCCAAAAGTTATAACAGGACAAAGCCATAGGAGTTGTTGTAATTTCGAACTGGCAACACATGTTTGGTATTCAATGCCAATGAGAATGTTGGTCATTTATCCAGTCTTACTGCAGTACCAGATCAAACTACTATAACTCTACACAGTCATTCCCTGGAGAAACATCCTTTACAATAGAAATTTGACTTCCTGGTTTGCCACTTGTCCAGGGACATCTGCAGACACGCAGATTTTCGCTAACAGCTTAAGACATTATCATGCAAGCATGGAGGAACAAATCCAAACGAACATTACCAAACATACCTTACCAAGTGGAAAAGCTTTTGCAACTCCAAAAGGATTAAAGAATTAGTCCGGTTTCAGCTCCTGTGACAGACGTTATCAATTTTCTCGCATAGCTGGTGACTACGGATATTGGCTATGCAGTTAACACAGCAAGATCAGCAATTTCAATCATAATTGGAGTAAACAGCTGCTTGACATTTGGCACACAACCTTTAGTAAAGTGACTTTTAGAAAGCGTTTTCGAACATAAGCCTACACTATCGCGTTACGATATTATCTGGGACGTATCAGGTATTGAAAAAACTTTGCTCTTAACCCCCTTCGATCTGTAGAGTGTATGAAAACGCTCTTTAAATTCCTTCTTATACCTCATAGATTGCATTTCCGGGCTTGTAAGTTGCTCAGCTAACTTTGTCTTGCATTTTCTGATCATAAAAATTTTGTTGGACAAAAAAATGACATATATGGCTGTATAAGGCTTTCTATTTTCACTTTCACAATACTTTCGTTATTCCTATAATAATTTGGGGAAAGAGGCTTTCTTTCAACACTCGGGCTAAGATGCGCGGAGTGACATGCGCGAGCACAAAAACTTCACATGGTCCGATTCAGTGCTCTCACTTGTAGGGGGGGATTTAGTGGTTTGTAGGTGGTAGGGGAAACCTGCGGGGAAAACTGTAAAATGTAGGGGGATTGTAGGGAGAAAAGAAAATCGTTTAAAAATGAGTCTCATTTTTGCCCAAAATACTCTTTTCTTCCTGTGTTCTCACCATTTAGCAAGTGGTTGTAACAGAATCTTTCTTTTGGCACGTTTTGTGACCATATATGGCAACAGAAGATCAGCAACTTAGCATAAACTTAGTGTGTCATTTGCACCACCTGCATGTCATTACTTCCTATGCCAAATTCTAACTTTGTCGTCTAGATGTTTTTAGTTTTCGATAAATCTTTTTTTGTACGCATTTTTAAAAACAGACTAAAAAATTCAATGGTCCGACCCGACGTAGGTACATAATAGAGGGATATGTTGTTGTGTTGGCGAAAAGTAGGGGGAAGTGGAGGGAAAATAAAGTTTTGGTAGGTGAAATATGCATACACAGAGTGGCAGCACTGGTCCGATTGAGTCCGATATGGTCCGTACGTACGAGTGAAACTTCTGCTTATTATCTTTCTGTGCATCAGACCCTGACATTTTATCAAAATAATTCCGTACAATTTTTTTTTAATTTCGAAGTCATGAAGGCGAATAATCGTTTTTATAGCTCAGTAAAGGCATTAAATTCATCAACTACAGACGAGGATTTAATAAAATTATATGCTGTATGGGGATCTACTTATGATAAGGTATTTGTTTATTTTTGTAAAGGCCACATGTACCTATACTTCTGTAGATTGTGTTAAGCCCAAATACTGCAATATATTGTAAGAAATGTAGGATTTAGAGCGATATATTGCAAAAACTAGACATATTTTGTCCAATTATGGTTCATGAGCGGGACAATATGTATACAGTCATACATGACCTCAACGGACGACTATCAGAAGCAGACGTCTCCAGTATCTGCTTTCAGGTCCCTGCTAATACACGATTCTAACATAATTTACAACGGCGGACACCTGCCGTAAGCGGACACGAAGTCGTGGTCCCCATGGTGCCCGCTAAAAGAGGTTTGACAATTTATAATATAAGGTATGATAGTGCATAATGCACAGTTCACGTTTCTGGCAGAAGCTTAATACATGTGAGCGATATACTTGACTTCATACGAATAAAACGGATTAATTTAGCAGTCTTTGTATTCCTTTCACTCCATGTTACATTAATGTCATCTAGCAAAAACGTATTTTGATAAAATGGAGGGCTGGGGCAAATGCTCCCCCAGTTATGTAGGTTAAAAGACCCTGTTGTTCATTCAGGAATGACTTTCTTAAGTTGACCACAGCACTTGTTGTATTCACGGGCGGATCTAAAAATTGTAACATTTTTGTAATAAATTTCATATTCAGGAAAGTTGCCATTTTGTTTCCCTTTTCCTGCATTCCGAAAATTCTGAAATCTATTTGCTGAAATGCAATTTCCAGTGATTTTTGTAGACACCTGCATTTCAATTTGACAATGACTATATATGGATAATGAGAATGCTAAAGTAATCATTTAATTTTCACTTCTGGTGTGTTGCATGTAAAAACTGATTTAAATAGCTGTCCTGCCCAATTTCATAGCATTTGTGAAGCATGCCCAAATTGCAAATCTACTATTTATCTTGGTAGAATTATTATAGAGTTTTAAAATGTACAGCTTCTTATCACTTTCCAAGCAATTCTGTTAAAAACCTCAAGACACCAGCTGAAACTTCACAACATTCCAATTCATTCTAACCCTCCAATTCCATCCCTAGTGCCCAAACTAGAATGCTTATTGAGACAGCAGTGCCTAATTTGTGTATCAACATATGTTGTTAGAAATAAAACACTTAAGGAAACTTAACCCCCACTGACTATATAGCTTGATCGTATAGAAATCATTAGGCATCCTATTTATTTATTATCATAATATTATTTATTGGCATTTGTATTTACTGCTAAGTGTTATATACACTCAATTTATGGTATTTAACCATTACTCAGCATTTTGTGAACTTTTTTTAGTGTGCAAAGTATTTAGTCTTATTGGCACCTGGTATATAAAAAATTGGCTATAATTATATGATCTACCCATTTAAATCTGTTACATTGGTTTTGGTCATTTTAACTAGTTGTCAGTGCATGACACAACTTTTATCAATAAATATAAAAAGTAAATGCTTTTATATTGCAGAATAGAATAATAGATGACTATAAATACAAGGAAACTGCACATTACCAACTGTTGAACATTCCATTCCGTGTACTAATAAGTATTATTCTCGCAACAATAAATAAAACTAATTCTGGTATAATTCTATATACTTATAAATTAATATGCAGTCTCTGTCTAGAAATTAGTGTATTGTTTTAACAAAGTAAATAATCAAGTAACTATGTTATGAAGTGAAATGTTACACACTTATAAGATAATTACACAGACAAAAATATACTATAATGTACTACAAATTCCCATAAATGTTTACCATTCTTTACAAAGTAGTGTATATAGTTTGTACACTTTTGTGTTGTATCACATCCATCAAATGCATTGTCACCATGTCATTAAAAGCATACCTTTCCAAAACTATGTTTCTAAATAATATTTCTTTTAGTGGGTTATTCTGCTTTTCTCTAACAATTATGCATAGATTAGCTTGTAATAAAATCTCAAATACTCATGCATGTAATCTTTGTTTGAGTTGCACTTATTGAATGACTTGAATATGAGACCTAGCATTAATCAATTAATAATACCACCTTACTGTTGTGCCCCATAGTGCACATTTTTTTGAATGTATTTCTGTCATGCAAAACATTTTTATTTTCACCGATACTTCAGTTTCAACTCATCAAATTGCTTAATTGATAATATTTTTCGCAGCAATACAGTCAAGCATTGGAATTAGTTAGATAAAACAAATTATTTTTTGTCATGTGCTATGTATTTGTTTAAAAAATGAAATTTAGATTGGTTTATGAGCCATGTAAATTTAGGCAAAATGTATTCAGATGATAGTTGTCATAGCTAGAGTGTATTACTATCCACACGAAGTGAACTTTGCAGGTGACACTCCAATTTTAACATGAACAAGCCATAGGCCATTTTGCAGACCTCACATTCAAGAGCCTGAAAACTTTCAAATCTTTACCAACCACAAACTTAAAGAATGTGTCTCAAAACCAAAATGAATTGTGTTCAATTCACGTCCAAAATCTTAGCTCAGTAGTCAATAAGTATTGTACAAACAACAAAGCAGCTCTTTTTTCTTGGTTTTGGTGTATTACTACACAGCATAGTTCATTTAAAGTAACAAGTGGCATTTATAAAACTACTTCAATTTAGCAAAGTGTTACCGCCGTCCGTTATCTTAATTGTCAATAATCTGTCTAGATGTGCTAATCAGGCAAAGAGCTAAAGGAGATATTTTATTGTAAGACACATTCCTTTGACGAGTCACAAATTTTTCTTTCAAAATGTCGTCCTCCCTTGACATTTCTTTTTAGTGCAAACATTAAAATTATGTATGTATATAAAAGGTTAATGCTGATAATTCCTACACCGGACCAGCAGTTGCCGCCAGTATGTTACACGAGAAGTTGAAAGAGTTTGGTTTTGATTGTGACGTCAATATTGCTGATCTTGGTTGTGGGACAGGCTTAGTGGGTGAGCAATTGCACAAAATGGGATATAAAAATATTGATGGCGTTGATTTGAGCGAAGAAATGCTTGAACGTGCTAAAGATAAAGGTGTGTACAGGTAAGTAATCTGTCTTTTTTATGCTGAATTCTTAAATAGAATTATGTTGGTGTTCTCATTTAACAAAAACGACAAGGTTTTTTAAAATAAACATGCATTTTTCAACATCTCATGATGCCGTCTTCAAGTACTATAACGACTATTATGTATATGATGATTTATTATAAGGAATATTATGTATGATTCATCACATACATAATATTCCTTATAATACTGAAGATGGCATCATGAAATGTTGAAACATGTTTATTTTAAAAAACTTGTCGTTTTTATTAAATGCACAATATCAATAGTGCTTTTACACAGTTATGTTAGTGTTGTAATATACTTTCGGTGCTATAACTGTGCAAAGACTTTAAATAGAAACCGCTTCTGAAAGTATAACCAAAAATATATCTTATTTAGAAATATATTGTTTCTATGGTGACGAACACGTGCTGGCTCTGGCACTAGTTCTTGTATCTAGCCTGTCCATAGCTCTTCCGTTAAAAGAAACAACTAATTAGATAAATATGAATATATTTAATGCTGAATTTTTTTATCAGTTTTGAGACACTGCTTATGCTGTCAGCTTATCCGTCAGGGCTCTTGAATTGGAAAGCATGTCATCGCTTCCAGGCCCTCTAAACAGTTTTGCTCCATTCACTTTAAGAGGAGTTCCGACACCTCAATTTGACTTCGTCTAAAGCAGCTTTCGTGCCAAACTTCATTTTGTGCAGCTTCGATGATAAATGAAAGATATGGTAAAAGGAAGATGCGACAATTTACCCACTTTGGAAAAGTATTTTCCTGTTTCCTTGTAATAGAAGTCTTGAATGTGTTTGCACCAACTTAAATGGTTAACAAGTTCGACAATTTTTAATATGTAGTATACATGTAAAATTTTTGCTGTAATAGATTACTCCGGAAAGGAAGCATGGGATCAGATAATTCTGTCAATTTGGCATTACAACCTGGGCAATACGATGCTGTAATATGCGTTGGTGTTTTTGCTTCTGGTCACGTGAAAGAAAAGGGAATGGACGACTTTCTTTTCGTTACAAAAGCAGGTGGGCTAATAGTGTTTACTATTAACGAGTCTGTTATGGATGATTCCGCCTATAAATATTACGAAAAGATGGAGGTTTTATCGAACCAAGCGAAATGGAACCTTGTTCTTAAATGTTACGAGCCGAAATACATCTGCGACCGAGGAGCATACGTTTTCGTTTATCAAAAATTGTGATGTGACTTTAAAAGGAATAGAAACGAAATAGAAACCTGTTTTGATTAAATAATAGAATAGCAGAAAATATGTCGTCAAGTTTGTTTATTTCTGAAACTGTATCTAACATATTCAAGTTAATATAACAGTCAGTTTATTGGGCTCATCGCAAATGTATGTTTTCAAAAGTTAACGTCCTTCGCCTGTGGTTATTAGCTAAGGTACTTATTCAAATAATAAAATTACAATGAAATACAATCAGAAGATATTTGTTTTGAGTCATTAAGTGTAGGAATTTTCCGGGAAATTTATGATAAAGTAGCCTTATCACGTTTAACAGTAAGTATGTTATTGAAAGATTAAAATAGAAATGTATGCAAACTAACAGTTACTAATGGCATTCATTTTTAATGATATTACATGCAGTCTCAAAATGACTTTGGAATTAAATGTGGTCATTTTCTTCTTTCCATAAAATGAAGCAACTTCCAAACTGTCTTCCAAGTGACACTCAATGACTCATGTGAAAACTCGATCATTTTTTTAACCACGAGTGCTATTTACTTACTCACGTGAAATATTTATAATGTCATATGACTCCATCAATTACTGCACTATCCATTTCTGGGCACGTGCGCACGTGCATTCGACATGTAAGGCAACTTGGGATACAGTCGCTATGCAATAAGCTGTCATAGTACTGTGTCAAGAATTTCATCATATAAATAACTTTTTAGTGAGCTTTTTTCAACGGTTATCTTTATTAAACGGACGCGGTCTTCTTTTCCAAGGGCTTAAACTTTATTTTCTAGTTTAAAAATTGAAACGGTTGGGTGAAGTAACGAGATTGCACATAATAAAGAATCTTTTAAAATATGACATTATCACTTATGTAAATATTGCCGTAGTTTCTTCATTAAAGTTGAAAAAATAACAGCTTAACTTGCATTGTTTTTATTGGTTATTTGGCATGGTACATGTGTACGAATAGAAATATATTGTTGTTTATTTTAAATTTATTAAAATTAATGCTTTATATATCAAATTTGATGATTCAGCAAGACATGTGTTATATGTTCACATGAGAAATCTCCAAAGGAGCATGTGTTTTATTTCACCAGAATATAATATGAATGACGAATTTTTATCAGTTTGGTTATTTCGAGCATTAAAATTAGTAAGTAAGTTACACAGGACAGAAATAATGTTTTGTCAAATCAATAGCTACGACAGTGTTATTAAGTGTACAGAAGACAAATGGTGTAGTATCTAATGTGTTCTTGTTAAAGTGCTTATCTCACAATTTTTTTTTCGAATTTTCGTATTGCTTCTTCAAAAGTAATCTAAAACTTATATTACAATTTTTTCATGCGCTGCATTGTTTTCGAATTATTATTGATCAAATATGAAATTTGACAGTAAAAATTGATAATTGGCATAGGGCCTGGATCAAGTCTCTGTGACGTAACTTAAGGAACAAGTCAAACGCTTGTTATCAACGATTAGATGGCGGAGTTGAATTCTGATTCGGAAAGCTCTCATAGTTCGCAATGTGATTCGGAGTATGATTATATTCCCGGTTATGTCATCGAAGATGAAACAAGGAACATTAATAACCAGGAATATAATATAATAGATGAAAATCACGGCGAGTCCGAGTCCTATCTATACGCTGATGAACCAATGGCCGAACAAGCATGGTAAGAAGACTACGTGGAAAAGTCAAATGAACATAAAAAGCAACTTGAAATGCTACAAAAAAAGACTTGATCACACAGTTGAGTTGAGTTCTTGGTGAGTAATAAAATTTCTAATTTCAATTCAACTTATGAAATGTATTTCAATTCAGGTTTCAAGTTATGAAATATAGACATAAACGTGCAATTTTCTATTCAAGATTACCATCGCTTTTTTATTTACTTTTGGGTAAAAAATTGTTAAAAGATGCTCGATTACAATTTTTTAATGTGATTTTCTTTATTGATCAGGTGCAAGTGTGGTTTTTGTCAAGTTACACTTCTTCAGAATCCTCTAGAGGCCTGGTGCTGCCAAGAACTTAAGTCTGTAGCTGAAAGCTTAACACACCAGTCGGTTCTGGCAGATCTGTCAACTATTCCATGTTGTGTCACTCTACACCCAGGTTTCAGACCAGTTTGTTTGGAAAAGTGGTTGCTAAAAATGGCTGCTAGGAAATACAAAACCAGAGAACAAAGACGATACAGAGAAACAGGATCTGAAAACATGTATGATAGCATATTATGTTATTTCCCAGTATTTAAGTATATTTTAGTGTTATGACACATTAGTAATGATTTGGCTTTATATTCAGGTTTTTACGATGTGTTGCATACAGAGAATTCACATCTATGATTTATGGATGCTTAGGAGAAAGAAGACCATTACCAGCATGTGCATACCATGCAATAAGATCAAAATTTAATGATAAAAAGTTGGAATTTAGAGGGTACGAAGAAAATGAAATAAATGAGTGATGTGAAAGTTGAGTTTTCCTATTTTTTGGGCACTCTGCCACATGTTTGTGACCTTTCATTGGCTTCTTGCATGTCAAACATTTTGGCTGACTTTTCTCTTTTGAAACTGCCACTTTTGACTGACAGCTGAATGGCACACTGGTAGCTGCTGGCATGAAACAAAAACATTTTCATTATTTAAAATGATTTTCAAACCATGTTTAGCTACCACATCTTATATAATCATTATTAATTACCTGGAATTGAGGGAGGGACATCATTGACCACAATGCATTTTCAACGGACCTGTTTTAGTAACACCTCAGCTCTGGGTTGCTTTTGCAGCATGACATTCATTGATGGTGGGGACATTTCTTTCAAAAGATTTTGTGAATTTGATAATGCGTCTTTGTCTTTTATTGACAGCATCACACTCTCAAATAATTCATCCACATACTCTAAAAGAAATTATTGTCGTATTCAATACTATGAAATGATGCAAAGCAACACATTTAGCAACAACTTACCAAATTTGGACTTAACTCTGACATCCCTCACAGTTCCTTCACCATTTTTAAACTTTGGATACACTACATTTATTTGGAAAGTGCCATCATTCTTCATCTTTACATCATGCCTTAAGTTGTTGTTGAAGTGGATGGATGCCAAAATGTGTCTTAAACAATAAAGACTTGAGGAAGTTGCAAAACAACTAACATTGTCGTATTGGAAATTTTCGCCCACCTGCAATACATTCCAACATAGGAATAATGAATCATTTTTGGAGCAAAATGATTCAGGACAGAAAGGAATCCTTCCAAACAACTTGTTTGAGCAACTGGTGAAGCCTGGTGAATTGACTTCATCAGCTGTGGGTTTAACAATTTAGCACTAAGCTTTTCATGAGCAACTGAACCTTAAACAGTACAATTAAGAATGATGATAAACTGTTAGGGAAGTTATCTTTAAATAATGCCTTCACAAACCTTCTAACAAATATTCCCTTGGTTTAATATCAGGGCCATGAAAACAACTTGAAAACAGTGGATTATCCAAATTGGTGTGCTTGTCTACTATGTGACTCAGGAAAGATTTGAACTTTGCCCAAATTACTTTGCCATCACAATAATAAACAGCCGAATACTTAGTCGGTGTCCATCGAGCGCGTTTTCTTGCAACAAAATTCACCCAGATTTTACGTCTTCGCTTCGCTTCAGGACGCTCATCACCGTAAAATGGTATGCGGTGAAGAGAAATTCTTTCCGCAGAATTTGCTCGGTTTGAACAGCCGAAAACTGCACATCTATCAGGCATTTTGATGCAGAGCCGTAGTAAATAAAGTAGAAATTATAGCAAAAGTCACACTTCAGAAAAACTTCCTGCCCTTATGTTACGTCACACACTTCTCGATTCAGGCTCTCATCAAGCAAATTGAACGCGCAGCAATTTTCTCCATTATTGCCGATTTTGAGAAAAGAAACGCATTTATCTCATAAACAAAGCCATCAATCAGAAAATTGTAAAATAACTTTTAAAATGATTTTTTTACCTCAATCAGAAAATTCGAAAAAAAAATTGTGAGATAAGCACTTTAATAGCTTACTTATACCGCTTTATATCATACATAAATCTGTTTAAAAACTTATGATCGAAAGCCTTGAAAATGTATTTTTCTTGCTTTCTATCGATAGCCTTCTTTCTAGAATCACATTTTATTACAAGATAAAGAAAATTACCCTTTGCTAGTTATTTCACGTTTTTTTAAGATTGGTAAATGCAAAATTCATAGTCCAGGAGTCACGTGCCAGTTAATTCACACAAAGCAAGCCTTGTTCATCGAAATTCTACATGCACCAGACGCCTGGGAATTTCCAAAGCGACTTCTCATTTTACCTAAAATTAAATGCATACTTCAGGCCATAACAGGCCGTTTATTTGTTAAGCCGGCTGCATAAAGGTTGAATGTTTTAAGACTTTTAGATCACAAAAATCAAGATACTTTCGATTTGATTACACTATACCTTACCCGAACAAAACTACGTACCTCAAAATCATTACACATCGGTGAAATATTGTTTTATAATAAAAATGAAATGGCTCAAAAATTGTTTATGAGATTTAAATAGTTACTTAACAGTTTTCGCAAAACAGGGCAAATTTGTATCACTTCAACAAAGGCCTATTACGCGTATAAAATTCCGAACAGTCTTTCATTTGTTCAAATTTAAAAAACCAACATATATAAGGCAAAAATATGCAACATAAATTCGAAATAGTTCTAATTCTTTTGTACACAACCATTGCCACAGTAGGCAAGCTTTCATACATGTTGTCATCAGAAATTATTTTATTGCAAATTGCCGGCTTACTGGTAAAGCGTTCTTACAAAGTTACAATCTACGTCTTGTACGTTAAAATAATAACTATGGCACGCCTTTTATATTGATTAGTTTAAAAGAAATTCTGTTCATACGCAAAGCCTTTTGGAATGTGTGCATGATTCACGTTAACTATGATAGCTTCGCTCCTATAATTTACAAAAGACAACGAGCATCAATCGCGTAACACGGGAATCTTCCCATTAATCGGTAAAGACAATCACTCAAACCTGTATTTACACCTTAGGGGAATAGACCAGTGTTCGCCGTATGTAGGTGTTTGCTTGATACAGGTTTTATTGTTACGAATTGTCTGAGACAAAATTTACGACTTTACGAATTGTCTGTTTATACAGGGTACATCCGCCAGATGCATAACGGCTTAATACAGGTTTGACTGTAAATAGAACAGTCTTAGTAAAATACCCAAAAGCGTTTCACGTGCTAGATAACTTATAAATGCAAGTCGAAATACAAAGAAGATGCAGTTAATTGAAAGTACCACGATATCTACGTTGTTCAAAAGCGTGAAGTTGAAAGTCAAAGTATATTATTCTCTTCTTGCGAGATGGCTCTAACATGCAACGCGGGATACAATAAAATAAAACAATTCAATGCAACTACAACGAAAGAAGACGTGATAAATGCTTACGCAGAATGGGGACCAAGCTATGACAATGTAAATATTTTTATTTCATTCCTTTATAATGGGCAATGAAAGTGAACTTAAATAGACAAAAGTTTACACGACAGGCTTTTTTCCATACACACAAACCGGCTTATCAAATCAGAAATCATTGATAGATTATTCGGGGGCAAAGTACACCAATTTTGAGGAATCGGTTTTGTTCTGTTTTTAATCGCTGTGGATTTCTTTGAAATATATTCACAATTGTGTATGCGCATGTATATATATGAACTGAATGCGGACAAATTTTTCCTATTCATTGAGTAAATTATAATCAAGCGTAATCCGAAAAAGGACATCTTGTTAACTCAAATTCAAGTCATAAACCCGACAAATAACTGTAAACTTTCGGTTTTATTTCAAAACCATCATCTTCTGAAATTGTCTATATTCTCATATTTTCCGGGTTGTGCACGATTTTTATCTTTCCTTACTTTTTGACATAAGCGTACATGTCGCAATCATAAATCCTTAGAGATTCTATATCTGTGTGTGTGTGTGCTTTATGGGTAACAAAACTGTGATACCATGAATTGTAAAGTTATAGAAGAATCTCAGCATATGAGATAAAATAGCGTAAAAATTTATCATTCAGGGTGAAGAGCACAGTTGCTTGCAATCGAATTGTTTTTGACAAATGACAACTATGATTCACAATTTTTTTTCAAAAAGACTGCCGCGGTAATATTTCCTCAAACCAATATCTGGGATAATACAGCTATAGTAACTTAATTTCATAGCTTTCATGAATTAGCTTTTCACTTTTAAACTTATGTTCTACCTGAAAATATGCCATGGAAAATGTCTTGCTACTAGAAGCCTATGTCTTACAGATAAACGAACAAAGACAGCTATTATATTTGATTTTTAAGATTGGGCAATATTACAAATGAGATGAAATAATTCGACTTAAATCGATGCATGAAGATGATATTTTTTGTTTTGCCAGATTCTCAGAGATATTGCATACATCGGACCGTCAGTTGGTGCTAAACTGCTCGATCAAAAACTGAAGGAATTCAGCTACAAAAATGACGTTGAAATATTTGATCTTGGCTGCGGTACAGGATTAGTGGGGGAACAGCTCTACAAAAGGGGATATAAAAATATTGACGGAATGGACCTCAGCGAACACATGCTTCAAGTTTGCAAAGATAAAGGAGTTTACAGGTAACATTTTCAAAAACGCTTATCATATTTAAAAATGACATGGAAAACTCACCAAACTCCATCGTAATTTTGCAAAAGAATAATTTTAACTGTTTTTGGGAAAATCTTGGGTTACTTGTCTGACATATACAGTTAATTTTGTTGTTAATTCTGTGTCGACAATAATTAAGACCTTACAGAGTTTATGATATATATATAATGTTAAGGAAACTTTATCAGCAATAACGTCAAACCTTACTATATAATAATAAAGCAAGACTTGTTTAAGTAGTTTGATGTCTTAAACGGCGTAGCAAGAAAGCAATTTTTTATAACACTTTTTATGGGCATTACCATTACATATTTTTTAGAAAACTTTTTGTTTGTTCTATACAGTGAGACTACATCGAAATAATTGATTACCAGGACTGATTGGTCGGCTATATCATATTTATATCAATTTACTGCCCGAAAATTGTATGTTTTGCGCCAAGTAGTGTTGGTGTTGATTTGCTATTTGTCAATCTTTGAACACAAAGCCTTCGCACATATCAAATGACTGCAAGTGTCGTGTGTGCCAAGTATCATGTCACATGTATGTTTATAATAAAACAAAATAAAACAGATTCCGAATACAGACATTTCGTTTTCTTGATATTTAAGAGTATACTAGAGTTTAGACAACAGATTGTGTAATATTTCGTCATTATTCCAAAGACATCACCAGACTAATAGTTTACATAGCAAGCTGTGAAACGTTTCTATAATTATTTACAAGCGGAAGTAACAGTTACGTAATTGAGAGAAATATAAGACTTAACAATTAGGGAGTGTAGTTATATTTAAAATTGAGATAATTTCTTTCAGGCTTTGAGACCACTACTAAATTGTGGCATTTTGCGTTTTATCAAAAGCGCTTCTAAGATGAGAAGTTAGTTAGGATTATTATTAGTACGGTAATATTAACACCAAAATCTTGCAAAGCTCACATTTGTATTAATTCATTGTCACGGTAAAAAAGGACGTTATTTTACGCACAAACGCAACGATGTATTTTGTGTGCGACAAAAGGTACATTGTTTATACTAAACAAGTCCATACTTATTAAGTTAGGATGAAGTTCACATGACTTAACTTCTGTAACCTGTGAACTTGAATTTTTTTATGCCCTACTAATATTTTCACACACCCAGTGAAAAACAAAATATGTACTTTGCACGACCAAAAATTCGGGTTGGCTGCGCCGCTGAATACATTTATGTTTTCTAGCATCTTTTTACATTTCTTTTTCAACAGATCACTTCATAAAGGCAGTATGGGATCAGAAAACTCGACCGACTTAGGCGTACCTGCTGACAAATATGATGCCGTAATATGTGTTGGTGTCTTTACAGCAGGTCATGTGAAGGGAAAAGGGCTCGATGATTTCATTTATTCTGTCAAGAAAGGTGGTCTGATTGTATTTAACATAAATGATAATGTGTCAAATGATCCTCATTACGAATTTGATAAAAAGATGAACGAATTAACAAAGCACAGAAAATGGGAGCAGTTATTTAAATATTATGAACCAAAGTATGTCAGCGATCGTGGCGCAAACTTTTATGTTTATCGAAAATTGTAAGCTTGTTTCAAACACATGTATATTATTGACCGTATTAGATAGTGGTAAAATGGTTGTTAAATAATAATTGAACAAAAGCTAAAAAAGCTAATAATTAATAGTTAACAATAAAAAGGCGCGATGCATGGATAGATGATATTATTGAACGGAGTCATGGAAGGAATATTATCATTTGCATTTTCATTTGTTTAATTCAACGATAAGTTAAGACAAAAACTTCGTTAGATATTTATATTACTCACCTATGAATACTACAATGCAAATATATTTTATTGACGGTACGAATTAAAATCTGATTTGATATGCAACCATACTTTACGTTGTATTAATGTTATATTATCTGTTGTCATCACGGATTTAGATATTTACATTGTTTCCAATTTCTTTCAAACACAAAATAAAAAGTATCATAGAAACAATAAATGATTATATAAAGCAATGTAAATGTAACTGATGTTTGAAGAAATTTAATGATCTTGAGCTCAACAAATGCTTTATTGTATTCTTCATAGAAAATGCGCAGCAGGTGAAAAAATATGCATGGAGATATTTCTTGTGCACCATGTAAAGAAACACAATCAGAGCGACGGTCATGCTAGCAATTGCTTTGCAAGGGGGTCACTCTTGACAGTGTTATTTATTGTTTTATGCAGTGCGGTGTTTGAAATTTAAACATTCTTCATATGACATTCCTTTCACGAGAAAACAGTGTTATTTACTCTTGACATGACTCGACCCATTCCCCCACGCGACCTATATACCAGTGAAATCTCGATTTGTGTCTGTCTGTCTGTTAACAATTCCGGGGAGATTTTTACGGAATGAGGGGTAGCGCACAATCACAATAAGGTAGAACCTTTCGGAACTTCTGTAAGTTTCTATTTGATTTTAAATGTCTGGAATCCGAATTGATATGCGGCCTAAGCAACGTAATACAGTAGATACCAAAATCGAGTGATCACCGATATCAATTATAAATACCTCGTTTGGCGAAAAACACATGAAATGGTTCACCGTGCCGTATTTAGCCGGTCGGTTCACATTTTTTATATTGCGCTCTATGGTCACACGGTGAGAAAAATGTTGTGTAAGCATGTATTTATTTTCGTTCGAGCTTTTATTGTTACTTGAAATATCAGTGTGGACAAAACGTCAAAAATAATTAAAACGCATGGTGCGAGTTCAACCATGAAATATGAATTATGAATACGATGAACGTTTGCTCTTTGCGATAACTATATATCATTTTATCGTAGTCGCTCAGAATCATCGGAAATAAGGTTCTATCAAAATGTTATAAAGGAAATAATGGAAACAAAACTACAGTTTTATAATATTGTCCGTTTCTACTTTTAATCAAAAAGTATTTTAAAGACAAATTTGTTCGAGATATAAACATGTTATCAAAAAATTATTTTTGTTCGAAATGGTAATGAATTTATCTTTAAAATTATTTGAAACGTTAAATGAAATAAGATGTAAAGCACAGGAGCTATTTTTTGCCGGAAATCAACCGTCGACTTTCAGAACGAGTGCCTTTGTTTGCATGTATTCCAAGTAAGGTATGGCACGTTTGATTAAGGCCCGTTCACTCGATCCGATTTGTCGGATCCGATTTTGTTATATCCTAAAAACGTATCGTGTGAGCACATATAAGGTTAGTCTCCGACAGTCGGATACGTCAATCTAAAAAAGAGGATAGAAATAGAACTTGTTCTATTATATATGTTTGAAAAAGACTTGGAAACAAGAAGAAAAGTACGCAAATATATCGATAAATTACTGGACAACACAAACGGCTGCTCTCAAGATTATAAATATCTAAACGTATCTAAATATCAACAAAACTATCTGACCGTCTGAACAAGCAATCAAAAGACGGAACAGAAACAGTCGGATCTGACAAATCGGAACGTGTAAACCGGCCTTCAGATAGAAAGAAAACTCTAAACATGGCGAAATAAACCTTGCCGAAATAAACGCAAAGCTAAAAGTTAAAGAGACACGCATGTAAAATTTCTTTGTCTATCATTCTAATCACCCAATCATAACGTATGTATGAAACCACCTAGAATGTTGTACAAGGAGGTGGCTCCAATGGCTGTGACTACAGTCTGAGCAGTGCAATTTTTTCCAGAAAAGGGGTCGGGGCATCACTCCCCCCTTGCGATAGCAACTTCTAGTTTATAAAAATAAAAATAAACAAGACGCCTGCTCAGGCGTGCACGCCTGCTCTTGTGATCAAATATTTCCGTTTAGGCGATCCAATTAAAACATGAAAGAGTGTCGGAAAAATAAGCTGAGGGCGAGTAATTTTTACGGTTTCAAACATTTGAGATACATGAAGTAGTTTTATTAAATATCAACACACGTGTCTGGGTGTAAAATTTGGCTTCAAAAAATTATTATGCTTTTCTTTTACAGCGTTCCATGTATTTTTGCTCAATGGCTCAGGTTATGACCATGGGTACGAGCGACATGAAGTGCGTCGAATATCTGCGCCCGCGAATTTTGTATGATTTGTAAATGCACAGACATCCGAATATCTTGGAATATCTGTCCAAAGTTCTCTTCATTTTTCTCGAATGTCAGATAATAAATGGAAAGAATACGATTCAGAAGAGGTTGTTCTATCAGATGTTCACCTATCAATTCCATTTACTCGCATAAAGAATGGTGAACATGGTATGTCTACTGTGTTAGTATTATTGGGTTTCTTACTGTTGGGTTTAAAATGTATGTACTTGTTGTATTTAAAATTATTTGAGTTGAGACAAAATATGCCCATGACAAGTCTTGAAGATTTATAGTTGATGGTTAAGATCTTATGAAATGTGTGAAGTACAAGTGTGTAATAAGTACTATTTAAGTAAGATTTTATGAAATTTCTTTAATTAAGGTTTGGTAAGTTTAATATTTTTTTGCATTCACTATTTGATTATTTTTGAATTATGTGAATCTTTGCACGTTTTGAGGTGATGGAAAGGGAAAGCTTAAAGGAAAGAGAAAGAATTGTTTACTATTCATATATTCAGCTCTTCCATTGTAATTTCAAAAGCAATCTTGTGGGCAGAGCTAAATATATGAATATTCACACCTCAATTACCATTCTAGTTTTTCCCCTGGTGTAAAGTCAGAATCATCTGGTCATTTTATTAGATGTCTAAGTTACGAACATTTAATTTGGGGGAAAGGGAAATTAAAACTATAAATTTGTAAATTCTTAAATTAATACACTTAGTTCGTACTTTTTCAACAGCTTGTTTTTTCTGCTGATTTTTAGCTTTGTCAAGAATTCATTTTACATCTCCCAACCATGCCAAAACCATAAATAAGGATGATAAGAAGGAGGCTAAAAAAGTTAAAACTGATGCAGATGGGGATTTTGTTGTTGAAAGATCACAACCTAAAGATGGCATCGAACATCATACAATAACAATCGGTGAGGTCAATAGCTTGCAATATGTATTGTTTTGGAATGTTAGAAGTGGTACAAATGAGAAAGTGCACAAAAAAGTCTAGCATGTGCATATAGGCCTTTTGCATCTGCTGTTAATGTCTGTAGAGTATTTACTCAACAAGTATGAAATTGCAAAGCTAAGTTTCATGTTTTATGAAATTTTTAGGTAATACGGTCTCAATCCCTTCTACATGTAGTTTGGAAAGGAAGAGTTTCTTGTTTGTGAAAAACATTTCTAATGCACATTTATTGCAAATTAATAAAATGATAATAAGCATGTTTTTTTCCACAAGCGCATGTATTGCTCAAACTATGTGTTTAAATTTTGAAACTTTCAGGCCTAAATTCAGCGGTGCTTGTATTAGTTTTTCCATTCAGACTTCTTGATTGGCTAGGTGCTCATTTGTGAAGTAACTTGTCATTTTTTATATTTCTTTTATAAAACTGCCACCCAGGATGATTTTTTTGTCATTAATTGGCATTTAATGATTATTGATACTTTTTTTCTGATATGAATTGCAGAGCACACACTTGCTACATCATTGTCTGGGGTTGGTACGCAGGCAAGTGTACATCGAAAATATATTGTTAGACTTATGTCCATGGTTTTTTGAGTACATATATATTCTATGAATACATATATACTAATCAAAGAGAGTACATACATATTAATTGAAAAGCTAATGCCTGAGGTGTATTTACATATAAATATAATGAAACATATGTATGCATACCTCAGTCATTAATTACTTCATGATTAGTATTTATGTATTTTCTTTCGTATTCTATATACTTTTTTTTTGTCATACAAATACGTATGTACAACATAAACATTAATTGAGTGAACTGTTTTTTTAGTATAAGTGTAATGCATAGATTATTATCTTACTTACCTATTTTTGCGATGTCTTCAACTGTGCAACTATTGTAACCTTTGTGTTAATCTAGTATTTGTTTTATTAACTGTAATCACTATTTAGTTAGGATTATAAAATAAAAACAATAAAACGCGTCAACCATATTAACCAATCAAATCAATCAAATCAATCAAAACCATCAATCTGTAAAAGAGAATTTGTCAATCGATCATGAATACATGTTATGGGAAAAGTTTCGGGCTTGCATTGATCAACGCTGGAGTTTTCCTCCGAGAGTCTCCTCGGTTCGCATTAAGATGCGGAAGTACGGAAGACTAACTGCAATTATTTGAAGACAACTTTTAAAACAAGCTGTCCCGCAATTTTCGGCTCCTGCTCTAGCTACTTAAGGAAAAGATAAAAGAAAAAGTATGTTATTGCCGACATTGTGAACCTAAATCACCCCTTTATTAATTATTTGTAGATATGGAGAGGATCGTTTTTGCTGTCGGATTATATTGTTTTTAAGGAAAACGAGTTAGTTGATGAATTTATATATTTTCTTGTATTTTTTATGATAACTTTACTAAATTGTTTGCATTTTTTATAAGCAGGTTTGATGGCTGTACTGCTTTGGAATTAGGAGCTGGAACTGGTATGTGTAGTGTTGTAATGGCGAGGGTTGCAAAGCGAGTATTTTGCACGGGTGAGTTTTGTTGTAAGTAGTACTCTTTATTGTATGACAAAGCGCTAAAAACGAAGCTTGCATTTGCTGGAAGTTTTGTTTAAAGAATCTCGACGTTGGCGTTCAGCTTTTTTAATCTTTTGAGTAGCTACATTTTAACCGAGATTAACTTAGTTAACAATAAAGAAGCTCCCCAATTATTACAGTATGTTGGTCACAAATCGTTTCTGCAAATTTATTACATTAAAATAGTAAACATTTGAAAGCATATTGGTCATTGGTTTTTGGTTTTTGTAGATGTGGGCGATGTCTTAGAGATGTGTAACCTAAACAGATTAAGAAATTGTGAATTGTTTAAATATTCAAGTTCAGGTATTAGTTCTGGTTTTACCCGTTTCGATCTTTGTATGCATGCTCACGAAGATGTCTCGTGATGTCTTCTTTGTAATTTTTACTAACTTATGTTGCAGTTAATCCATGACAAATGGGACACTTGTAAACAAAACTTAAAGTGCATATAAACCTTATAGGATTATAGTATAGTTTGAATGAGCAGTTCTTGAAAACTACAAATTAAAAAAAAAATGAACAGTAATCAAAGCTTTCATCGCAATTGTGGTTTAAAAGTCCAGATTTTCACTACATTTTTCCCTATGGGGTCTGGTATCTAATACATGTTGTCACGTCATATAAGGAACACAGTCGCGTAGGCTCTATTCAAAACAAATTGTTTGCTTTTTAAATAATCAATAGTTTCGCCAAGTTTCGAGTATTGCGTCGTATTTTTTTAAAAATGTCCTCGTCCGGGTCGGAACCATCATCTTCAGATTCATCAGAAAATGCGAATTATGATATTGAGTCGAAGGACAGTGTTTTACGTGTGTCTTTCCTTGCAAAAGGTATATCGCCTTGCGAAGTCTTCTGCTTTGAAATGTAAGTAAATACTAGACATTTTTTATATTGGGCATTTTGGTCGCTTTGACGCGACAAAATGGAGCCAATTCTTCCTTCGTCTTTTTTTTACACGATTGTCGGACCCAAAAAAGGAATTCGGTGAAGGCCTATGCCCTTTTCTTGGCATGGAACGTTAGAGCAGCCCGCAATAAGACATCGATTTAGCATGATGTGACATTAGTAAGGAAATAGCTTGTTAAATTACTATAATGTTCAGACAAGTGGTTACTTGCATGACGTCACTCGACTGCGCAGTCCCAGTCTCTTAGCGGCAAAACTGACCGCTTAAAATGGTATATATTTGCAACTTTGACGGACTGTACAGCCCAAACTGTTTGTCCGATTAAAACATAATTTTGGAATATGGCTTTTGGGTTTTGTACATTGGATAGTGTGAAAACCACGTAAGGTTTATATGCACTTTAATATGATTTTCATATTTACAGTAGATACAAAATGAACACATGTAATGTTTGAGGTTGATAACTTAAAGGCTGTTAAGTTACGGCTAATTAAATAATTCTTGGGAAAATACGGCTTATTGAAAAATTCTCGGAAAAAGTGCGTTTTTTACCCTCAACTAGTCGTTGTCTCACTCAATCTCAGTTAATAAGTGATATTATGAAACTCGTGAGATGCTTTATTTCTGTAAAAAGAGTATGTAGATTTGTTCACTTCGTAGATTGATGAATTCATTCAGTTGAAACTGTTTGATATCAGTTTCTTCTTATTTTTGCTTTCATTTTGATGCTATGCATTTACGTACAAAGAACATGTCTAGACTTGTCAATTGGAAGCTGTTTTACTGCTTGATGTGTGCCTCGTGTGGACTGTTTTATTTGCGTCACGAAATAGTTTGCAAAAACTGTTTGCTTGTAAGAGGAATGTTAATACGGTGAAAGCATTTTGTTTTTTGGAAAATCTTTGGCGATATTTGGTTATTAATGTTATAAGATGCATTGTGGACGTACGTACCAGGACATGTTCAGTATATGTATTGCTTTATAGTAAAACATAAAAGTGAGAATTACTTCGAAATATGAATTTCTCATTTGTCGTCAAAAGGTCTAAAATCTCAATTTGAACTGTGGGTAATTGTTGCTCTCTGTCACTCACTTCTCCCACTTCTTAAGAACTGGTGGAATATTGAACATGCATCCAAATTTGTGTATTGACTTGGTTTTTATCAACAAGTTCATGCTTATAAATGAATAGCCAGTTGTCCAGCAGAACAAATAATGCTATGATTACCTGCTCTACATACATGCTTAAAACCAGCACTCATCCTCAGTCGTACGAGCCAGTGTTTAAAAATGATTTTAAAGCAACCAAAGTTGTATCATTTATTAAATTTTACTGTAAAGTATATCATATTGATTGTAAAATTAGGTTTTTCTTGTATTACAGAAGATTACGAATGTATATGCGATAAATTACATAATTTAGCATGCGTATTTACAGTGTTTGGTCATATTTGTTTGTGAAAAATAATGATGATTCTGTAATATTCGATGACAATAATTTTTTTTATATCTACTGGTGTAAAATTTTTATCATAAATGTGTTTTAAGAGCCATAATTGTGCAGTGTCATTTGTGTTTTTCTCTTTTTTTTAATTGGGTATTGACCCTTTTTAAAAATTGTGTCTTTAATGGTGCATCTAATAATCACACATAAATATGGCATACCTGTTTTAAGAAAGATTTTAAAAACGTATTATTTTCACCAACTTTTACCAATATTTCGCACTGTGTTTTTCTTTTTTTTTGCGCTCTGACATTTATAGAAGGTTTGGGGCTAGCTAATTTTGCTTGGAAACACAAAAATTACCGAAAAACAACGTTTTTTGTCTCGACAGTTATGCTTTCAATGTATTTTACATCATTTCTAGAAAAAGAACGAGGGATGTCAGTTTTGTATACAAAGCATATTACAACATGCCGAAACAGAGTTTGCTCTTCATCGTTCTAAAAGCAGGCTTTAACATTTACAGATGTCCTCTAAAACTATTTTCTAGAAAAGTCCAAACACTATTAGGTCTTTAGCCATTATGCTGGCTCACGGAAACCTGTTTTATGCAAAAAAATCCGGCAATTTGGACGTGATGTATTTCGCCTCCGTACCCTCAATGGCAGCGATCATGCAGGCTTCAAAGATGGGGCAATTTTCTCCTTCCACTTATTGTAGTGCTCATTGTGGCAGACAGTAAAGCTGCGACGTCACGTGCAATCACACTATAATATTAAATAAGTGAAAACCGATCTTCCGTTTCGGGATTTTTTGATTAATTGCTCTTGTAATGCGAAGGCGATATTTCCATTCAACATATTTCCTTTGCGTGGGGCCCCTGGCGACCGCCAATAACTCCCTTCCCTAGATCTAGACCTGGCCGTATATCATATTTTTCTGCATTTTTTTACGCTTATCTTTCATGCGATTTTCTATTTTAAATGTGTCCAATCAACAGGAACTTTCCTCAAACATGTTCGAATACTTTTTTAAATAGATTGGTAAAATTTGAAACGGTGTCTTTGATATTTTGAGGAAGCGTTGCAACTCCTATCCATGCCAAAATGGCGTCGCCAACATGATTTACGCTTCTGTTTGAACGAAGAAAATATCGTTCAACAAACATTTAAACACTGGAAATGTGTTATGCTGTTTAATCAAATGCTAACAAAGTTTATAAACGTGACGAAACATGTTTTTTAAACCACATGAAATGAAGTGGCTTAACGGGAAAATGTTTCAACAAAAAATGTTTTAAATTTTTTGTGCGATTGAACATTTACCGTTTGATCAGGAATTTACATTGCATAAATGTCATTCGGAAAAGGAAAATGTCAAATTAACGTCTGCTGTATATATTTTGCAGATAATGACGTCATGTTTGTTCGTGAGTTGGACTTCTTTCATTCCTCAGATGTTTTGTTCAAGACAGCACTTGATTCGGAACTGAACTCAGGTGAGTGTCACTTGTTCCTTAGCTCGACGTGATATGACTCTCAAAAATGTACATTCACCTATTTGAGTGATAAATCCCTGTCTACACGTTCAGGATAAATCTGAAAACGCAAAAATAACTTTAAGGATATACGTTCCATCCACACATATCCATGTAAAGCACCCACACAAACCGTAAACTTTAGAAAACGCCTTCCACAGTGTAATTTTTTGAAAACTGAACAAAATTAGTCTCGTGCGTAAGGATAAAACCGTAAAAATATAAAAATTATGACGTATTAACTATGAACCAGTTTGGTGTTCGCCATTTTCGTTTTTAAACATGGCGGAAGGCGAAAGGTTGTTGTGGGTCCGGCTTTATATTACGATCTTGAATTCTCACGCAGATTACATTCAGGGTCGTATGAATATTCTCCAACTGTGTTACCTTGTGCGGGAAGGGTAACTGTCTAGCGGTTCGGCAAGAAGCGTCAAAGGAGAAAGAGAAAATTTTAGATCCGACCTGGACGAACAATGCTTGGTGTAACGGTTTCCCGTTAGTGAACTAGTTGTCTCAGAAGAATGGAGGAAATATTTCTTAACAGTTTTCTCTAAATATTTATCTGCAATCCACTTCAGCTCCTCTTCAGCAGTTACTCTAAACAATCTTTTTCTCTTAGTGTACTCTCATCTACTCTAAGCAGACTACTAATATTTGTCCAAGGAAAGGAAAGTTCTCTTAAAAATTCTATATGGTCTTTTTCATGGACATATAGTCTGGAGGCCATTCTTAAAAAAACGTTTAATTGACATTTATAGTGAAAGCAGGAAACAGAGCTTAAAAATAACCGACTTGTGGTTCTTTTTAAGGATATCACTGTTTCAAGCTTCTTATATGATCTCTAAACGTGTTAAGGAGGCTTTGATTCTGGTATTTCGTTTCTACCACGTGATAACAAGGCTAAGAGGAAAAAACCTATTAAAATTCTTGAAAATTAAAGTTTTTAGGGCAGTGTCAATGCAATTGTAACTATTCAGAGTGTGAAAGTATCTACATCTGCCCCATGAAAGCTACGGGTTTTTCACTTTGCTTGGAAGACTGATCACGTGACTATAAAATATTTGCTCGATACTTGCTTTGCTTTGCCAATTTTCACATTCCGAAAACAATTCATAGTCTAGAATAATGCTATATTTTTCACAAAAAGTTAAAATGTACAAAAAGAAATGTGTCTTTAGACTTTTTTGTAATGGAACTACATTGCGTATGCAAAATAAAATTAATTTGCAACAGTGACGCCTGTCTGTTGTCGAAAACTTCACAAAAATTCTTACAGCTATTCAGAGGCCGTGGAAGGTTCTTAATTGAGGAATGGACTTGTTCATGTATGCTTGTTTTACTTAAGTAGCTTCTATTGAAATCAGTTGTTTTAATGGATTAACGCATATTAAAACATAATATATAAATATTGCTTTTACCCCGCCCCACACCACTTCCACCCCACGCGCAATTATCAGTCCTGCGCGGTCACTTCTATTCTGTTGTTAAAAATACAATCATAAATATATTTATGTGTTTGTTGATGTAGTTCATCCAGGTTAGTAGATTCCTAAAAACGGACTGTTTAAATTGATGTTCACTCTCGTTTTGACAACCTTAGCGGTAGACATCTTCAAAGTCAGATGAGGAGTAACTATAAAATTAACTCGAAAATATAAAGATAACATTTCTCGCAAAAACTGCGTTCATTCTCTGTAGCAGCAATCGGAAAGTGTGTACAGCAACATTCAGTCAATCGATGTCTTGGTGAACTTTTCCAAACTTAAGTTCTGGGGATCATTTTGTTCCTCAAAAATCTTAATTATTGTTACGAGAAGTGGTTTCAAACTCTCAAAGAATAAAAACAATCCACGTTTATTCCTATCTCTAGCAGTAGCTTTACTCATATTTGAAAAAAATCTACATGTTCTTTTAAAACACTTGTCTGTTTTTCTTTTTGTGCATGCCTTTTTTGCGCCAGCTATCTAAAGTCCTGTGGCGATGGAAAAATGGTGACGGGAACAGGCAGAGGATGCTGCTGGAAGTTCTTAGCCATGACTCTGCACGCAGGCGGCTGCGAATTGATGGTCGTCCGCCGTAAACCTAGGGCAGATACGGCGCCCGTATCCTCTCGCAGTGACAGAGCAGCCGTCTTTAGGGTTAGCACTGCTCTCCCCACATGGGGAAGGGGAGATAAAAGGATCCCTAAACAAAGCCTGCCCTACTTGCACCTGGCAGGAACCGCACCTGCCTGGGCATCCAACTAAGCGGTCGTACAACTAAGGATAACAAAACAAGAAAGCCCTTAACCATTGGGGCATGGAACGTGAGAACGCTGTTGGACAGAGGAGACAGACCAGAGCGACGCACTGCTCTTATAGCAAGGTTGCTTGGACAATACCAGGTGGACATAGCCGCATTGAGTGAGACCAGACTTGCAGATGAAACTCACCTGGAAGAGGTCGGTGGTGGCTACACCTTCTACTGCATTGGGAAACCGGAAAACGCCCCAAGACACTCAGGCGTGGGATTTGCCATACGCACTCAGCTCGCAAGGCGACTAGTCAGCTTGCCACAGGGCATCAGCGATCGCCTCATGACCCTGCGGCTGAAACTCCAGAAAGACTGCAACGCAACAATTGTCAGCGCCTACGCCCCTACAATGACAAACCCAGATGAAGTGAAGGAAGCCTTCTACGAAGAGCTCAACCAGCTCCTCTCCAGTGTTGACCGCAGAGACAAACTCATCATCCTTGGAGACTTTAACGCACGAGTTGGAGTAGACTACACCATATGGCCAAACATCCTGGGTCGCCATGGAACTGGCAAGTGCAACTCCAATGGCCTGATGCTACTATCACTGTGCGCACAGCACGAGCTAACCATTACTAACACTCTCTTTCAACAAGCTGACAAGCTGAAGAACACATGGATGCACCCTCGTTCCAAACAGTGGCACATGCTGGACTACGTAATCGTCCGCCAGAGGGACCGCAGAGACGTGCACTTCACACGCTGCATGCGTGGTGCCGACTGTTGGTCTGATCATCGCCTGCTACGGAGCAAGATGAACATCCAGCTCGCCAGAAAGAACAAATCAGCAAGAGAGAAGCCACTGAGGAAGTTGAATGTAGCTCGCATTCCACCCAACAAAGAAGAGCTGCAAGAGAAGCTAGAGGTAGCCCTGGGAAACATTAACATCACGGGCGAGGATATAGAGGAAGACTGGAGCACTTTCAAAGAAGCCGTCTACAACTCTGCAGCGAGTGTCCTTGGATACGTTGAGCGAAAACATCGAGACTGGTTTGACGAGAATGACGCTGAGATCAACGAGCTTATTGACAGGCTCCATAAAGCTCACAGCGACCTTATAGGGGACAAAGCTTGCGAGAAGAAGAAGCAAGACTACCAGCAAATGAGGCAGCATGTGCAACACAAGCTGCGGAAAATGAAGAACGCCTGGTGGGAAAAGAAAGCCGAAGAAATCCAAGTGGCAGCTGATGCTCACGACTCAAAAAAGCTCCACGATGGGCTTCGCGCGGTTTACAGTCCAAAATCGTCAGGCTCTACCCCCATCAGGTCTGCAGACCGAACGACACTGCTAACAGACAAAGCTGACATACTTTCACGCTGGGCTGAACACTTTAACAAGCTGCTGAATAGAGAGTCACAGATGAACGAAGAAGCCATTGAGTCCCTCCCCCAGCTACCAATCAAAGAGGAAATTGCCGACCCACCCACCAGAGACGAGGTTGCGAAAGCCCTCAAGCAGACAGGGTCTGGAAAGGCTCCTGGGGCAGATTGCATTCCAGCTGATGTCTACAAGAACGGAGGCCAGGCGCTCCTGGACAAACTGACATCCCTGCTCCAGGAGGTTTGGAAAGTTGTCAAGGTCCCCCAGGACTTCAAAGATGCTGCCGTTGTGCACATCTATAAGAGGAAAGGCGATAAGACCTTATGTGACAACCATCGAGGCATATCCCTCCTCTGCATCGCAGGCAAGGTTTTGGCCCGAGTAGTCCTAAACAGGCTAATCACAAATGTTGCCGAGGCCATCGTCCCTGAATCTCAGTGTGGTTTCCGGGCAGGCAGGGGAACTCCTGACATGGTTTTCGCTATTCGCCAGTTGCAAGAAAAGTGCCGTGAGCAAAACAAGGAACTCCACATGGTCTTCGTAGACCTAACTAAGGCATTCGATACCGTTAATCGGGAAGGCCTTTGGAAAATCCTGGGAAAATTTGGGTGTCCAAAGAAACTAGTCTCTCTGGTAGCCTCCTTTCACGATGGCATGCAGGCAAGAGTCCAGGAAAGTGGGGAGACATCGGACCCTTTTCCTGTGAAGAACGGTGTGAAGCAAGGTTGTGTTCTTGCCCCCACTCTCTTCTCCATCCTGCTCGCAGCGATGCTGCTCGACGCCTTCCGTGACTTCGACAAAGGGGTGTACATTCAGTTCCGTACTGATGGAAAGCTCTTCAACCTCAGAAGACTTCATGCCAAGACCAAAGTCTACGAGGCACTCCTGCGTGAATTTATCTTCGCAGATGACTGTGCACTAGCTGCCCACTCCCATGAAGACATCCAGTGCATAACAGACCTTTTCGCAACTGCATGTGATCGCTTTGGGCTGACCATCAGCCTGGGCAAGACTGAGACCCTGGTCCAGCTTCCACCATCCCAGACACGTGACACCTCACCACCACCTCCTGTCATCATTAATCACACCAACATCATGACTGTTGACAAGTTCTGCTACCTTGGCAGCACCATCAGCAACAATGGTTCTCTGGACGCAGAGGTAACGCTGCGTATTGCAAAGACCAGTGCTGCTTTCGGGAGACTAAAGAGAAGGCTCTGGCAGGAACACGGCATCAAGATCGTCACCAAAATTGCTGTGTACAGGGCTGTGGTCCTGAGTGTTCTGCTGTACTGCTGTGAAACCTGGACCACTTATCGCAGGCACATACAACAGCTGGAGCAGTTCCACCAGTGCTGCCTGAGAAAAATCCTCCGCATCAAGTGGCAGGACAAAGTGTCCAACCTTGAAGTCCTTGAAAGGTGTGGACTCTCCAGCATTGAGAGCTTGATCATCAAAGCTCAACTCCGATGGACAGGCCATGTCGTAAGGATGGATGACAGCAGAATCCCAAAGATGCTGCTGTATGGTCAACTACAAGACGGGAGCCGTGTACAAGGAAGACCGCTGAAGAGATACAAAGACACCCTTAAAGCCAACATCAAGAGCTGCAACATAGACCCAAACACCTGGGAGGAGTTCGCGGGAGACAGACTGCAGTGGAGGCATCTATGCTCCCAGGGCGTTCGGAACTTCGAAGCCGGTAGAGCAGCCGCCTTCAAGGAGAAGAGGGTCCGAAGGAAGCAACGCTCTGCCCCTCTTGTCTCGTACCCCTGCAGCGTTTGCGGACGTTCGTGTGCATCACAAATTGGCCTCCATTCACGCATGAGTTCCCACTCTCGCAGATAGACCTGCATTCCTACTCATCTGTCGCCCCGACAGGAGAGTCCATACATACAAATGCACCCGACCGATTAGAAAGCACTCTTATACACAATTTCGGAAAGTATCCCAAATATTTTTCCAATTTGATTTGCGGTTATGAGCAAAAATTGGGTGCTGTTAACTGCTTAATGAGAGAAAGACTTGCTTACAAGACCCTAGCTTATAGCAAAACATGCTTTTAAGGGTAAGCATGACCAAGCCAAGCTTCATGCTTATATTGCACATACCTCCAAAGTTAGTGTTAAATATGTTCTCTCTGTATCGTTTCGTTTTAGATAGCTCCTTAAAGTGCAGTTACAGTTGGACTACAAACGATAAGATTCACCTTAAAAAATTATCGGTGGTTTTTGCGTCAGATGGTAAGAAATTTGCTATTTATGAGAACTGTTTCTTTTTAAGTTGACATAATTTTCCGTATTCTTCTCAGTTATTTACAATGATGGCTTGACGGATGCCTTTTTGGAATGCATAATGTATTTGTTGTCTATGAATCCCAGTGCAATTGTGTACGTATCACTTGAAAAGAGGTAAAAAGCTTAACTTTGTACTAAAATCTTTAGTTTTGAAATCTTTAGTTTATGATAGCAAGCTATCGAAATTTTGTCACACGGCAATAAAAATTCATTTGCCTATTTGTGTCTAAAAACTTTGATTAACCTATTTGTGTCTAAAAACTTTGATTAACCTTTTTGTTATTGATGAGATTTTGTTTGAATATGTTTCAATAACGTAAGACTGTCTGTATTTGTAACAGGATTATTTTCACTTTGGAAGCCTTGGACGTTGTCTCTCCGGCTTATGATTATTTCATAAAGAAATTAGAGAAACTATCAAAAGAAAATGAAAATCTTAAAGTCCATTTCAAGAAGCTTGATACCAATATCCCTCAGTACTTTAACTACCTTCGGGTCAATGAGTTGGTAAGAGTTTTTTTGTAATGTTTGCAATTTTTTATTCCGTTTAGTATTGTTACATAAAATTGCTATTAGTTTTTTGGTAGGCTGTGGTTGTAGAAAAAACGCACGAGTATAATAGCACGTAAAATCATATTTCAAGTACTTACTGCAAGTTTTGTGAACTGTAGAAAATTTTTTTTCAAAGCTTCTTTGTACTATTTAATAAATGAGAAATTGTTTAACAATTTCAAGTCATCATTTTAGTGCCACCACGCTTTCCTAAAACAAAACAAGAGTAACTTAAGTAATAATTAGCAAAGAGTAAATGATCATTTACAAAAATTCGTCTTTAATTTCTGTGGTTACTATTCCATTCCTTTAATTAGCTTTGATCTCAAGCCAAAGCGATAGTCGTAGCTACATGTATAAGCTATAAAATTTTCTGGTTTTAATGTGAACTTGCATCCCATTTGAGAACAAAACTGAACGTTGATAATGAAAGGGATGGGATAGTAACCACAGAAAAAGATAATTATTTTAATTTCATAATCAATTTTTTAGAAATATCCCATGTAAAAGTACCATGTATAGAATAATGCTTACCTTTAGAAGATCTAATTGATCTTGTTTTACAAAAAAAGCTGCGTGCAATAAGATCTTAATTTTCAAACGCTGCTCGTTATTTGTAAATGCTGGGCGCGACTTATTCACAAAAAAATGTATTTTATTTTTGTTTTTGTAGGAGCTTTGGATGATTCACGCTACCCCTATAACCTGACATTAATTCAAGTAGCTTTTGTATATTATCATTTTTATGTATATTATCAATGTAGCCTAGGTTATTATTTTATTCGTCATATTTTCTTTTGTTTGTAAGTTACAATTTATGTAAATTTTTTTCTAATTTTTCATTGAAACTAAAAGATGGTACTTTACTGTAGACTTAGGGCCTGATTATATGGAGGCGAGCTGGCTCGGATAGCGAGCTAGCACGATGATTTCAAGGAATTGAAAGGAGCTAAAACTCTAAGTTTAAAAACTACAACTGTTTGCAAAGCGCCACACGTCATTCCGGCTGTAAGCCTCAAATAAGAGCAAACTGGTTGTTTTAATTTTAAATGTTTTGCTTACTTATTAAATCAAAACATTGTGAAATTGTTTGAGAAGATTTATCTGATGATGAGTATTGAATATTTTCCATTTGCCAAAATCATTTAACGCTTGGCCTGTACAAGCTTTGCCGTATAAAACGTACAAACATTATAAAAGAAGCACAATAAAACGTGTGCTTTGATTGGTTAATAGCCATGTTTGCAACAAACCGTTCTGCAATCAATCAATCAAATCGATCTGTCAATCAAAGAGAATTTTCACATAAATTTTGAATACATTTTAAAGTAACATTAAAACATCATTAATCTGTATGTTTGCATGTTTGCCTATATGACTTGACTCTTCTTGTTTAAAAGGGCATACTTATTTTACAGAAATTAAAATATTTATATTTTTTATTGTTTATCAGGATGCACGATTACACATTTTATGGTTTGTTATGTATACAGTCACCATAGTGCTCAATCCTGTAACGCTGAGCTATATAGAAATATGAGTTAGAAGAATAAAAAGAAGTTTTTGGAGTAATTATTATTGCCATGACTAACTGAAGCCATATTGGATTTGTTAATTTTTACTGTGTTGTTATTCATAATGACATCCGCACTCATTACTGTTGGTACGTGTAACTTCTGCTCACCGGACTCTAGTGTTGACATGAAGAGATTAAGTAATACAAATACAAAATAGTTTTGTTTATGTGAAATATTTGAAGCATAAAACTTTGGTAAGATTTGCTTAAGTTCTTTCAATACTGCATGTAATATTATAAAATTACGTCATTTGATCTATAAAAGATTATATATGTGATCTCATGGTTACTTTCCTTTATCATAAAACACCTTTTACAAGTATAATAAATTCGGTACTTCTGATTGTAATGCTCGATTCAAATCAAGTGACCACTCAGTAAAAAATTGACTCTGCGATATTTAATATCGTGTTAATAATTCAATGCATCCAAATGTACATTTAAAAACTTCACAATTTGATCATTTCTATTAAACGTTTGTGAGAAGTGTCATGGTAAGGGATGAATAACGCCTTATTTAACCAAAACACAAAAATCTCTTCTTAGCAAACGATGCTCTACTAACTGCCGTTTCAACAAAAATGAAGAGGTATAATTACAAGAGAGTATAAGTAGCGTAGCGCCTATCATGTGTAGTAAGTTCAAGAACTAAGGGCTCAAGATTGTTTGACCGTCACTGTTTAATTTGCATAAATTAGCCTTCATCAAAATTTATTGTCACGAAAACCTCGTAAGCAATCATGACGTAACCTAAAAATTTGGCTGCATTGAAGTTAAACATCATCTTTTTGATACTTTTAGTGACATCTTTGAGAGACTAAATGAACAAACCAATCATGCATTAACTATTAGTTTAAGGAAGTCTAGTTGTTATAAGCTTCTAACCTTGCAAATTAAATATACATAAATTCTAAAAGTCTCTACTATGCGCAAATTATGAATTTAAATTCAAAATTATATATTTAATGAAGAAAACGTAATTTAGGGAAGAAAAATATCATAATTTGCTTTAAAAACACAAGAGAAAAGTTTGCTTTCATATAAATAGTTATTTTATTTAAGAAAACTCCTAATACTTGTGATGTGTTAGCAAAAACATAATACTTAAAAGCTCTATCAATTATGCATTTGTCAATTAAACTCTTAACAATTTTCTCTTGTTAATCATAAATATATGAGAAAAGCACTAAATGTCAATTATAAATAATTAATTACTTGCAGGTAAGTGAAGCATTATTTACAAAAGCATATGTTTAAAAAAACCTCTGAAACAGATTAGGCAGACATCGATTTGCGAACGAAGAGACAAGAGAAGTAACTATACGTTAATACAATACATCAATTGTACCCAGGTAAAATTGTCAAAACCGTATATTCTAATAGGCTAGTACCTTTATACTGTGTGAATGTTTAAGGATATAATGGTTCCATTCATGGAAAATTTTTCGTTTTTTTTGCAAAGAAAAGCAGAAGCAGTTGACTAGTTCTTTTAAGTCACAATTTATTTAGTCAATTTTTCGTTTTACCATTACATGTATATTACTGGAGTTTTTTTATCATATTTATCTTTATATCTTGTAAATAGTTTTCTGCTTCATTAGATGCTGCAATTTCGTCCACGAAAACATTCTGTCAATGATCACGTCACTAAATGCAGCTAAAGTTAAATGCTAATAAGAGATATTTGTTAAGAGATACTTGAAATATTTGCTAAGTTTCTGAAAAAATTAGGTTTAACTTTCTGAAAAATAAATGAAAAAAAATTAATAAAAATTGACTCAAGAAAATTATATTGATGAGACTTGTTCAATAAAACATTAACACAACACTTAACTGCAGGTGGAAGAGACAACATGCAGATGTTATGAAATGTATTATTGCTTTATTGCTAGATGTTCTTGATGTCCTTTACTGTTTAAACAAAATATATCAAGAAAAGTGAACTTGTGCACGTATAACTATGCACGTATAACGTGCACCTATTCACAATTTTCGACGCGTTAATTTTCAACTAGTTAATACAAATATTTTAAAGATGGATTTCAAAATAGCAAATACCATGGTGAATGGTGATAATAACAATGTAATAGTTCTTAAAAGAACAGCTTTAACCAGAACACTAACCCAACAATTCAAAGGAAACGTTAATTACAGGTAGAAAAAGACACTATGCATTTCGGCAGACTACTCGTCAGGTGTCAACGTCAGCTAAACAAACCTCCAAACCATGCTATATTTATAACGTTACAAAAGGTTAATGTCATCCCTATTTTTAGAGATGACACTTAAAACAGAGACAGATTAAACACGTAATCTTTTTGTCGGCAAAGGACAGGATTAGTCAATTTAATTAATACCAACTCCATGACGCGTAGCTGGAATAACGAACGACATTTTTTAATAATTCTAAAGTTTTCATCAGAATAAGCATTGGCACAGCGAGTGTTGCTCAAAAGATGTTTTCCAATCGCTTAATCTCATAGAATCGGATTTTCACTATTACACCCACGTTTTGGTAGTTGTCGTAAAGGAACAGTTTTATTCCTGATAGAAGCCCTACCTACATAGCAAGCATCACACTCACATTTAAACTCGTAGACTACATTGCTTGATATTTGAGTAGGGAGAGACTCTTTGTGAGTTGGTGGAAGAATAGTTCTTTTTGAGAATATAAAGACCACATTGCATGCAAAAAACAAACTCTCGGTGATATTTTTAGTTTCCTTCTCGATGTCATTAGAGGCCTTACCCATCCAGGGAAGTTTAAGAAAACAGGGCACTTGGCCAGTCCAAAACGTTTATTCCGTTCATTGTTAGTGGATAAGAAACGTTTGTCTAGCAACTTTTCCGGATATCCATTTAACACAAAATATTCTTCAATGATATAAGATCACTATCAATAAACTCTTTTGAGGGCAATCTATGCGTTCGCTTTATCAAATACTTCATTAAAGAAATCGTTTCTCTATGCGGAGAGAAAGAGTCAAGGCGCGTGTACAAACCAGTGAAAGTTGCTTTGCAATTAATGCTAAGAGGACCTCTAGATAGTACATGATTTAGATTTACTATCTAGAGGACCTAAGTTTGGAATTCGCCCCAGTAAGTTAAATAAAGAGGATATATTTTCTGAGTTTGAAATGTTTTGGTCGCAGTTGGGAAAGTTTCAGCCAAATGATAGCGAAGCAGTGCCGGGCTTTAACAGTAAACTATCAAGTCTTGCACACGCTTATTCTGAATGCAATGTTGATTCTAAAGAACTTTCTCTTACAAAAGAAATAAAAATAACACTGCACAAAATGCACAAAAGCTTTAGAAAGTTTAGGCTGAAAGGCATCTTTTACCGCATTTGAAATATAATTTTTTATACTAAAGTAGGAGCATGGCCTTAAATAAATAGCAGCCTTCAGAGAGAAAGGGACGTTTGAAAATGAAAACTATTCAATGGAAAAAAATTAATAAAAATTAACTCAAGAAAATTATATTGATGAGACTTAACACAAACACTAACATTAACACATCACTTAACTGCAGGTGGAAGAGACAACATGCAGATGTTATGAAATGTATTATTGCTTTATTGCTAGATATTCTATAAAAGTGAACTCGTGAACATATAACTATCTAAACAAAATGTAAGATAAGTAAACAATTCATTTTGACGAATATTGCTTTGCTATAAAAGGAGTTTTATTATCTCATTAAATTTCACTAAACATCAGAGTCGCCAACTGTATGGAAGATTCGACAACTCTGCAAAAGTAAAAAATAAATCATAAAGTTAACTTAACAATGGCAAGTGGGTAAGAATGGAAGATTAGCTGTGGATATAATAAATTTCCTAACTTTAATATTTTAATTTTTGTAACTTCGTTGTCACGTCCATGCAACAAATCAAAAAATATCCATGATATTATTACTATGTTGCTTGAAAACATGTAAATCATATAGCAAAAAGCAGTTTAAGCAACTACAACCTTACATATTACAAAGATATAAAACTTATACAAATCTTTATCTTTAGGCAAAAGTTTACGTAATTATGCTCTGTTGGATTGCGGTGATCCAAATTTTGTATTTCCTTCCCATTTGCTACTGCAACTACATCGTGGAAATCAAAGGTCATCTAGCAAGGATGCATTCTAATTACATTATAGGAAACATCAGTAATTCCAACATTCACCATTGTCTTCATAACTGTATGGTAAACTGCTCGTGTTTATCATTTCAAATTTGTGGTACAGTTTGTCAACTACTTTCCACTACAATAACTGAAGGATCACTAAAAGAAGATGGCATTAGTCAATGTAATCATTTCACAATGCATATATCTGATATCGAGGTGAGTTTATAATAGTTGAAGATTCAACGAAAATGGAAAATCTTCATTATATTATATTAAAAGTCTCAAATTTCTCAGTGTAGTAAAATACCTATTCACTTCGCATGATTTTATTATACAACGTTTTCATACTGAAAAACATATTAAACTTAGATTATGAATAAATTACTA